TGCTTCAACGGCGGTGTTTTCAGACGAGGCCGAAGCAGCCAGGTTTGTTGGCTGGCCGTCTTATTCCAACGGCTCTGTGTAGCCGAGCTGCCGTCAGTCTCTTGCACGCACCGGACCAAATGGCCCAGCACCAATGCTTTTTCGTCAATTTCTGTTACGCTGGTGACACAGCTCACACTATCACAAGGTGACTTGGCCAGGCGCCCCCAAGGCCCGAACCGAATAACGGGCGAGGGTTACTCACACCTCTTGACGCGCATGACGCCGCGATCGCCGGAAACATCCCCGACTTGTCACTGGACCAAGGTCCGAATTGGCGGTCAAAGGTTGAGTTGGCTCAAACGTCGGGCTGTCACCATGGTGGGTGCATCGTTGGTGTCGTGGCAGTCCACGTCAAGCGCAGGGCTGTTTCGAACGGTTCGTTGATGGGCTGCGAACCATGATCAACCGTTCATGACGACACGCTTTCTCGCCCAAGCCACCACACCGATTTGCCCCAGCCTGACGAGCAATCAATGCAGCGTCCTCGTGTGCCTTGGCTGCCGGCGAGATTCTGAGCGCCTGATGCAACCGTGCAAGTGTCCTTTCCTTCCAGATTAGACCATGGATGCGGGTAAGATGGTCACAACTGACATACCAGGGGCCCAAAAGGCAACCACAAGAGCGGCATTGGTCCCGATCTCTCTCACCCCAAGGATGGCTGGCTTCTTGTTCATCTCTGTCGTCCCGTCGTCCCCTCGCCCCTCCTCCTCTCCACTGGAGCCCAACGACAACTGCAGAGGAGAAGTGTGCGACGCCGCAAGTGCCCCGTACGTGCAGACATTGGTGTCCCCTGTTAACCGTACCGTCGGTCCACCACACAAGCCCGATTGGGCACACGGCGACAACAAAGGGGAGGTCCAGTCGTGACGCTCCATAATGAGGATTTGTGGCGTCTTTGAAATCAAGCAAGTGAGCCCAAAGGGCCAAAGGGAAGGGGGCCGGGCAGTTGTGCACTTGTTGACGTTGACAGGAACGCACGAGCCAAGTTCATCCTAACGAGGAGGAAGGAGCCACGACAGCTGGTTGGACGATGGCACTGAGACATCGTGGTAGTGGTCGGTGGGTGCATGTTCCTTGCTTGTTCCTCTCCCAAACCGCTTCGACGCTTCAGCGCAGCCAGCCACCTTGACGACTGTGGCATACATACTTACCAAGTAACTTACATACCACACGTACGTACGTGTTCTTCCTTGCTCAAGTAGCAACCCGATTATAATAATCGCCATCTCATTCCTCAGACTGGCAAGCAGAAACACAGCTGTAGTCTAGCACGCTGCAAACCCCCCCCCCCCCCGACAGAGGAATCACGTCGTTTGAGCAGCAGCAGCAGCAGTTTCTTCCTGACCGCCGCCCAGTCAGCCTACTAGGTCCGAGTCCGGAATGCTTTGCACACTGTTTCTGACAGCGCAAAGCAGAGGATGAAGAGAGATTAAAGATTGGCATCAAAGGATGAGTGTAATGGTTGAGCCGCGGCTCGATCACCCAATTGCTATGCTAGCTTTGCGCCTCTATTCCTGAATGTGACAGGCAATAGTCAAGCGTCGGTATAACTTCTGGCCATGGATTTCTCCACCTCACCGCCAAACAGCCCGGCCATCCACGGCTGGAGGGGTCACTGGTGGCCAACAAAAAGGCGGTCGTTCATGTTGCTTGACGTGGAGGCCGCTGCACAAACTGCTTGATTTGATTGTGTCCCAAGACAACGCACATCATGTCAATCATCCATTGGGCGACTGACTCTGCACCAACTTGGGCCACACTGATGATATCCGGCGGTGAGAGTCTTGGACCATGACGGACTGGACTGCGCGTGAGCGACCCAAGCATATTGCATCAAGCTATCATCAGAGCAAACTTTCTTTCGTCATGGCCTCTTGCACTGACAGGATCCCCCAACAGGGAACCGGAAACCCGTCGTAACATCGGGTTTGATGCACTATAATCAAGGACGGAGCAGTTGTGCCGGAGAAGAGACAGAAAAAAAAGAAAACAAAGAACATCCTCCCCCCGGTGTCCTTGTCGCAGCCCAGAAGCAATTTAACGCCAGCCAACTGGCCTATTGGGAGAAATACGTTGGCAGGAAAGGGGCAAAACTGTGGCAATCCAGTCCCCGAGGAAAGGCACCGCTCAACGCGTTCGTAAATGGCTTTCTGACCTATGGACCGCCAGCCCCTCGGGCTTTGGCCGAACTATGGTCAAGTCTCAGACTCTTCTTCCTCCCACGGCCGGGGAACTGTTTGAATGGGGCCCATCTTCAGGGAACTGGTGTCGCGGCATCGTGCCGGCCGGTGGGCACACAGACTCTTGACCAAACTGAGGATTCCTGGTTTGAGTGTCGCCCATCCGTCGGTTGTTGTATAATGGCGCAATTTTCCACCGTCAGAGATGATGGCAAGCGGCTCCGGGGACGAGGAAGCGAGCCCCATTCAGAGAAGCTAATTGACCGATTCCCTTGCTCGGACAGGTGCAGCGGCGTGGGAACCTAGCTTGTGGGCCGCGGTGCTCGATGTGACGCGCAAAATCTGCCGGCTGGCCAAGTGGTGGTTGCTCCAGATTAATTGTGCAGCAATAATTGTCAAGCGGTTGAGCCCTGTTCCTGAAATGATGCTGATTGTCCAGCCGCACGCGTGTTTCAGTATTTGCGTGGTCGGAAATGTTGAGCATCTAGCCGGTTGACCATGAAAGCCATGGTCTGGGATGGACACGATTCATTGAATCCACGATGCGGCGCTGGGTGGGTGGTGTTTACCTCGATCCTTGTGGCTTCGATTCAAGTATTTTGCCTCCTATACGCCAAGGCGCATTGTTGGCGAGTGGACTGAGATATCCAAGCTGTATCGCAACATTGACCGGCATTGGTACGGCAAATGCCGACAAGGTTGAGACGAGGCAGCATTGAATCGGGGCCTTGTGTGAAGCCGGAAGCTAAACTGCTCTAGTAACTGCATTCTCTTTGCTCTGCGTCAACATCCCTGTCCATCCAGGCTGCGACCCGAGTTTGTGGGTTCTTGTTCGACATGGACCCGGGCAAGGACAATTGTGGCCCATGAGCCATGAGTCCATGACTCCGCCAACTGTGTCGTGTGAGCCGGTACGGGACCACCAAACGAACTACGAGCAAGGGTTGTATCTCGTTTCGGGATATAGGCTCAATCTCATCCCCTGTGCTCTTGCAGGCGATGGAGAGGGGTGAGGTTTGTCGTCATAATACTACTACTAGTAGTTGGTATTTGTATGCCAAAGACCATGGGCTGATGTGACCAGTGACGTGGAGTCTGTGCAAAGCGGAACAGGAACAGGCACCGAGCCCAGCACGAAACCTTGGTGGCCATGCAGTCTTCCGGGGCGAGGGGGGGAAAAAAACAATGCTCGATGTGAACATCAAAGCTGTGGCTGACGGCTTCATTACGGAGGGCCATGGGGATGAGGGTGTGCGTCGATGGACCGGAAAGGTTTGCCATGTCGGTCAGATTTCGGTCCACGGTCCACGGTCCACGGTCCACGGTCCACGGTTCCCTCTCAGGGCTTGATGAGTATGTGTATGTCAGGGTCTGGTCTGGAAGGGAAGGCGTATGTGGTCATTGCTTCAATGGCAAACAAGCGCGGCAGAGTGTGGGCGAGGGTGTTGATGCCAACTGTGATGGATGTGTTTGGCAAACATGCAGGAATCCCTCCACGTTGCCGAGACGGGGTTCCCGACGTCGGCAGCCTTGAACGGGAAATTGTAAGCACCACAGTTGATAAAAACGAAACCTGCCGCTCACAAGGATATCCCAGGGCTGCTCCGTGAACAAAGCCGGTTTCGCGCCTATCGGATAGGGGTACTTGAGAAGGCATTGGGCTTTAAATTGCGGTGTCGTGGAGTCTGGACAGAGCACGGAGTAATTACGTATCAATTAGCATTAGCAACGGGGGCATGGTTTGAGGGAAAGATATGAGTTTCTCCATCTTTTTCGTCGACTCGGTGGCTGACAGGTAGGTAACTTGGTTACTCCGGAGTCCGTACTACGACCCAAGACTGGATGGCACTTGGGGCAGACACGGAAGTAACTGTGACCACCTGCCCTACCTACTAGGTACCGGGCCTAAGTACCTACTTACTTACTAAGTACCTAGGTAGGTATGTACGAGTACGTTTGCCTAGGGTAGCCACAGCTTGTAACTAATGGCTCCTTCCCCTTCCTTTGGAACTATTTGTTCCTTGCTTTTCTAAGGTGTACGAGAAGGGAAAAAGGAAAAAGAAAAAAGTAAAAAAAACGCTTTTTTTCTCTTTCGCCCTTAGGCCAGCCATAGCGTGTATCCCAAGTACTTACCTAGGCACTCGTTGTCGTTGTCTCCGTATCAACCCAACACTTTGCTGATGAAGCAAATTTTCTCATGTCTTCACCGTTCCGATTCCGACTCGTGAGTATCACCACCTGTCAGCGAATGCAGCGCAGGACTTCCCCACATCTCCCTACAAACCTACTGAAAAGTAGGTCCCCAGGTATCTACCTAGGTACCTACCTACCTAGGAAGTAGGTAGGTAGCTACTTCCGGCATGTGTGTACGTACTCCGTACTTCGTGCCAACCCCACCTCCGTGATCCTGAGACACTCTCAACTCACTCCAGATTACGACAGACTGTCAGGGTTCGCTGCGTGTCTCTGCGCCTCTACCGGTACGTACGTGGTTACATGGAACCAACTTTATGCAGAGGCCTGACCTCAAACGACCTTTCCGTCCGTTTTGTTGTCTTGCCGCCGGTCGTCTACGTACCGGGGACAGAAGCAGCGCCCGTCTCCCAGCTCCCGATGAGGGCGACGACGGGTAACCTGATCAACAGACCAGACCACCAGGCAGAGACCGTCCTCAGTTCCAAAAGAAATCAAAAACATTGAATCCATACCACACCGTACCAAGATGGAACTTGAGCTGATTTATCTGGCTAGATTGAAAATTTGAAACCGGAAAATAACATGGCAGATGTACCGCTGCGGGTAATTTCAGCCAATTCAGCCTCTGAGCGCCGCATCACGCCGTCATGGTCCATCACGACGCTCAAGGCGAAACTCGAGCCCATTACAGGCGTGCCCCCGTCTGCGCAGAGGCTCAGTCTCAAGGCTTCAGGAGGGTCGAATACCATCCATGTTGAGGCGGCAGACGAGGACAACACCCGCTTGTCAAGCTTTCCCCTCGCGCCCTATGCCGAGCTGCACGTAAGTTTTTGGTTTGGATTTTTCATTTGCTCGTCGGGCAACCCGTTCATGGACTAGGGCACCAGCAAGAAAACCAAAAAAGCGAAACGACCAAGGTCATCATGCGATGGCACGCTTGAACAGCCGCCGTCCGTCGCCTTTACCTCTTCTTCGTCCTTTGTTCTGTTCCCTCTATTGTCCTCTTGTTCTTCTTCTTGTCCTTCCCTCCTCCTCTTTTCTGACTCGCCAAGTCACCCTCAGGATGTACCCTCAGTCAATTGTGTGACAAAATTGTCTCAAATGCATCCTTTCGCCTGACAATCTGGCGGGGGACAAACGCAATCGAGTCTACGGAGTACCTGGTTTGGCAATAATTGGGGGCCGTTGCCGCCTCGGCTGGTTGTCTCTACCTTCTTGGTCCATTCATCATTCCGCCTTTTCATTTTTTCTTTTTGTTTTGTTATGTTGAGCCAGCACGTGTTGAGGTCCAGAGTCGAGCCATATCTTGGACGGCTCAGCGCCATCTTTTTCAGTCCAGCTTAGCAACCTAGGAGCATGGATCTTGTTGGCAAAAAAAGGATAACGAGAAAAGAATGGAATGGAATGGAGGGCGGTTTGCTAACGAGTCTTGTCCTCACTTGACAGGTGGGAGATACCCGACCACCCGGAGCAAGGCCTAACTACACCGACACATCTGGGGTCGACAAGTACGTGATGCCTGAGGAGGAGTACGAGAAGAAAACGGACTCGGTGTTGGCATGGAAAAAGACACAGAAACTTGGTCGTTTCGACCCAAACGCCCCCAGCCACGAGCAAGTCAGGCTGGAGGCTCTGGAACAGGAGGTGCGCCAACGTGGCATCAAAGTCGGGAAGCGGTGCCGCATCGGCGGTGAGGACACTAGGCGCGGCGTGGTAAAATATGTTGGAGAAGTGAAGCAGATCCCGAACGGCATAGGGCAATGGGTGGGCGTCCAGTTAGATGAACCAGTTGGCAAGAACGACGGCAGCATTGACGGCTCTCGGTACTGGGGGGAACCATCAACAATGAAGCATGGCGTCTTTGTGCGCCCAGAGCGAGTAGAGGTTGGAGACTTTCCTCCCGTGAATGATCTCGAGGATTTGGAGGAAATTTAGACCACAGCAGCAAGTCGCTAAATCCAGTCACTTGCATGAGCATCCCCGTCCCAGCCACCGCTTTGTTCATCCACCTTGGATCGGCGAAAGCTCAGCATTACGATATGAGCTTGGTATCATGGACCTGGCTTTTTCCTAAATCCCAAAGCACATCGGGCGGATTCACGGTGGCGAAGTTACCGTCTGCCTGGCGTCTAGGAGGACTCATGTTTCCATTGGATAGATGGTACATGGAGCCTTTGCAGCCTAGATCGTCCATGCCAGGCACCGAAGAAGCGGAACTTGCGGCTCGGTCAGGGCTGTGAACAGAGGAGAGCTGTAAACTATAAAACAGTTTTATCTGTGATGTCCTGGCCAACTACAGCCAAGGGCATGGTCGAACGGACACGAAATGGCCCATTTGATGATGGGCTTTGAGTGAACGGATCTGACGATCCCGATCCCCAGTGTGTTTGAGGGTGTCAGTAACATGGAATGCCGGAGCTCGTGTGCAGGAACACTAGTCCTCTGGGTTTATTCTAGCTCTCAGTGAGGACCAGGCGCGTTTTAAAAGGAAAGAAGACGGTTTGCGATCCATTGGCAGCGTTTGCGCGCTTATTTAAGGGAGAAGCTTGAGATTAAACTACTCCGTACTAGGGAATGGAGGGCCGAGCAAAGGACGGCTTACGGGTGTCTAGGGTATGCTTGGTATATGGAGGCAGTCGGTATTTCCTTGCGGTAAAGCGGCGGCCGGAATATACTAGCCGTCCAATGTTGGAACTATCAGACCGGAGAATGCAGAGCATTAGAGGACATGGGCGCCTGTGGCTGAGATTATCGAAACCGGCTGGCCCCCGGGATATTGGAAACTATTGGACGTGGTCAGCGGGCTGAGAAGGAGGCACGTGTATCAAGTTGGTGGCAGCATTGTCCCATGTTGAACTGGGGTGAAGACGTCGCAGAAGATGGGTGCGACAGCTGGACAGGCTCTCGTTTGATACTCGAGGCCTCCCGTACCTCCCGCATCAAGACCCAGGCGAGACAGGCATTGGACAATGGATAGCGCGACGGGTCGTTTGGGACATGCATCTATTGTGGTGATACGTGGGTTTGAGACGGTTATGCAAAAGACGAGAGAGCCCAAGTCTTTGGCGTTCAGAACCACCCGTCCTTCCTTTTTTTTTCTTTTTTTTTCTTTTTACAATCAAGTTGAGATCGGAGTGGTTGCAGGCCAGGCGACTTCTATTTTTTTTTGTTCTTTTCCTCTTTTACATAGTTTGGTGTCAAGGAGGGGGAGCCGTGATGGGATAACAAGCGTCTCGAGCTCCTTTTTGTTTTCGCTGCCCCATTGTCCGTACTGCTGATGACGACGCGTCGCACCGAGGATAGTCGGCATGGATGCTGTCGAAAAGACGGTTACCAACTTGCTGAGACGATGGCCGAGTTATCAACGCAAAGAGTTCGCCCCATAGTCTTGTGCCTCATCAGATGCGCCGTGTTCTTGCCTGGTTTTGAAAGCGCTGTTCGCGATGAATAAGCGTGGGAGTTTTCTGCAGATTGGCCAGGCAGTGGGCATTTGAGAATACAGATCAGTCGAGGACGTGGCTACGAGATGCCCAGGCCGTCGAGGAAGATGGACGTCGGTCTGGGTGTGATCCTTGCGTGTCCTGTACGCACTAGGCCTTGATCCTGAGGAACAGAGGGTTTGACTCGGGACTGCGATCTAAGGGATGTTGATGGCAACAGGTTGTGGAGTTGCTGCCGAGCCCATTCATTTGTCTTTGTAGCGTTTGCGTTCGGATGTAGGGTTGTAAACGGCTGTCTGGTTGCGGGCGCTTGGTGGCGCCTGGACGCGCTTGGGCGGCGCTTGGGCGACTAGCTCGTGGTGGTGGGCAGCGCCTACTCCGTTATCCGTTCCTACTTACTCAGTACCGAGGCACGTACTTGAGTAAGTACCTAGGTACTTAGGTAAGTAGGTAACTACATAGTAAGTAGCTGCAGGTAGACAGGACGGAGTCAATGGCACGAGGCCCGTAGTCGCACCGAGTATAGCGACACGAGGCCAGGGACGAGTAGACAAGTGCACAAGTACCTACGCAAGATCAGAGACCTGACTTGGGCCCGCAACCGGCACTGCCCATCTCCACCGTTTGCTCGGCTGCCCCAACTCCATTTCAACGTGCGTCAAGAGGTTGGTGGTGGTGTCTCAGCCCGACCCCGTCTCCGTTCAACTTCAAAATCCAGATGTAGGTCAACCAACCCTGCATTTTCGCAGTTGTCGTCGACACCCGGCCGCGAACCACCTCGTCGCACAACCAACCGATGCCGCTTCGCTCGAACTGAGCCCCCCATGACCACGACTCGTCGCCCCCGCCGTTGCCCATCACCACCCGACAGTCCGGCGCTCCGACGTTCGACGCCAGCTTCTTAAATCTGCACGTTCGGATGCCATTCCCTGGCGGCGCCGTCGTGCAAACCACCCGTCGATTCTACAAATGGCCTTGGTCGGCTGCCTAGCTGCGGGCCTTGGCCGCGGCGGCCCTTGGTTGACACTGCTCACAGTCTTTTGTGCAGTGTTGGCGGTTTCTGCGCAGGACGACATGGCCGCCTTTACTTCCGCCCAGAAGGATGTTCCAGATTGGGCGAGCCCGAGTGCCCTTAGCATGGCCATCACGCTCCAACCGGGGGACAGGAGTTCGTCGTCGACGTATACCGTGATCCCATTGACCCCGAGCCTGGGGCTCAATGGAACCGGCGTGACCCGCGGCGTGAGTACTTGCTCTCCAGGAAGCAGACGTCGCAGCACCCAATTCACTGCTAACCTGATTGACTCGTCTTCTTCTTCCCTCCGCAGACCATCAGCATCACGGGCCATCTCAAGGCAGCCAATGTCTCTTCCTACAACGACTTGTCCGGCGGCGACACCATCGCCTTCTTGTCGTGCGACAAGCCTGCTTCGGACGGATTCATGGGCCCCGACGAGATGCTCAGTAGACTCATGAAGGCGTCTTTGAAGGCAATTATCCTTTACACAATCGACCAAAACATCTGCCTAATCTCGAATGACGGTAAGCTGCCCTACACGAGCATCTTGTCCATGGCCGACTCCGGCGAGGCTGGAGGGGTCTTGTCGTATTTGAACGGCACCCAGCCAGCAATGAGTGCCGACGCCCATATATCCGGAAAGTCCGTCCAGTCAAGTCCAAGTTCTGGATCAGGAGACGGCGGAGGTAACAATTCGGCCGTTGCTATGAGCATTTTGTACAGCATCACTGGCATCATCACCCTGTTGTTCTTGGTCATCATTGCCACGGGTGCCATTCGAGCCCATCGATATCCCGAAAGATACGGGCCGCGAGGAGGTCTCGGCGGGCGACCTCGCCAAAGCAGAGCAAAAGGCCTGGCCCGTGCCGTGCTGGACACGATTCCTATTGTCAAGTTTGGCAACCAAGAGCCGGCAAAGCCTGACCCAGAGCTTGAGCTTGACAGCGCCACGGTCGATGGACATGAAACTGCATCTCATAGAACCGTGACAAATACCGGGGAAGGCGAGGCGCCCGAAGCCAAGACCGCTGCCGCCGCGGCCGCCGCCCTGGCGGCCAAAAACGAGGGCGGTGGACAAGCGTCGTTGGGGCCGGATCCCAGTGCTGGACGTGCCGAAACCGAAGAAGGGGACGAGCACCTCGGCTGCTCCATTTGCACAGAAGACTTTACGGTTGGCGAGGACGTGAGAGTTCTGCCTTGCAACCACCAGTTTCATCCTCATTGCGTCGATCCCTGGCTCGTCAATGTTTCTGGAACGTGCCCCTTGTGGTAAGTGGACTCGTGGGGAAAAAATAAAAATGGTAATACGTGCCGCTTTGGAGGCCATGCTGACAATTCTGGCAGCCGCTTGGATCTTCGCCCTGGGCGGCAAGCCCCCAATGATCCGTCCTCCCCTAATCCACAAGAACACCTGGCTCCTCCCTTGGTTCTGGAGGGAGAAGACGGCGACAGCCCTCATGCGATTCACGGCAATCGACTCAGTCGGCTGTTGGATGTCAATCGATTACGGCAGGCTGGTGTAGAAGAGCGAATAGCTGCCCTCCGACAGATGCGCGCCCACTCGACGGACCACGAGACCCAAGTGCCAGAGACGCCGGAGGACAGACCACATGCCGCTCGACTGACGGGCAAGTTAAAGCATAAATTCCGCATACGAACGAGGTCGCAGCCTGCAAGCCCATGATGGGGTCCACGGGACTCACACCAGATGAAAGAAAAAAAAATCATTTTTTTGGCCTTTTATTTGCGATTAATTATTCACGGGGAACGAATTCGCCTCCGGCACACATGTTGTATTGGCTGATGGGGAAATGGTAAAAGAATGACACGACGCAACCCATGTGGCCGGGCTAGCGCAAAGGTTTTCAAATATAGAGGAATCTTGGTACGTTGTGATCCGGTGCCCGGATTGATTGGCGTTTGGATACGGTTTCTCTCTTCTCTTCTTGTTCCTTTTTTTCTTTGAAATGGAATTACTTGATCAGGGTATTAGGGAAGCATTGCAAGGCGTTACGACTGAGACTGGTCCAAGGGGAAGGGGCCGATCGATCTTGTATTTCAACACAGGTTGCTATTCAAATGCACTGATGCAATGCAATGCGTCTGGCTGGGGTTTGTGCTCGTGTTGTACTTGTATACCCCATGCGGGAAGGCAACTCTGTCGATTCTCTGCACGTGGATCGTCTTTTGTGTCGGGTCTGGCGCTCCATGGACAGGACTTTCAATGTCCGTCCGTCCGTGGTCGAGTCGGTATGCCGCTCCTGCCGTGGCTCTCCATGTGTGGTGTTTATTTGGAAGGAGCATCCAAGAATGCCACCTCAACCCAGTCCAAGTACCTTAGGTAGGTAAGTAGGTGGGTTGTACTTCCCTAGTTAAGTGCTACGTAGGTACTGAGGACGCAAGTACGCAAGTACTCGAGCAACTCGAGCAACTCGAAGGCTCACCCAGCTCCGACTTGGACGCTTCCCGCTCCGCCAACTTCCGCAGTCATGCTCGACATCAACAACATCATCATCATCATCAACCACCCTGTGCAACAACGGCCGCGGTTCGCTGGGAGCACGCCTGTGTGGCCTGGCGACCTCGTCTGCTTTGTTGCCAGTCCTGTTGCCCTTTTTTCCTTTCAACGCCGACGCCGACGCCTACTCCTATTCCTTCATTTCCCCGCTGGTCAGTGGCAAGAAATGTCGGCCTGCTGAGCCATCGCGCAATTGTTGTGCCATGGCCACGAGAACGGTTCCCACAGGCGTGGAGCAGGTTCCCGCGGCAGGCAGGGTCTTGGGCATGGTTGTTTCGCTTCTGTCGACCAGCATCTTGGCTCTGTTCTTGAGTACTTGACCCTACTGCGCCCAGTACAGACGGTTGACGGGTTTTATATTGACGTGGCGCAGCGCAGCGATGTCTGGTCATTCGGTCGTGGAGTCGTGTGCCCATCGTGGTGTGGCGTGAGTTTTCCGCTCTTCATCTCCTTGCTGCTTTTCCTTTTTCTCTCTCTCTTGTGCCCCTGAAGTGAATGAACATCTCTGCTGACCTGGCCAGTCGTCTTTGCCATATACACGGATTCGTACATCTTTGTCTTTGCGTCGGCCATGCTGCAGCACTCCATTGGCTTGAATGCTAGCTTCAGAACTTGCGACAGCGCCATTTTGATCTGTCTCGTCTGTTATGTTACTACCAAGGTGGGCGTGTTTTGAGGATTGATTTTTTTTTCTTTTTGGAGGGGACAAGTTTCTCACAAAGTGTCCAAATTGCCGAGCTAGATTGTGAGCAGCGCCGATACTTGACAACTCCTGAGCCAAGTCTGCTGCCGTCGCTGACGGTTTGCAAAGTTTATATACCTGTTTCTTGTTGAAAAGGCGGTATGCCGCGCACCTGTGGGTGATTTCAGAACATGTACCATTGACACGAGGCAGCACATCATTCGCGGCACGCCAAAGAAGAGAATACGCTCGAGATTGTACATGTTCAACTCTCTGGGCATGATTGCCGTGTATCTGGCCGTCGTGATTCTCAACTTTTTATTGTACGTCGTCGCATTGAATGTATCCGACGTTCGGCATAGCGACTTACGAGCACTGTGGGATGCAGCCGGATCGCCAAGCTGGATGACGGGGAGTGCGTCATCGGCATGAAGAGCTTTGCCATGATTCCGCTCATTTCCTTTGACACAGTTGTCAATGTATACTTGACAATAATTTTCCTGATTCCCCTTCGCAGTGAGTTCTCTCTCTACTGTTGAGAGCGTTCTCGGGATGTCGTTTGCAAAACTCAACTCGAAGGCAGAGCTCTACTCATACACGAACATGCCTCGCACGCACGCAAATATTCGTCTTCGAACTGTGGCGTTCAGAACATTTTGCGGAGCACTCTCCACGCTACTAAGCAGCATGATGTATGTCTCTCCCTCCCCCTCTCTCTTTTCTTGGAATAAATTTCATTTTACCTGGTCTTTTGGGGAAGATGATGCTGAAATTATTAGAAACCTGTCTGTTCTAATGTCACTTGATGGAGAGCCAGGTTGGATCTGTCTCATGAGTTGCAACTGTGACAGTCAGTTTTCGCGTCCCCGGCCCCTTTCCAAGTCAATCCACGATGTCCAAAGCTGAGAAATCAGTTCTTTTTTCCGCCGCTGTCATCCAATGGGTCACATCCAAGGACAACGCCGGCACCTCGACCGCCTCCTCAACAAGCGGCGCTGTGAATGGGAGAGACGCATTGGGTCAAGGGTCGGCCAGGGTACTCACTCCCTGCGCCGCAAACTCGTCGACAGCATCAACTCCAGTTGAGCTTCCGTTAGTCCCTACAGCCCGGTCCTCAACGCAGATGGACTCGCGCGCAGGCGAAGCCCCGAGTACCGCCGGCGGCGTCGTCATCACAACTACCATCGAACGGGAGAGCAAGCTCGGCGGCACTACCCAGTCCCAAGGCATCCCAATGGGTATCCCGACGGGCTGTGGGTACCAAGATTGCTTCGCCGCAGAAGAGGGCTTTGCAAGCTTGCAAGACGACCCCCCCGAAGCTTATACCTCTAGAGTCAATATCACCGCCGGTCAGCTTTGGCCGATTTCACCTTGATGGGGGTTTTGGGCACGAGTCGTCTTGTACTTTTTATTTGAATTGTTTCCTGAATTTGCCTGTCATCGAGTATGTTACCGCGTCAATGAAATTGTCTTGGTCTTGGTGAGGAGCCAAGTATGTGTGCACGTAGCACTACTAGTACTTGGATACGTAGTAAAGGCGCTGTCTCGGCCATCAAGACACTCACTCCATTGTCCCATGTCATGACGGCAATATCTACCCGCTGCAAGAATGCACTGCACTAGTCTTGCGGCCGAGACATTGGAATACCAGCCCACGCCCGGCCGATGTTCCCATGTCTGACGTGATCGGCAACACATGTACACTCGATACACTTGGAGGAACTAAGCAAGCCACACACCATGGCACAAGGGGCGAGTGTAAATAAATTGTAAAGAGAAATCAATTGTCGTGGCTCATAAATCTTTGTCCAGCCCGGACAGACAATTCCGCAGAGCAAGATGGCGGGCGTGCTACAAACGAGCGAACGAGCGCAAGTTGTACCTGCCAAGCCTGGCAACATGCTTGCATCCTTGTGACGTCGGACTTGGGTATCTCTCCTATGTAGCATGTGAGAGTCAGTCGGCCTAATTTATACATGAGAATCGAAGCTTTTCCTCCTGGAATTCCTTCCTGTCCCCTTGCGCCTGGTTAAACATCTCCCGGTTTGTACCTGCCCTGATCCCTTAAGCGCTCCTTGGGTTCGTGATAGTATTCGATGAATGAGTGAAGAAAATCAAAAAAAAAAAAAAAAAAAAAAAAAGGGTGGGCATTCACTAGCGAGTGTACAAGAAAGAGCGAGAGCAAGTGACCCGCCAATCACTTATTTTGGCATTTAAGCCGAGGCGAAGATATTGCCGACCGAGCTCAGAGAGGTCAATGTGGACATCAGGCTGTTGGGCCTGATCATGAAGTACGCGTAGCCGAGGAGGTACTCGACGGACTCGAGCTTCTGCATAGCCTTCCTCATGAAAATATCCACCTCGGCGGGGGAGCCGGCGGGAGCAAACTCGGTCAGGAAGATGGACTTGTTGCCGCACCTCTGGTGAGCATCGTCGAGGTGAGCGAAAAGGCTGTCGAATTCGCTGGCGGGGGAGTACCAGTGAACGTTGCAAAAGTCATATTTGCAGCCCTGAATCTTGCATGCAGTGACGAATTTATCAAGCCAATTGAGGCCTTCCCCGTCATTTTGACTATTGGTGACGGCAGGAGCTCCAACTAGGGGCCCTTTGCCGGAGCAAGGATTCATGTACTGTGTGTGAAGACGAGCAGCGTCTTCAGCAGACATGGTAGCTTGGCCAGAGTTGTCGGGCTCGTTGAAAGAAAAGACAGCCTTGGCACCGATGCCCTTGCTACAAGAAGTTCCCCAGCGTTGGAGATTGTCCCCCTTGTCGCCCCAGAGCATGGGAATGAAGCTGTATGCGGGGTCGAGGGAACCGGGCGAGTCGCCCCAGTTGTAGGCCCAACCGCAGGCGCCAGGCTTGCAGGACTTTCCGAAGAGGTTGGCAAGGCTAGCGTCATTGTAGGCAAGACCACGCTTGCCGGAGAAGAGAGGCCCGTTGCTTGATCCAGAGCCACCGCCACCGCTGTCGGAAATTGGAGCCGACTTGACCTGAGAAGTTGGAGGAGCTGGCTGGACCTGGGGAGCCAAGCCGGTGGAAGCAGTCGGAGGAGCTGGCTTGACCTCAGTGGCCAAGCTGGTGGAAGGGGAAGCAGCAGGAGCCGAATTGGAACCGGGAGCGAGAGCAGGAAAGTTGGCAACAGCGTCCATCTTGGGTGTAGGAGTTACAACGACATGCTGAGAGGTGACAGTGCCAGTGTTGGTCTCGACGGTGGATTGAGGAAGATCGTCTTCCCTTGTTACGTAGACGGTCACGACATCAGTAACCCTGTCGATGACCACATGCTTCTTCTGCAGCCGGTGTCCATGTCGATGCAAGCTGAGGGCGGAAGTCGATCCGATGACCGCCAAGGCACCGACCAGGGCAGAAACCTTGTTGGCGTACATGGGCGATGGTGATTTTGTTGATACCAAAAGCACTACTTGTAAGATGGTGTTGTACGTGGATGGTGGTGGTGGTGATGATGGCAAAGAGCTGCTGATTCCTAGAAAGTCGAATTCAACCTGGGCAGTATCGCGTTCCTGTTGATGATAAAAGGGGCTGGTGGTTGTAGCAGCGCAAAACGCAACCTGATATTCTTCGGCACGGCCGTTGAAGGAGAGAAAATCTGACTCAAAGGGTCTGTCAAAGACGAAAGGAATGGCCAAGTGCAGATGCGAAAGCAGCAAAAGGGGGAAGAAAAGGCAAACGGGTCGAAGCTAGCGACCTTGGTGCTCGTGCTCGAAGGAGCAGAAAGGAAGGACAACGGAAGCGTTGCGTGCGGACGAAGGAATGTGATGTAGGTGAGGGCGGAGTGGAGGGCAAAAGAGAGACGAAACAAAAAGGCTGAGGTGGATGAGGTAGAAGAATTATCAAGACTCGGAGTTGGAGAGGGAGAAGACAATGTGCTCGGTGAATGCCAGCGCCAGGGGGTGTGGCTGAGCAGGGCGCGTGTGCGGAAGGGGTGTGCCGGGCGGCGTGAGTGGCGAGCAGTGACTGGGCGAGGCGGAGGAGTGTAGGAGCACGAGGTGTGCGCCGATCAACGGGGGGAAGGGGGAACCTGCTCGTAGATGGGGCAACTGGACGAATAGCCGCTTCTCAGACGGCAGGGACGGATGACGGATGGGGAACGCTGAACATTGAACGAACCATCAGCGGAGACGAGCCCCAGCCGCCCAACGAGCCAGCATTGCCCTCGGACCAGACATGGTGGGGAACGGGACCACCAGCAAAGGGCTGATAAGATTCCAACAAAAACCACAATGCCGAGTTGGAGACTTTGTTGCCCTGCCCCTGGTGGTACGGAGTGCGTACTGTCCGTGTCCGGCGTCGGCATCCATGGATCATGAGTCGGGCACATGACTGCCAACGGCGTCGCAATCCGCATTCCACGGCACACTGTAGCTGCACACACGCAAAGGTTGCCGTGACAAACGCCGTGGTGGTGCTCCGCTGGCCTATCTTCTTGGGCGACGCAAACCCAATGGCGAACAGGATGATGGACCAGACACTTGTCGAACAGGCACACAAAGCTTCACAGAAATCCGCATTGATACTCCGTACAGACGCACCAAACAAGCCAATGTTTCTGCAAACTGCACCATCCAAACTCAAAGCACGCCCGTCTCTGTCCGTGGGGCTCCTTTGGCGGCGTTCGTTTTTTTTCCCCTATGCACCTTTAAGGTACTCCTGCCGACCAAGGCGATGCAGCTTCCCGCGTAAAACCATGGCGCACAAGCACGCAGTCCCGGTTTCTCCGTAATACAATACAATCCTTCGGCCTTGTGTACGTCAAACATGTGCGTATGTGTGCATGTACTGTTGTATTTTGTTCTGGCGAGAGCACAGTCGGCACAGTCCCCCATCCCGAGTTACCGGGCAGTAATCCTTTGGCAGGCCGGGGACGCCTGAGCATGACCATATTTGTCTGAAGCCGATGCCAGGGGACCACGGCGCAGCAGGGGTGCCATGCTCGGGTTCCGTTCCACGCTGCGGGCGGTTTGGTTCGACGACGCAACGCCAGGTTGCGCCGCGAGGGCGTCGACTCTCGAGTTTGTCCTGCTTCTTTGACGTGACATGCGTAGTCCGACAAAGCTCTCAATAGAACAGACTGCTGCTAGTATTCGGTTAGCGGCAGTTGAATGGTCCTTAAAGGGGAAGGCGGCGACCATGGCCCCGACAAACCTAGACGGTGCGGATCTACAATGACCACGGACCATGACAAAGTCCGAGCTGCATCTTGGCCGCATCTTGGCGAACCAACAACGTCTTGCATCGCTTCCGCTGCGCAGCACGTACGGAGTACGGAACCGCTAGCTCCTTCCAAATGCCTGCCATGCTACCACCAAGGGCCTGGATCTACTTAGGCCGGTGGGGACCATCTCTCCCGCTCCCATTGGGTGGTGAATCCAGGAACCGAGAACTCGTTGGCTGGACGCCGGGACCCCCTTTGTCCAGGAGACAAAGCCCCACCGGCTTGCGCCAAGCGCCGCACCTTCCCAAACAATCCGCTCGTGGCCGCCAATTGCAGCAGGAACCGACCCACCTGCCGAGTTGAACCGAAACAACATTGAACATCTGGACGGCCCTTTTGGCTTTTCTATCGGAGCACACGCATGACATGTTTCCTGGCTCCGCGAGTCGTGGGCGGCACCGATTGCGTCGCACCAAAAAGCAACTCCTCACCATCCCGTCGCGGGCTGGCGGGGAGCCCCATACCCAATGAGAAAGGCCCACCACTCTCGTCAACCACCTGACAGCTGCCCTACGTGCGCGTGATTGGCCGTAAATATAGGTCAATTAATTTACTAACGTGATTTATTCTGCACCCCTATTTTTTCCGTGAACCGCAATGTAACTACTCTTCGGGCATGAAACATGTGTTGAAAATTGCTCATCAATTGGACTGTCGCCAAGGGTACCCTTATTTTTGCATTGCCTAATCTCAAGCCGCAGAAGAGCACAGCTTCTGTCACGTACCTCGCATGAGAGCGCAGCCACTGTCGCGCTCGACTTCCCGACCGACCATCGGTTAGATGGCATCGAGCCTCCGCAGCGACGAGGCGCAAGGGAGTGGGAGTGAGCGACAGAGACTTTGACTGGGCTGCCTGCGCTGGTGAGACTCTGGCCGAAACATGTCCCCTGCGAAGGCGTTCACGAGGTCTGGATGCTGCAAGGACGAACACTCGCTGTCGCAAGCCGCGCGGAGAGGGATGGTGCTACGAAGTCGTCAATGCATGGCGCATTGTGCCTCGGGGTGCCCTGCCATGCATGCGTGCCTCATTCACCCGTCGGTCTAGTCCCGGTGTGTTTGGCGTCGTCCATCGGGCGAGGTGTGCGCAGTGGCGTTTCGGTATATCAAGGCACGACTGACACCTCCTCCCGCCCAGGTATCGCGGACATGTGTCCAGGTGTCACGAGAATCTAGACACGTACGGAGTACGACCCTTGTGATGACCGGAGTACGGAGTGATTGATCCATGATTTCCACGAGGCGGTCAGGCTTGGTTGGCCCTGTTGATGCTCGCGGATACAAGCCTTCCTTCTATAGGGTAGTCCAATTGCTTTGGCTCATGCCCAGCCCGTCTTGTGTGTGCAATGTAGAACACAGCGTCGGGTTCCGGCGGATTCAGCAAGAGGTGTCCGTGGTCTTGTTTCAAGAACGATGCTGATCAGAGGTAGTTACCGCGCCGGCTGATGCATCTGTCTTGGAGTTGCATCCGCGTTCCGCCCTCGACGACGAATCCGCCTGCGGCATTCCAACGCTGACATACGACGCCGCATGCATGATGCTCATCAAGTCCCGTTTCATCGAAGCGCCTCCCGCCTTGACAGGCATGGCCGCACGGCTTTGATACAAAAAACAAATAAAATGAAAAAAAAAAAAATCAAGGCATGGCCCACCTTCAATTCGAGAGCGTGGTGGTCCGTGGACTATCCAAACAAGTCTAGCTGCATCAATACAGTGACGCATACGGAATACCCTCGACACACAGACGAGAAACCAACACGCCAATCCAACCCCCATCTCGTCAACGAACCAAGCACCTCTGCCGAAGCGAGAAACAACAACCTCGGGCAACGCTCCACGACGACGCTCACGGCCCGCCGCCGGCCGCCCCGGCCAAGACCATAAACTGCGCCGCCCTCCTCCGATCAACCTCCTTTTTCAGCATGACGACGCACCCGCTCAGGACCAAGACCTCCATGGCCCTCGCGTCGGCCTTGCGGCCAGCCCACCCGGTCAAGTCCATGACCAGGCGGCCGCCGTTGCCGGCCGTGGCCCGCGTCGTCCCCGGCGTCCGCAGCTCCTCGCTCCGCACGAGCTGCGCGACCCGTCGTCTCCGCTCCGCGGTCTTGCCGTCCGCCGGGGCGGCGCTCGAAACCTCCTCCATGACAAGCAGGCTGCTCGCCCCGGCTGCCCTCCTCTCTCGCCGGCTCGCATAGCGCCACTGGAACGTGCCCAGGTGGGTGCGCATGTTTTGCGCCCGCGTGTGCAGTCCCCCGCCCGTGACCTCGAGCTCCTCCTCGTGCGCCACCTCGCCCTGCAGCCGGATCCTGGGCGGGCGGCCCGGCCCAAAGCGGTACGTCGTCGAGCACAGGGGCTCCTCTCGTGCGAGGGGGTCGTCGGCGCGGACGAGCACGCTGTCGCCCGAGCAGCGTGCGCGGCGGAGAGACCGATACGCCAGCGGGCCGAGGGACCCGTCGGGCAGCACGGCCACGATGTCGATGGCCGAGGCGCGAGGCGCCAAGGGAAGGGCCACGAGCGGCCGGCCCCGGGCCTCAATCTGGTACGTGTGTGTCGGTCGGAGGCCGGCGGTGGCGAGGGCCGCCGCGCACGAGGCCCGCGAGGCACACGCTCTCGATGCGACCGCGTTGTCGTAGGTGGGCAGCGACTCGGTGAGCTCAGCGCGCTCGTCTCGAGAGTATTCCGGGGGCAAAGTGGCCGCGGTGCTGGGCTGCCCGAGGGCGGCTTTGTCGTCGAGCACTTGCGCGGCCATGATGTCTAGGGGGTGTTGGATTGCAACGGAGATGTGAGTTGTCGAAAGCGATGTGTTTAGAAAAGTAAAAAAGTAGCAAGCATCACCTGGGTGCAGTCGCTTTCTTGATATATGTCGACTGATCTGGCCTCTTTTATGCCTTCTCTTCCTCTAACTCACGTCCATGTTGTGTCCTCGACGCATCTCGCAGAGCCCCGGCCCCACAATTTTCCATCGCGAAATACGACTTTTCCGTTGATCGAGGTGCCGCCACAACGGGCGCTTCCGTTGACCGTCTCGCTGCCCGTTGGCCGTTGGGCGATACGATCAATACGGTCAAACCGGGGTTGGGTTGGCATCCAATCACACACCAGAGCGAGTCCCGCTATCTCACAAGGCTTCTCGACGTTTCACCAGCACATGGGAATGTGAGGTGCACGAGGCGTCCCTGGGTTCGGGTGGCTGTACCGATATGGTTTGCAACAGCCACAAAAGGAGAGGCCTGGATTTTTTTGCTCTTTCCAAGAAAAAAAAAAAAAAAATTAAAAAAAAAAAAAAAAAAACTAGGCCTGTGTGGCGTGGGGGAATGAGGCAGAAGGGAGGTTTCGTGGTGATTGGCAAAAGGGGCTCTGCGCGTCTGGATTCTGCAATGATTGTTGATGAGAGCGGAGAAATCGGGCGTACAACGCTGCTGCCTGGTCATGACGGAGTAGGCTGGGATGAGAATAATCACAAGGACACCGTGCGTCTGACCAAGAGAGGCGGCGGATGTCCATAGAAACTCTATTCGCGACTTGCACAGAAGCAAGGCCGTAGGGCCGGAAATGATTAACCAAATATATCCAACATCACCGCCGTCAACAAAAGCTGCAGCTCGCTTTGCCGCCCTGACATCACACCTATAGTCGTCGTCCAAAAAAGGTGAGGTCCTTGTCCAGTTGTGCTTCTACCCAAAACGGCCACTGGTTGTATGATTGATGCTCGTAGTCTACTCTGGCGTTTAGAAACTTCAACCACTTCACAAAACCTGGCGCAGGTCCGGTTTCAGTTGAACAAGTTGGTCTCTTTTCACAGACGTCGTACTCGCGCTCGGTGATGAATGCCATGATCTGCGACAAAGCGATCCAATGTGCGTGAAGAAGAATCATGCTCTGTCTGTCGAGGTTGATGAGCTGTTGGAAGGTGCTGTGTGGTAGCATCATCCACCACGCATACTGTCTGCTGTTGGATTTGTATGCTGAGAGGACCATCAGAATCACGCAATGGAACCAATGATTGACAGGTATGAGGACCGACCCACCGTCAAACGAGTTTACTCGGAGCTTCCCTGCGATGCCAAGTAGTTGCTCGTAGTACTCAACTTCTACTGGCTCGACACATAGTGGCCGCAGGCTTGAGATGGCTTCGACAGCGGTGTCAGCCCACCCTCGTTGAATCAGTGGTAGGTCTCGTAGATAAGGTTCCATTATCTCGTCCTGGCGGTCTTCAAACAGATTCTCGAAAATGGGTTTGATCCCCTTAAACATCATTTGCATTCCAACGATGAGGATACCCCGGATAAATGTCATATATTCTGCCAGGCCGTCTTCTAGGCAAACAGACTGGAAGGTCAAGGCGAAACAAGTGGCGACGAGCGCATTGGCCTCTTCGTAGCTCGTTTGGGCGCGCGCAGATTCAGAAAGCCGTCTCTTGATGGCTTTGATAGCTTTGATGCGGTGATTCATAGCTGCCTGGACGAATAAGCTGTCGTTGGGGGCCAGTTCTGATGCCGCGAAGCCCAGTATGGCGTGCATCAAGAATTCATGCTACCCGAGATAAAGTCAATACCCCTGTTTCTGACCCAACCTCTACAGCCGAGTGTGTGCAACATACATTGTGGGCAATGCACGGGATCTCGTGAGTCCAAATCTCCTCCTGCTTCAATGGATGGTGAGGGTAGCACTGAGTCAGGAAGTGCTGGAAGAATCGCATGTCCTGCAAGCTGAAGAGGGGAATCTGATGGTGAGGCTGCCACGGTGTTAGTCGCGGACGCTGGGGCAACATGCGCATCTTCATCTTGCAGGCAATGCATCAATCACCCATGCATCACGGCCCGCTGTTCTTACCTGATGGACGATTTGTGGCACGGACGGGTATTCACATTTCAAGCCCGTCTTGACACAATGGCCGCATGCAGGACGAGTCTCCTGACACTATGTCGACGGGTTAGAGTCTCCAACTCTCCGGGGATTCGGCATTGGGTGCGAGAACTTGGCTAAATTTACCTTTATGCGTCTCCTCTTGCAGTTGTAGCATCCGCGTCTGCTCTTGGTGTGTCCCCTCCGTTCCAACCTCTGCTTGTGAGCGGATTGCCGACGCACAACCAACGTGTCGGTGGCAGCAGATGTACTTCGTCCGTCGGAGCTTGGGGGTGTTGCCTGGCGCGAAGAAGATGCTAAAATGGTTCCTGCTGACGTGTGATGCGATGGGTCTGGGAAAGGAATGTCTTCCGCCTGCTGCAGAAAGGTCGAATAGTCAAACTCGGAGGGGTCGGAGTAGCTGAGGATCACTGGAGGGAAATGTTGCAGATGGTCCATGCTGAAAAGTCAACGAGGGCTGAAGATTCGATCTCAAGATCGGTGCGGTTACTCGGTGTTTGGTACAAGAGGTGGTGATGGTGGTGGAAGGGGACTCGACATTGAAATAAGTGAGGCAGCGCGACGATAGTTGGGCGTTGAGTGTGTGACGGGAGGAGACAAGTTGACAGGATCTAAAACAAGCCACGCCGGTTCGAGTCAAAAAACCACACCAAGAGGCTCTTCATGGTTGAGCTGCCTGTTCCCATTTCGCCATTTCCAGTCGTGCCCGAATTCTGGCGTTGCGGCGTGCAGCGAACGGCGCACAGCGTGCAACGGGGAGCTCGGCGGGGAGGGGCTCAGCAGCTTTGTCACGTGTATGGAGTATGGAGCCGACGTGATTCCAACGTTGCCCGGGCGGGCAACATGAAGTGAGAGTCATTCAATGCGTGCTGTTGCTGTTCGTTACTGACGTCAAGGGGATGGATGGACGGATGGATGGATGAGGGTAAGAAAGAGGGCTGAACCGGCGGATTGATACGCCGGGCCTCGCGGCATCGTGAGGCTTGGGCTGTCATTGGCTGTCTGGCTGTCTGCCTAGCCAGCCAGCGAGTTCCAGTGGGTTGGATTGAGGGGACCACAGTGGCGGCGGCTCAGCCATTGAGCCCAACTGGGACCGCTGAGGACCCCTAAGCTGCAGCCCGGGGGCCCACACGTGCACCCACCACATGCACTGACGCTTCCAAGAGCTTTTCCAGTGGCGCCGCTCGCCGTCAACACGCAATGGCTCTCGACTCCCCATTTCCAACATCGCACATCCATCAATGCCCCCCCCTGATATCCCCGGCATCTCGTCACCGACTTTGCAGAATCGCTGTGCGATTTTTCACTGGCTCCTCGGCATGTTGGCTGTCATCGTTCTGGCCTTGGCCGGTTCTCTCCGCCCCGTCATCACGGCGTGAACAAGGATCAATTAATCGGCCGAACATTGGATGCGTGCAAACCAAATCCGAAGTCGTGGCCTGAGATTTGCAATTGGAGTGCCTTGCTATTTTAGAGCCGGCGGCGACCCTCCGCTCGGCAGGTTGTGGTACAAATCCATAACAAAAAACCTCTCAGCCGTCAGCCAAACCCAGAATGTAAAGTTAACTTACGGAGTACTCCGTGGTCACTTGACGGCATCAACTGGAGCGACCGAGTCCTAGCTTTCGGTAAGATCTATACCTCCATCTCTATACCGTATCCATCGTCCACACCTTGATTCCCCATTTGGCACATGTCAGCTTTCAAAGCAGCCTTCGGCCAACCCAACCATCAAGTCGACTCATCATGTCCTCGAATCCCGGCTCTCGCTCCCGCCAAACGGAATATTGGGACGCTTACAAGTTAGTGGAATTCCATCCACAAAGGTTCCAGGAAAAGCTGAACACCCATCACAGGATCGAGCATCCCAAGTCCGGCTGTGCGTGAATCCGTCAGCAAGAAGACCCGTCAGTCTCCGAAATGCTGCCGTTTTCAATCATCCATGATTCAGTCAGCGTTTAAAGGCATGTCGAATCTAGCCGGGGTGGATTACTGAAAGGGTCCAGAGGCAGGCTTTGCTGTGCGCACCGACTCCGAAGCCAACACAATCCCAGCACTTTGCCTCTACGATTCTTCCGTAATGCGAGACTTTTCCCCTAAACAGGCCTGACTACACGCGCTACACAAAGACGAGAGATAAACGCCCCACGGCCTTCGAACCTGACCACCAAGTTCCAAACAGTTACCCATTCGAGGCTGAGTTCCCGGCTGTTTTTTGTTTTTTTGCCATGTTTTGGGAAGAGAGCGTGTGGCACCTTCATCCTGTTATTTTGCCTTCTGTTGTCTTGCCATGTACGCTCGGGGTCCTTTGACCCTAGTGATATGAACCAACTCCAACAAGGCGGGAATTATTCACAACGCTGTGAGGCCGCGGCAGATAAAGCTGGCGCATCACCAGGATCTGTTTGATACTAAGTCCTGGCACTCCGCCACTGAGACAAAAGCCCCCTTTTGAATCACTCGGTTGAGTGTCTGTCTTGACTAAAATCTTCCTGGCTCTATTGTAGATGATGTCGGGATTGGCTTTTTTCCCCGCCTGTTGCGTCAGCATTTGGACCCCCCCAATCAACTGGCCGTGGCGAGCTCTCTGAGCTGCTCCGACGACGTATATTGGTGGGAAATCCTCTAGCCAGTCTACCAGTATCAGTCCACGACGGACTGTTCAGTCAGCAATCCGACACCTTGGAGCTGCCAACTTGGCCATGTTCCAAGTCCCATTCATAGCTGTGTTCAATGCAACAACAACTTAGAACCTGGACCTGCGAGTCAGGAGCACCTGCGACGACAACCCGTTTGGGATGGCGTTGGCAAAAGCGTCGTGTCGGGCTCCGGACAAGACTGCTCTCGGTCCTATGAAATGGAAATACGTGCCTGACATGCTGTGATTCATTTAGATGCTGCATGTCACGCCATCACACACACGGGATGTGGAAAGACTCACCAACTCCTACCAGATGCATCGGCGAACTCATGCAGGATTTGGAAAACAGTCGGCCGAGAAAACCCACAAACAGACTTCAGAAAAGAGCCCGAGAGACTCCCCCGTCGACAAGGGCTGCGTCTAGGACCGATCCGCTTTCAGCTTCAGGCTGTAGCCACAGACAGCTCATCCAACAAGGCAACCTGGCAATTTATTGGCAGGCGCAAAGAGACGGCAAGGTCATGCGACGATTTCAAGGACGTGAGGCAACAAAAGAACTCCCATCACGTCGGACGATCCAGCATCAGCCGAATGCGAGAGTTGTTGTCTGTTCTGCGTCACCATCTACTCCGGAAGGAACACAAGACCTAAGCCATAAACCATACCATGGCGCACTGATGTCAAATGGGGTCCGTTTTGTTTCATTGTCTCCTTCTGCTTCTTTACACGAGGAGAGTAGTTTAGAGAGGGCTGTGGATCGGACCACGGCGACCAATCTCTCGTCTTAGTAGGTGTAAGTGAAATTCTCCAGCCCTTCCAACACCGCCTGCCCCGTCATGGCCCTTTTATTCGCAAACCAGAACCAAATCGACAAGCCCCCGGTGCAAAGCAAGAGGCAGACGTTGCAGGCAATGGCGGCGTAGATTCCCGGGAGATACTTTGGCTGGTCCTGGCTCCTAAAGACCAAAGCACCAGCGACCCCCCCGATGCCACCAAACCCGATCAGTGTGGCGCTGCAGAATGCGCGTTTCCAGTGCCCACGGATATTATTGGCCTGATACGTCAACACGGGGGGCGTATTACCGCTGGCCCCAGCCACGATGAAGAAGACCCCCGCGTAGCGAACAGGATAGGCGTGGTGGAATCCCATGAGCATCAGCCCGACGAGTGCCAGGACTGCGTTGAAGGCTATGATGGGGCTTCGGAGACGATAGCGGTCCCCGAGCCAGGCTTGCGCGTACATGAGGAGACCGGTGAAAACCCACGGCGGCACCACGAGGCACTGGGACTCTGCGACAGAGAAGCCTAAGAGCAAAGGAGAGGTTAGGCAGGGCAAGGGCGACGTTGGGCGGAGACGCTGGCTGAGGTACTGACCCATTCCGAGGAGAATCATGGGAAGGAAATAATTAATGGAGTAGCCCACGGTGGTGACGCAGAAGAACATGAAGGCAAAGACCCAGATTTTGGCATCGGCGGCGGGCGCGAAAAACGCCTCGAACGAAAAGGGCTCCGTCACGGCGTCCCCCCGGTCACGGTTGACGCGCCGGATGATGAAGTCGCGCTCCGGCCGGGTGATGAAGTTCCACGACTGTTCGGCCTCCTCCGGGAAGCCCACGAGGAAGACGTACGAGACGAGGGCGCCGACGCAAGACAGCGCGCCCTCGACGACGAAGATCCATCTCCAGCCCCTCAGCCCCGCGAGACCGTCCATCCTGGAGAGACCAAAGGCCAGAATGCCGCCGAGCGCAGCGGCGACGCACCCGACGCCGTAGAAGACGGTGTAGCGCTTCTGCATGTCGAACCTGGTGTACCACGTGCTGAGCAGGTACACGGCCCCCGGGAAGAAGCCGGCTTCGAAAACGCTAGTCGGCTCGCACCGGTCAGTCTGCCATTGGCCCAGCTCGAGGTGTCCCCGTCTTGCTCTGTCTGGCCACTCACTTACCCTACCAGGACGCGGAGCCCGGCCAGGCTCTGCCACGAGTTGACGAAGCCGTTGCCGATCATGACGAGGCCCCATGCCATGGTGATTGAGCTCAGGAAGCAGCGGGGGCCGATCTTGCGGGTGAGGACGGTGCCGAGCGGCTGGAAGACGGTGTAGGTGATGAAGAAGACGGAAACAATGACGGAGTACCGGGAACCTGTCTGGAGCCCAAGATCGCTGTTGAGATGGGCGACGGCGGCGGTGGAGATGTTGACCCTGTCCACGAGCGATATCACGTACAGGCCGGCCAGGACGGTGACGAGCCGCAGGTCGCTGTATGCACAAGTTTCAATGAGCCGCCGGCAGAAGCAGTGTGCGGGGAGGAAATGGCTTTGTTTCTTTTCACCAACATGCGGCGGATGATTCTCCTCTGCTCTGGGAGCGAGTACACCTCGTCGTCGTCTACGTGGCGCCCGAGGGCCGGCGGCGACGATGTCGACCCGAAGCGCCCTTCGGTGGTTGCGTAGTGGCTTGCGTACTCTTCCGACTTGGCCATGGTATCTGGCGGGGCAGCTGTTGCAGAGTGAAGGGTTGATGATGCCGAGACGAGGCACTGTGTGTGTGTGTGTATATATATAGTGTGCGTCTGTGTATACATGTTGGCTTGCGGTCCGGTTCGCGCACCAACACGCACCCCCCGGGGTATGGGAGATGCGACGCGGAGTAAGCGGACGGCTCGTGGCGTGGAAGGATCGTGGGTGCGTGTGGCCATCCACTAACCTTGGGTCGCATGGCACTTTCAGCCTCGGGGGGGGGCTCCAGAAAACCTAAATATTGGAATATTGGTCCTGGGGAGTGCAGCTATGTACAACTTCGGCAGGGGTGGCACGTTGCAGTCGGGACAATGGCTTTTCGGTCTCGAATCATGTCCGGCGCTGCTGCGGACCTGGCCGCCACGGGAAAAACCACACATGTACGTTGCTGCTTCGCCTCGGCATGCCTCGCATGTCTAGCAAGCAATGTCGGCAGCACACGATGAGGCGACGCCGCTGGTCATGGGCCATGGCTGGTGATGTTGGCGAGCACCTGGGCAAGGCTTGACCAGTCCAGTCCACGGACGAGGTGGCAGCATCCTGTGCCGACTGCATCAGCTTGAACATGAGTACACATGTATATATAACCTACCGAGGATTGCAAGTTATACAAGTCTTCATGCAACTACAAGTGCGCATTCGTCTGTCCTCATTCGCCCCCAATCAGACTCATGGCCCATGCCCTCCACTCGAGACTCACAGTTGCCAGCACGTATTGTACTTGCAGCCAAGGACCGTAGTTATCGCCAACAAACTCATCTAGGAAGCGAGGCCTGCCTTGTGCGCTCGAGGAGGCCCTTGAATTGCTGCGAACGTTGCTGGCATTCCCCCGAGCACTCGGAAGGCCACCGCCAGGATAGCATCCCTGCCGCGGCTGAACGCATCGCACACGTCTGGATGTGGCGAGTAGTATCTTGACGAGGAGACGCTGCTGAATATGCGGCCCGTGTCGAAGAAGCTGCTTATCTGCGGCCAATTCGCAGCTCCGTACTGTATCAATGAGACCCTTGGCGTCGTTGGACCAGGCAGTGTGATTTTCCTCGTACGGGTCAAGCAGAGTGTAAGACAGATAGTCAGATAGCTTCTCGTACGTGATCAACTGGCGATAGAACTGCGGAGTGTGAATCCTCAGACTAATCACATCCTGGGTAGGCTGCTGGGTAATACGCAGCCCCAAAAGACTGTAGCTGTCGGGGCACGCTTCCTCCACGCTCACCTGCGAAGGGGAACGCGCCGACGTCCCCTGTTCGTCATGCGCCGTATTTACGAGGTATTCTACATATTGAACAAAGATGGACTGCACAAAGCTTTCCGTGGCAGTTGCCCGCCGCGGTAGGGCGGATTGACGCGGTTCTGGACGATACCAAATGTGCAGCCGGTGAAGCTGAGCCAGCAAAATTGCGTGGAACAGGATTTTCGGGACTGGATTTCCCCCCCTCCAGTTAGCATCTCCTCGACCGCTCATGTGGACAGGCCGACGGCAGGTGCCCTTACATGTTGTGAAGATTCTTGAGCCCCAACACAGAAGGAGCCATAGCGCCTGGACGGTCGATATCGTCAATGGATCTATCGCGGGCTCGTCTGACCACCAGCGAGCTGTCATTTTGGGCCGACCCTTGGAGGAGCGCAGCGTGATTGCTACCGAGATGTCCCTCCCGTCGGCGGGATCCAAGGTGGAGAGCGTGTAGGTCCCTTTTCTGGAATTAAATGGAGACACGTGGAAGTCCTTGTCAAGCCTCTGCCTGAATATACCCGGGCCGCCCGAGGCCGGAAATAAATACATGCGCCGCTCGTCAAACGTGTTGTTCACCTCTGCAATGACGTACTTGAGCTCCATGACTGACGTGTAGAGATACCAGAAAGAGGCCGGGTTGAACGTGTAATTGAGGAAGCGAGGCGAAGTGAGGAGGTACACATGGGGAAAGTCGGCTGGGTTGAGGCCCTGCTTGCGAAATGGCAACGTTAGCCACGGGACATGGTTATCGCATCCCAGGTCTGACATGTCTGTATACCTGCAGCTTGAGGTATGCGTCGATGTTTTCAGAGAGGGTAGCCCCGTCCCGTCCACGGTTCAAATGGTCCTTGGGGGAGACGTGAAGCCAGCCCCTTTCCCACCATGGCGCCGCGTCGACGGAGAGCAGCCAGTTTGACGTGGGAGACCGCACGGGGATGCCCACCGACAGGTACGGGTAGGCAAAACGGTGCTTCTCCGGAAACAGACGACGGTGTGAGATTTTGCATCTGATGATGTGCGTTTTGTGGACGGAGACACCACAGCGGCGCTTGGTTGCGCGTTCGTGTGGGACACTCGTGAGCATCGTCGGCCTGGACGGAATTCCTCGTTAGCCGCCGGGTAACTGGCTGATGAACACAGGTATACGGAGAGACAGGGCCCGTGTAGCAAGGTGGCAAGTTATCAAGTCATCTCTCGAGTAAAACCTACCGCGGAGTCCGCTGCAGAATTCCTTGGGTGGGTGTTGCATTGATTCCACGCTCACGATTCCGACTTGGTACGCGGTGTTGAACCTAAACCTGCTTGTAGCTATCGCTGACGGACGGCTTGAGGTGGGGGGACCTGCGCTAATCTTGAAGTGATCGAAAAAGTTCCTCAAGTACCAGGTACCTAGGTCCCTGGGAACGTGGGAAGATGGGAAACATGGGAAACATGGGAACATGGTATGGCATGGCATGGTTGGTATGGCGTCCGCCGTCAACGGTTGGTGGTTGACTTGGACCGTCATCTTGCCCCCTCCTTCGCACAGTGTCACTCGCGCTGACCCACACGGCCGACGAATTGCCCAAATCGATTGACCATAATGATGAGAGCTTCCGCTGTATGCTCGCATTTTCCTCTGTCTTTGTGCCAATTCCCCTGCTCTTCTTCGCTCTTTGTCTCTGACATCTTTCGATTCAAGCCTGCCTACCTGAGCCTCGCACCCCCGCTGTTGTAGCTGGCCGCGATGGCGTCCGAGAGACACTTTAGACACATTCCTCCGTTCCCAGATCATGTCCCAGTCATTTCCATCAACACCATCTCCCTGGCAGACCTGCGCTCGGCCGACGGAAACTCCGCCCAGAGCATGCTGGCCGCCTGCCAAGAGCTGGGGTTCTTCTCTCTCAGTCTCCGCGGGGACAGCCTGGGGGAGGCCATGATGGAAGACATTGACCAGCTGTTCGACGTGGCCAGGGACATCATGGACCTCCCCCCGCACGTCAAGCAGCAATACTTGCACGACATCCCGAGAAGCTTTCTGGGGTAAGCCTCTGCAGGAAAAAGCCGTCAGTAGATCTGACCACTTACTGCGGCTACTACTACGTACTCCCCCCTCCCTCCTCACTACTGTACCTTTCCCCAGTCCCCCGCCCGTCCCGTCCGTCTTTTGGGAGAGGGGGCTCGTGTCTTACCGCGCAGGGACAGGTTCAAGCCTCTCGGCCATGCCAAGACTGAGACCGAGGAGCCAGACCGCTTCGAGTGGTTCAACCTGGGCCAGGATGGCCTGATGGGCACCGCGCCGCTCCAACCGCTCCCGCATCTCGTGCAGAGCCATCTCCCGCTGTTCCGCTCGTTCCTCCACCGCGGCCAGTCTCTGCAGAAAACCATATGCTCTGCCCTCGAGGCCCAGCTCTCGCTGCCCGAGGGCATCTTGATGGCCTCGCAGACCCCGACGAAGCCCTCGGGCACCGTCATCCGGCTCATCAAGGCACTGGCCTGTCCGCGGGATGAAGATCTTCGCACGAGCATGATCCACCACACTGATTTCGGCACCATTACGCTTCTGGCCAATGTCGTTGGCGGCCTGCAAATCCTGACGCCTGGAGGGTCTGCCGCCGATGAGGGCGCATGGCTCTGGGTGCGTCCTGTGCCGGGCTGTCTGATTGTCAACCTTGGGGATGCGATGGTGCAGTGGACGGGCGGCATCCTGCGCAGCAATGTCCATCGCATTCGGTATCCGCCAGGGCAGCAGCGCCGTGTTGACCGGTACAGCCTCGCCATTCTCTTTAGGCCGGAACGGGAGGCGAGCATGAAGAACAAGACGGGCGAGGGCGAGGGCGGGGACACGGGGAACGTGGCCGACGATGGCAACTTGACCGCCTGGGAATGGGAGGTGAAGAAGGCAATGGCCCTGTCGAGAGGGGATGCCGTCGTGCAGAGCAAGGGCGGGAAACTACTGTATGGGAACTGACATGCCATCAATTACTATTATTATATTTTCTTTGCAGTAATTACTACTATACAATGGTTGCCCCCCTGTCCCATGGATGGACCAGCGTCTGGCGGCTTAGTTGCTCCTCGTGCAAATCAACCCTGTGTGCCTGTATGTCGATGCTGGTCTCCATATGGACGACGCCGCTGCCTTTTGGAATACGCGGGATTGAGGTGCTGAGCGGTATTTCATCCTCATTTTCATCCTCATGGTAGTCCGACTTGGCGTTGGCAGGTCGCGCGTTGGCCCCCGGGAAGCCCTTGCTGCCCGATCGGGAGGCGTCGCTTCCTGTATGATCAGAGGCCTTGGTAGACGACCCGTGAGTGCTCCGTGACCAGAGGGCATTCGTCTTATTGCGCACGTTGCGGACAAGAGCGAAGGTCGCGGGCAGGTCGGCAATGACCTCTGCGAGGTTGCGCTCTATAATCGTGCAGAGGTACACCCGGTACAAGGCCCAAGTAAAGTCTGGCTTGTAAAAGTCGCCATCAAAGGCAACGCGAGTAATCGACGAGGCAAAGACTCTGTAAGTTTGTTTGCGCGATTCTGTGAGCACCAGATGTCTCGCAACCGCAGCCAAAGAGATGGAAGGGGAGGGAGACATACAACAAGCCCGACCCTGTTAGCCCGATAATCACAAGCCGTTTCCCGAGACTTATGTGCAGACCTCCAATAAAGTAAATGGGCGAGATGGCGTAGAAAAGATCAGTGATGCTGTTGATGACTTTGCAAACGCCCCATGACTGTCAGCCAAAGCACACGAAGGGGGGGGGGGGGGTATCGTTTACTCGTAAAAGCAATGATGGAGGTGACGAGGGTCTTGATGCTCTTCACTTCGCCGGGGATATCGGGCTCCCAGAGCTTGCGGAGCGGGTTGGCCTGCAGAGCCCAGAAGATGCCCTGGCAGGTGCTCGCGGTGGTGGTGACGGCGATGAGGGCGTAGACGACCCACGTGGTGCGTCGGTGGACGCCCTGTATGAGGGCCAGGATGAAGCAGCAGATGGAGATCTTGACTGCCCAGAGGGAGATGTTGGCCATGAGGATGTTGTACTGGCTGAGCCGCTTGACGGTGAGGACCTGGCTGCGGGTGAGGAACTGCAGGTGACGGCCGAACCCTGCCTGGACGGCCTGGATCTCGAGCATGTTGGCAGTTAAATTGAAGGCCTGCAATAAAGTGTAAGGTGGCTGATTTCTGGCACGTATATACAGGTGCGCGCTTGGGGTCGAAAGAGTCAAAACACGTACAAAGGCTATGATGATGAGGTAGTCGGCAGCCCTGAGACCTGCCTTGGTCGCGAACTTGACGGCAATGCGCGACGTGGTGGACAGGCTGATGAGGACGGAAAACACGACACACATGATGAAGATGTCCTGGCCGCGATTTTCATCGACCAGGGACGGGTCGAACTTGATGAATCCATTGGACATGTCGAAAATACGTCTGTTGGGGGCTTACAGAGGCCGGCTGAAAAATAAGTTTCCTCTCTCCTTTTGAGAAATTAAAGAAAAAAAATTCAAGCGAGCGCGAATGAGGGCCTTGATAAGGCTGAATCATTACAAGGCCTGACGACTCTCGCCAGGGGAATGCAAAGCGTTCCAAGTGTTGAGGACGACGAGACGGGTTGTTGGCTGGTGTAAGGGGGGGGGATTGCAGGCTGGCCGGCTTGCAGCTGCTTTGGTTTTATCTGGAGCTTGGCAGCATCGGGCCAGGCCACGGCGGAAGACGAAAGGCCAGCGACGAGGAAGATTGAAGCATCCATCGGTTCCGGCACAGGCAAGGTTGACTGCTCAGGTTCCAGACGTTCGGTCCATCCATCAGTGTCCACGACGGCCCAGTCTCCACGTCTTGTCTCTTTCGGAAGGGGGGTGACATGGTGGTGCAAGGCGATGTCGTGCTCGGAGTCGGCGTCAGCCCGGATGGAAGTGTCGCTGATGGGGAGATGATGCTTTCTGCAGACTTTTGAGTTGTGCCGAGCTGCATCTGCAATTGCGGTGTGTGAGCGGCGATGCCAATAGGATTCTGCATGCGTGCGTGCGTGGACGGAGGATGGAGGAGGGAGAGTCCTAGCTAGGCAGGTACCCCGGCAAGTACGAGAACGTACTTGCGTACTTAACTTTGTTGCGTGGGGTGCCAGGTCGCTTTTGCGCCAATCACAGGCGAGGATTCTGGGACTAGGTGCCGCGATGCGACGCTGACAGGTGGCCGATCGTCAGACACCCACCCATCAACCGTCAACAGTAAGACGCTACCCCAGAGTTACGTTTGACGTCGACATGGGATGGGACATGGGACGGGACATGATGACGGCCAAATACGGAGTACGGAGTACGGAGTGCCACGTTGCCACCCAACCCAACGTTGCCTGCCTTAAGTACCTAGGTACTTACCTACCTACTTCTACCTAAAGTACTTTACTCAGCAAGGTAAGGAGAATTACGTACCTACGTAGGTACCTAACTACCTAGGTCCCCACCTGCCTGGCTCTAAACCGCACAAACGGACCGCTCTCCCAGCTCGCAATGGAATAGTGGCTTTCAAAGCTCAACTCCGGCCCGGCACTCGCGCCTTCGCCCGCCGACCCCGCCGACCCCGCCGACCCCGCCGCCGCCTGTGGTTGCCCCAGGCAAAAGTCATAGTTGACCAGCACGTAAGCGTAGGCCACGCTGGCCATCATCAGCGCCACATGGCTCCCCGCGCAGTTCCTCGGCCCCAACAAAAACGGCGCAAACACGGCCCGCGCCAAGCACAGCTCCGCCTCCGGCAGCGTGCCCGGGATCCAGCGCTCCGGCCAGAACCTCGTCGGGTCCCGAAACACCCGGCCGTCGCGGAACAGCGCGAACAGGCTCATGCCCACGTCGCTGCCCGCCTCCATGGGCACGCTCCCCGGCCCGACCGTGAAGCCGGCCCGCTCGCACTCCCGCCAGTGGACGCCGCAGGCCGGCGGCACCAGCCGCAGTACCTCGTTGATCACGGCCCGCAGGTACGCGCTCGACGCCAGCTCCGCGTCCCACCGTATGTCCTCGCCGGGGCGGTACCGCGCGCGCACGTCGGCGGCCAGGGTCTCGTAGACGGCCGGGCAGTGGCACAGGTAGTGCAAGAACCCGGACAGCATGATGCCGTACGCGTCCGCCGACGAAAAGGTGCTGAAGGCGCCCTCCGTCACCATCTGCTCGCGGTTGTGGCCCGCGCTCTTGCTCTTGAGCGTCCCCTGCCCGCTCTGGATGACGGGCCCGAATATCCCGTGGCTCTCGTGCGTATTGGTCGCGATGGCGAGCTCCATGAAGCCGCGGTACCAGCGTGCAAAGGCGCGCGCCTGCGACGACAACAGCGGCAGCACGGCGCCCACGAGCTGACCGATGCCCATGTTGCTGAGGGCCGGCAGCTGCTCCCAGAGGCCCATCTTCTTCTCGTGCATGTGCAGCGCCGGGAAGATGTAGTCCCTCGCCGAGCTGCGCAGCAAGTCGGTCTTGAGGCCGAGCCCGAAATCGGCCATTGTGTCGAAGCCCAAGTAGAGATCTGGACCTGGTTAACTTTTTTACTTTTTTACTTTTTTTTTTTTCTCTCGTCCCAGTGCTGACTAGTTGGGATGATTGATCACGGAACAGATGCAAGAGACGCACTCCATTTTCTCATGTCGGCGGCGCGAGTCCAGCCGTCGCGGTCCTGGTGTTGCCGTAGCTGGCAAAAGTAAATCTTGAGATGGCGCAGGATGGCAGGCTCGAAGCGCGAGAGGAAATCGGCACCGAGGCCGCTCCTCACCACGGCGCGGAGGTTGCGGTGCAGCGTCTTGTCGATGGACGGCATCGTGCTCCATCCGTTGGCCGTCGGGATCATGGTGGCGTAGCCTTTTGCTTTGCGGAACGGCGCGCCGTGGCCGTATATTGCTTGCGTTTTGTGAGTGAGCCACAGGTGCTTCCATATTCTGCTTGGGGGGAGACGGCTCTACCAACCTGCCAGATCGGGGGGGTGAAGCGAGAGAATTTGGTTAGGAGAATATCGTATCAGGTCGCCTGCGGAATCACGACGATGAGCATGTTGCGAGTCTCTTAGGGGGAAGGGTCAGGGTTAGGGTTGCGACCAGTTCGGATCACGTACCGTATTTGCGGTGGCACCGTTGCACGTCAAGGTGCATGGTGCCTCGCCATGAGTGCCATGCCGAGTATATGCTGGTCACTTTGGCGAAAAACGGACCGGGCACTTTGCTGTACGGGTGGAAGTAGATCCTCTGGATGACGATGATGACTACCTGGGCTGGTTTAGTTACGGCTTCAGTGTTGCCGCAGGGCAGGAGGCGTACGAAAGATAGGGCTGCGGCAAGAATTATAGCCACATACTGAGAGACGTAGACGGGAAGTGTGAACGCGGCAAGCATGATGCGCAGACTTTGTGTAACTAGTTGATCGAGGGCTGGAGTCTGGAGAGTAGGGCGGCCAAGATCACAATGCAGATGCAGGATACGATGGAGGGCTGAGGTTTTAATTCGCGGCGGAAGAGCAGCAAGCGCGTGTGGCGCGGACAGGTGTTTTTTTCCCTCCTTTTTTTCCCCCTTTCTCTCTCCGGCTGTCTGTCTCTGTCCTGTCTCTGTCTCTCTCTCGTTCATTTTGTTTTAACGTTACTTTATTTTGTTTCTGTTTTCGCCTCATCCTTGGCATTTCAAAGCGCATGCATGTCATCACAAGCGAGCGAGGCTGATGGCGAGCATAAACGCGCGGCAGTCACGCTTGCCCTCCTCGGTTCCTTTTCGTTCCCTTCTTTTGCCTCTTTGCTCGTACACTTTTATTTCCCCCAACGCAAACGCCACCGCGTATGTATACTCCGTACCCAACCACCACATCTACTAATCCCTGCACAGGTTAATTATAGTCGCTTAATCAGTGTGTGTCTGCTATTTTCTGCCGGGCTCTAATATAGTACGATCCGCATCGCCCCCAACAACGGCGGGTGTGCGCCATATTTCGATACTCCTCTGCAGCGACAACCCACTCCGTCATCGCACTCATCATCACGGGACCTAATCGAGACCTTGACTCACACTGGCAGGGTCGAGACCAGATGAGAAAATTGGGACGGCCCGAGTGTTGCCGTCTATTGATTGGTTCTTCGTCGCCCGCCTTGCCCAGCCGTTGAGCCCTCGGACAGACACACCGTTCGAGGCACTGGGCCGAGCACAGTTATGACGACAGCCCATTATTTCTGATGTGTCATTTATCTGTGACGGCTTAATGTCAGACCGATGTGGCATTCAGTGTTCAAAGTCACAGTGTCTGGCGGGCCGCGCTTGATTTGATGGGTGGGCAGATCAAGATGACCGGTACGGAGGAGGCGTGGGCTTTCGAGTCTTGACTCTTGTGTGGTGCGTCTACGCGATGAACCCTGACGGCATCCCGTCCCAGACAGGCGGAGAGGCTCAGAGACACGACGCCCCGTCATTGCTACCCTCCATGTACATTGATCCTCCCGGTACTCCGTATCGTCTCGCAGTTTCAACAAATAGACCAGCCATAGGAGCTGGAGTCTCTTCTGGCCCTTTCCTGCAATGCAACTATTCGTCCCTCTTGTCCAACAGCCTTGCCGGCGGGAGACACAATGACTGGTCAGTCGCGCCGAATTGCCATTGTCGGCGGAGGCATCGCTGGCATGGCCTGCTCGTGGGAGCTGCGAAAGCCCAGTGCGCAAAACGTGACAGTAGACATCTACGAGTCGGAGAATAAGCTCGGCGGGCATGCCAACTCGGTTCCCTTCAGAGGCAACGGCACAACCGTCGACGTTGACACGGGCTTCATTGTAATGGACGAAGCTACGTATCGTGAGTTGCCCTGCCCCTTTTCGAAAGTGACCAGCAACAACATCAACAATTAAAAAAGGACCACATCTAGTTGACGCCGTGGTTAACCACATCTAAATGTAGCCCGGTTCAACGCCTTTCTCGGTGAATTGGGCATCAGGACAATTCCCACGGACATGTCGTTTGCTGTCACCACCACCGACCGAAGCTTCGAATGGAGCAGCCGCTCCGTTTTCAGTTTCATCGCCACTTTGACGCTGCTGTTGAGCCCCTGGTTATGGCGGTTGATGTTTGATATTATTCGCTTTAGCCTCTTTGCCGAGGACATTCTTCATGAGCAAAGATCTCCCCGGCGCGAAAAGTACGCGGCTCACACGGCGCAGACTGGCGGCAATGCGTCCGATGCGGAAGAGACCCGGATCGTGTCAACATCTCTCGAGTCTATTGGCGCCTACTTGACGAGGCAGGGATACTCGCGTCAGTTCGGGATGTACTTCTTGATGCCAATGGTGGCTGCTCCTTGGTGCATTGATGCAGAAGAGTTTAGCAGGAATTTTCCTGCGCGGCCGCTAATACGCTTCATGTAAATTTCTCCATCACATATAATATTCCGAACAAACGAGGTGCTGGAACTGACTCACTCTTTGCTCCTTCTCTTTTTTTTCAACAAACAAAAAGGAAGACCCACGGCTTGCTAGATACCGTCACAAAAACACTTCGGTGGCGCTCATTTCAAAATGGGTCAAGAACGTACATCGATGCGTTCCAAGACAGCCTTCCACACAGACACAATTTACATCTGGGCACGGCTGTACAGAGCGTGACACGAATAGGGAACGAGGTCTTGATCAGCTTCCTAGATGGAACTCAAAAGACGTTTGACCATGTCGTTCTTGCCGTTCATGCGAACCAAGCCGCTACTCTACTGGGGGACGATGTCACCGCTTTGGAGCGCAAGATTCTCGGTGGCTTCAAGACTAGCAGGAACACATGCTACCTTCACTCCGACACTTCAGTGAGTATGGCGCTGGTTAACTGGACCATCCACATATAACAAAAACAACAACAAGGGAGCAGTCTCGCTGACAGATTTCCAGCTCCTGCCAAGACGTCTTTCAGCTCGCGCGGCGTGGAACTGCACACTTGCACCTCACACACCCACAGCGGCGCAGGACCATGTGAAGCAGAACGAAGGCAATCACGGAAGAAAGCTCTCGCTCACGTTTGATATGAATAGGCTACAGGAGATTCCCCGTCCTGGAGAACCCGGAAGTCCGGGCAGGGTCCTTGTGAGCATGAATCCAGTGCGGGCGCCTCGCTCGGTCCAAAGCAGCCACGTGTATTGCCATCCCATTATCAACTCGGAGTGCATCCTCATGGCGCGCCACCTCCACAAGATCAATGGCATCAGGCGTGTTGGCTTTGCGGGAGCTTGGATGGGCTTTGGGTTTCATGAGGATGGCTTTGCAGCTGGAGTCCATGCTGCGCGGACCTTTATGGACGGTTGGGACAAGACTCCTCCGTTGGATCTCATCGGTGATGGCGAGGGCATTCAGCCACCTCGCAATGGGTTTCTCAGAGCGAGTCTTAGATTCTGGGTTCGCGCGGTGCAACGGCTTCTACAGCCGCAACCCTGGCCATAGCATAGATGATGGACGAGGCGAGGCGGAGACGTGAAATGCTCTGCGGCATGGTTGCAATTGCGTCTACAGCTGGAGCTGGTGTTTCCCGTGGCGCCAGCTTGAAAAAGAGGGTGGAGGGGGGGTGCAAAAAGCGCCTGTCAAAAGTTCGTTTGTTTTCAAATTTTAGACTCTGTGCTCTTTGAGGATCTAGGATGCTCCTTTTCCCACTTCTCCTTGAGCTGGTTCGCGCGTTCAGATTTCTTGGTGAAGCCTTGGTAAAAGGCCGGAAAACCACCTCCCAGTGTGCGAATGTCCACGGGGCGGCCGGTTTTGGCATCAACGTAGGTGGTCGAGCCCCGGACCTGTGCGACAATCGCCTGCTGCTTGAGGGAGAAGAGCACGGTAGTGCCATGGTTTCGCGTGGGCTCTATGCGATCCTGCCGGTAAGCTGCAATCAGCTTTTTCGGGGGGGAGAGTCAGCCGAGGAAGCCGGCTTGTAGGATTCCCGGTTCCCACGCAAGACGGGAGGGGAGAGGAGAGGAGAGGAGGGGAGAGGAGAGGAGATGGACGACGAACCGAGTCGGGATACTTGACCTGGCGGCGAATGTCGAGCTCGTACCTGCGCACGACGGGGATGACGGTGCGGGCGTGGATCATGCCGTCGCACTCCTCCTTGCTCAGGAACTCGTCGTAGCTCTCCATGACGCGCCAGAAGCAGGCGCCCAGGAAGGCCATGTACTGGCCCTGCATGACGTGGCCGAAGGGGTCCTGGTGCTCGGCCCAGAGGACGCCGTGCTCGACCATGGTGTTGGCGTCGAAGCCCATGGCCTCGAGGGTGGAGAGGGCGCGGCCGCGGAGGGCTGCGTACGGGTCGGTGTTGGGATGGGGGCGCGGCGCGCCGGACCGCGCGTACGGCGAGTGGTAGGCCGAGTCGGCGAGACGGGCTGACGCCGGTCTTGCCGCGTCGTCGTGTGCTGCCATGGTTGGAGGTTTGGAGGTTTGGAGGTTTGGAGGTGCCGGCGTGTCGACGAGTCGCTGCTCGGCTTCCGTGCGTCGGTGCTTCGGTCGGGAGAGCGACGTGAGCGGAGGGCTGGGGGGCAGGAGCGGATAAAGGGCGTCAAGACTCAAGACTCAAGACGACGGGGAGGAGATGGATGCGTGGGCAGAGGCCGTGCGGGCGGCCGAGGGGCGGTACGGAGTACGGCACGGCGGGAAGAGGAGGCGGAGGCGGAGGGGGAGGGGGCCAAGGTTGAGGTTGGTGGTGATGTGATGGATGACGGACCGCGGGCCCATGTACGGAGTACATGTATGGCACATGTACACATGCACGCGTGATGCATGCATGCAGCGCCGGGGAGGCGTGGCCAAGATGGTTTCCTTGGCTGACGAACCGCACCCCGTCGCTCGTCGGGCTTGCCGTGCAAAACTTAATCGGTTGCTAAACGAGTCTCGACATGTCCCGACGTGCGCCCCCGTGTCCCGTCGTGCATTTGGAGTACGGATTGGCATGGCAGCGTCCCGAGGGCTTTCTGCAAGTCCGTGTCCATCAAGGAGAAGCAAAGCGGCACAGGAATTGTCTTGGCCGCCAGCCAGCCAGCAGCTCATGGACCAAGACACCGGGGATGCTCACCTCTCACAACCTACAGCAGACAGCAGACAGCAGACAGCAGACAGCAGACAGCAGACGGCAGACGGCAGACGGCAGACGGCAGACGGCAGACAGCAGCTCATCTCGGACATGGAGTTTTGACGCCATTGATTGCATCGTCAAGCCGTCACGGTCCACGCCTCTCCCTCGCGGCTTCATCCCCTTCGGCCGCCTGGGTGCCTCTTCCCGCGCGCCCTTCGACCATCCTCCTGCTCCCTGAACCCTGAACCAGACCTCGTCTCCTCTTCAGTCGAGACCCAAGACGGTGAATAGACAGAATGACCGTCACCGCTCCAGACCGCGGTAGAGAGAGTATCCCGTCCACCACCGCTCCAGACCACAGTCCCGACGTCGAACTTGTCCCACGTCCGCCAACTTCGCCTCGCATCGGCCGCCATCCGTGGCTGCAGATTCTCAGTACCTTTATTGTATTCATGAATACATGGCAAGTCTACTTAGCTATGGCAGACTCCCTCCCCCCATCTCCGCCTGCTAACCGGCTTCCTTCAAGGGGATTTCTCCTCACGTCCGGCGCCTTCCAAGCCTACTACGAGCTGTCTCTCATCCCCGGACAGTCCAGCTCCGACACATCTTGGATATCAACAACATCCGCCTTCCTAGTTTTCGCCGTCGGCATTGTGGCTGGTCCGCTTTACGACCGAGGCTTTTACAAGCCGCTGCTGGTCACTGGCAGCCTCTTGCAGGTCTTTGGCTTCATGATGCTCAGCATCTCTACCCAATACTACCAGCTCTTCCTCAGCCAGGCTGTTTGCATTGGCCTCGGCTCCGGCCTCGTCTTCACACCGAGCGTATCAGCCGCCGCCGCCTGTCTGCCGAATCCCGCAACGCGAGCCAAGGCCATGGGCCTCATGGCATGTGGCAGCTGCGTCGGTAAGCGACAAACAAACCCCTGACCTTTCCTCCCTCCTTACGTTGATGTTATTGCAGGAACCCGCCTTCTAACCCCGTATCCTAGGCGGCATCATCTTCCCAACCATGTTTCGCGCTCTTGTGCCCCGAATCGGCTTCCCCTGGACCGTCCGCTCCATCGGCTTTCTCATCCTAGTGCTATACCTCGTGTCCCATCTGGTGTTATTTGATGGGCGGCGCAAAGCCTCTCGCGCCCCCGTCATCCGGCGCTTCTTCGACACCTCAAGCTTTACCGACCTGCCATTTATGCTTCTCTCCGTCGCCTCCGTCTTTAGTGCCACTGCTTTTTACATCCCCCTCCTCTACCTGCCACTCTTCACCAAGGTCCGCGTGCCGTCCATCAGTCCCGACCTGACTGTTGATCTCCTGTCCATACTCAATGGCTCCTCCGTCATTGGCCGACTGGCCGCAGGTCTCGCAGGCGCCGTCTTTGGTCCCACCGAGACCATTGCCGTTTCTCTCGTCGCGGGATCGACCCTGCTGTTCTGCTGGATCGCCGTCGACACGGTTGCCGGTACTGTCGTGTGGACTGTCTTCTGGGGCATGATATCCGGCATCCTCGTCACTCTCCCCGGCGCATTCATTCCCTTGTTCTGCCCATCGGTGGCCGTGATAGGCTCCCGGACCGGTACGTACTGGAGCTGGGTTGGTTTGGGTATGCTGATAGGCAGTCCCATTGGCGGCGCAATCTACGATGTGAAGTCGGCACGGTCGGGCTACTGGCGCCTGCAGGTGTTTGCTGGTGTCTTTATGATGGCCGCTGCGCTTCTTACAGTTTATCCCATTCTGCATTTACGTCGGGGGAGGGGAACGGCGTCTGTGCGGTCCGACTAAGTTTTGCTTCTTGTTTCTTTTGACGACGAGCTTTTTGACACCCTCGGTACTGGACCCGCACACGAGACGCCAAAAGGCCGCCACATTGCTCTCATCAAGAGGCATGCTGTCCACCCCGACCTGCCCCGGATCTGGATTATCCGTGCCCAGAGCATCGGCCTCGGCCACCTCCGCATCCGCCGTTGATTGCGTCTTGGAAATGTCAGCTGCCGGAAAAGAGACGCTCGTCCTTGCACGGCCTGCCCACGGCCCAACAATCGACATATACGAGTCAGACACGTAGTGGAAATGAGAGACTGTCTCGATAGGTAGCCAGGGGGAGCGGGAACATGACGATACAGACCAACACGCGGCTGACGAGGCGGACTGGCTTGCAGAGACACATCGTGGTCGGCGCGCAGTGTGAACGGCTCAGAGAGGTGGCTGATCCCTGGTATCAGAAGAAACGGACACCGCTGTTATAGTGCTACAATATATCCCATGACGAAGGGGGAAGTTGGGTGAATTGCGTTGAACGGCTGCGCTTGTTAGCAACGAGTTACATCTTGTGTGTGTGCGTTGATGTAGCTGGATGCCAATGGACGTATATACAGGCGGAATGCCGAACCGCACGTTGATTGCGCTACCGTCCACGCGAGAGTAAAAAGACGGACTGGGAATTTCGCCATGAACACTAGCGATCCAGGGTGACATGTGACGAGTATGGTGTTGACGGGGATGCATCATCGGCAGAGCAAGCAGTTGGCCATTTTGGTGTTGCTGGTGGTGAAGCTGTTTCTGTTCGTGGTCTGTAATGTGAGGTGTGGTTTCGAAGAACGCGAGCCAGCTAGATTTCTAGCCTGTTCATGACGTCGTCGCTTTCAAACCAGCCTGGTGCCATGGTGATGTAGGTCCAGATTGTCCATGACTTGATGACCGTCACGGCGAACCGCACCAATCCCTTGCCATTCGGCTTTTCGGACATGTGCTGCCGTTGCTATGAATGACTGGACGTAGCGTCACACCAGAAAACGGGTGTAGCCACACCACACTATTTTGTCTGGTAGACCACCTTATATGCTATGCGACACGTAGGAGACGTGATGGATATCACAGGGTCGTCACTTTCTCAAGGATTGCTCAGGGACGGCCCAAGATTTCCTACTAAATGGGAAAAGAAGACTTGTGACAGCACAAAGATGGAGTGACGGGTTGAAACAGGGAAAGGCGTATCTGCTGTGTCAGCATCTGATATTTCGGGATTGACTTGGGCGTTTGGGAGCCGCAGTGGGTCGAGAGCGGCAATTCTGGCCAATAGGAGGGAGGCTTCAGCTCCAGAGTCCAGACAACAATGAAATCACGTGAGCCTACTTACCCGTGCCTGAGGCAGGATGCTCCCAATCGATTCGACTGGGGGATTCAGCTAAACTAGTAACTTCATTATTTGGTCACATACCCAGTCAGCCTCACCTCTTCGATACCGCCGAAATGACTGCTGCGTGGAAAGCCGCTGGTTTGACGTATGTCAACTGATCCCACGTGTCGCTGATGTGCCCGCCGATGCGCCGATTGCGACTGCCACGATGTTTGCAGGCGGCGCCTCTGAAGATTCAAAGATGCTAACCTGAAGGCCTCAACAGCTACAACCGCTACCTGGCCGTTGCGGCCCGCGCTGTTCGCCGCAGCCTCAAGGAGGACAAGAGGATCGTTGCCGAGCGTCGCGGCGAGATGGAGCTGCGCTTTTCCAAGTGGTCGGTATGTGACGCCCGGTCTCGGGTTTGGGGAGCGCGAATGGGGCCGGAAGCTAACTGTGAATTACCGCAATAGAACGGCAAGCAGGGCGAGTTCAAGGATCTCAGGGCTGCCAACGCTGCTGCAATGGCCGAGAGCGCTTCCTCTTAGATTTTCTGCAAATCGACGACATGGAAAATAGTGGCGTGCTTGCAAGGAGGAAACACGCCGGCGAGAGTGGCGGATAGGACAACAGGGTCCTGGAGGTTGTTGAAGAGGCACGAACATGTGCTCGGAGCCTCCTGCGAAGAGCAGTGCTGCCACTGTATCATATTGATTGCTAGACTATATCGATCCGACCTGGCGAACTTTTAGTGCCCATCATTTGCATCTTGCACGATTTTGTCGAGCCGGATAGATGGGGCTCAGTACGTCGAGTAATTTGCTGTGAACGTGTGACGACAAGTGCATTGTATCGCGCTCCAATGGAAGGTTCCGAGAATCATGCCATGGCCATGGTTGTCCGCTATTGCCAGACGGTCTGGTTCTTTGTCTAGGTCCAAGTCATGCACACTCACCGAGTCACTGGCACTGGCACTGGCACACTGGCGCTGGCACTGGCACTGGCGCTGGCACTGGCACGGGTGCCCGCCGCCCCATCCAACCCTGCGCACCCCAGATTCTGACTCTGGGCAGCAAGCCAAAGCCAGTCCGCCACGAGTCGGCCCACGACGTTCCGACAACATTAGAATTCTAGATGCACACCAACAGCCCACCCATACTATCACGCTATGCCCCCAGACTGGCGGTAGTGTCTTCGAGATGGCCGACAATGCAGTCGGTGCAGCAGATGGTACAATCTACATTTCCCTCCAGCATCCCCTCGCATTTTGTCTTGCTAATGGCGCGTGCAGAAATCTCCCGACTATCATTAGGCGGCCATGGGCCTGAGCCGCCTTTGCCGCCACCCACCTTAAGATCTGCCGGCATCATTGCCACTGACATTACCGACAAGTTCACGGCGGCGGTCGCAAGTATGTCTCCTGAGCCTGTGGGTAGGCCCTGCGCCTCTAGTGAGCAGTGACTGAATGTCTTGTAGCGCTGGAGCCCGGCGAGCTGGTCAAGGATGGCCTCTTCACGCTGTTTGACTCTGTCGCCGCCCTGGAGGTTGGTATTTGGATGCCTCGCATCTGGTTGACATGTCACTAACGGTTGGGCCAGATTATGGATCCGAAAATGGACAGCGGATGTGTTCAGCCAGGCGAGGAATTTGAGGTGCTCTATGACGTGTCGCGGTCATTGCTGCCTGAGGAGGTGCTTGGTATCATGGACCAGCTTTTATGCCACGAGGTGGGTGCAAGTCTGTTTCGGATGTGGATGAATATGCTGATTGACTTGTAGATGGCTTGGCATTTGGGCTACCCCCTGTCACAAACAATATTCACCAGTGTTTATGTAGAAGCGCTCTTGATGCCCGAGCCTGGCAGCATCCGACAGGCCGAATTCGTCAGGAACAGGAGCCAGGAAGTGAAACAAGAGCCTCTACTTGACATTCTCCGAGCTTATTGCCTAGGGATGCTCAAGGCATGTGGACATGTCAATGAACGCATCAAATCTGAGCACTTCTACGAGGTATGCTAGCTCTTTCACTGCAGCTGACTTTGCTGCTGACCGCATCCAGGAGGAGGATTTTGTCCCCAATACGTATAACCGCACCTTGTTGACCGATTTCCCCACGCAAGACGTCAAAGACGCCCTGGAAGCAGCCAGAGGGACCGTTGAATCTCTGAAAGGCTCCATACCTGACCGCATTGCCGAAGCACTCATCAGCCGCTTGGATCTGCGCGACATCTTTTTGGATACCGCTGAATCACCTCAGCACGTAAGGGATCTTGTCAAGGCGAGGCTGCCATGGGAGGCAGCGATTGCCATCTTGCCCAGGATCTCTTCGACGCATTCCTTGACCAAGCCGGTTGAGGACGCGTTCAGCACCAAGCTACAAAGGAAGTTGGCTAGTACTATGCCGCCACGACCAATTGTTCAGCTCAAGTTTGATGATGCATTTAATAATCTATCAAGGTTATGTAAAGATGGTCTCGAAGTCATTGGCGTCCTAAAATATACCGACTCACAATGCCTTCAGGTACGAGCACACTCTCCTCTTTTTGTGTTTTTATTTATTTTTTATGCTCTCGCCATGAGACATGCCTAACATTATTAGACTTTCGTATATACATTTCAGTCAAAGAAGCCTCAACCAATGGTTTACGTACGAACCCTTCTGCAAACATTTCTTTTCAACGCCATGGAGATACTGGGTTCCATGAGTATCCGCCAACTACTCGACGACGACTTCTCCATCATCACCCTTCCCGCGAACCCTCTCCTCGACAGGGACAACGACGAGATCGAAGCGGTCCACGATCCTCGTTTCGTCATGTCCCAACAAATGGAGCTCTTCCGCCAAAGAGCTGCACAACCCTTCCTCGACATTCTCAGAACCGCGTGCCAAAACAGATGTCGCGTCCGCCGAACGCTTTGCCACTTGATCCGAGACTGGGAGAACCTCCAAGCTGACGCCGAAGACATTGACCAAATCCTGCAGATCAAGACCAAGGAGCAGCCGCTGCTGCAGAGATCCGCGCTTGGCCTGAACCCTATCGAGACTTACTCCCTTCCGCTATCATCATGGACGTATCTATACAAGCTGCAACAAATGGAGGCCATAGTCCAGCTAGGCTTCGAGCTCGAGGTCTATCAGACGGACGAACTGGCCGGCATGTACTGGTACTTGAACTACCTCGCAAAATCTCGCCTTCAACATACCGAAAGAATCAAGACGTTCGTCGTGCGCCAGACGACCACGGCCCGATTCTCACCCACCATCGACCCCGGCCAAGAGGCTCAGCTCCAAAGATCTCTCGCTTTCACGAGACTGTCTCTGCTCCAGGCAGCAGTGACGTGGGAGTTCTCCGACGCGCTGAGCTGCATATACACCGTCCTCAACCGCCACGCAATCATTAAGCCGCCCCCGCGACCTTACAGCAACGACCAGCTGCGCTACGACCTCCGCATGCGACCATTCGCGTCCGTCAGCCTGCCCACGCCCCCCAGCTTTGGGGAATTTACTCTCGGCACAACGCAGCCAGATAGCAGCACGGAGGAACTTCTCGAATACGCCGAACGCGCAGCGACAAGCGCAAAGAGAGGCTTCGAGACGCTCAGCAGGTTCTCGGCAGAGGATAGTTTCTCAGTAGGATCGCACGAGGCGTGGACCGCCTCAGCAAAGGGCGCGTTGAAGGCGTGCATAGCCGCGGGCGTCGCAATCTCCTGCTTGCAAAAGGCGTTGCAGCGCACAGCCGGTGGACGTGGCACGGAGCGTGGGTTGCGCGTTGCGGCAACAGTACCAACGCCGGATAAGGCGTACCACGAATGGTGGATCGTGCCGACGGTAGTTCCAACTGTGACTGTGGAGATGGGTAACTGAGCGCTTGGACAGGCAAAGACCGAGTGTTTGATCAAGTAGATTGATAGTATGAACCTGTCTACAATCCTGGTGGTACAGACGTTTTTCTGGTATCAAGCCCGTAAATGTCCATTTTCCTTGCATTGTCCCCTGATGATGATGGTTTTGCTTTTTCATACGGCTTTATCTTCTTCAAACATTTTTTTTCAATCGTGTTTTTTGCAATATCTGTTTCCAACATCTCTTCGTCGCGCATAAGCCCCCAAGAATTTGCCCACGGGAAGCAAACCCCTCTTATTCGAGTTCGGCCCTCTTGTAACCACAGCACAGCACAGGGTGTAGAGGGCTTGCTTGCAGTGCGCGCGCGATCAAAGCATTATCCCATCTCATGACTTCTCTTCTGCATTGGCTAGTATTGGTAGTGCAAGTGGTAGGTCTAAGCCTTGCGGCCTTGGCGGAGACGGACAGTCTGCTCATACAGCACGTCCTTGAAGGCGAACAAGAAAGCGGCAGTCAGGACACTCTGTGTGACCTTGGGACCAATACCTGAAGCGTCATGTCAGTTGCTTGGCTCAAGTCCAGTCTCCAGTCAAGAGGTGGAAGAGACAAGGGGGCTGCATACCCTTGTACAGGCCGGCGTATCCCTCCTCCCGGACCACTCTGCGCAGGGCCTCGGTCATGCCCTCCCGCTTGCTGCTGTGGCTGCCAGCAACGTGCATCTGGCTCTTGACCGTGATGTAGGGGTACGTCACCGACGTGGCGAAGAGCTTGCCGAGGGCGCCGAGGAAGAAGGCGACTGTAGGCGTAACCTTTCTTCTCTTCTCGACATAGTTCTTCATCTGCTCGAAGAGCGTGTACTGGAGGATGGGGTTGACGACCAGGACCAGCGCCGGCAGGACGCCGGAGAAGAGAGCCTGGGGACCCTCCTTCCTAAGGAGGGCCATGAGCGTGCCCAAGGTCGTGGGCTTCTTGGCAGGCCTGCCCGACTCCAGGTCGGCCTCGGAGTTTTGCTGGCGCGTGGTGACGCGAGTGTTGACAACCCAGATGGGGTTGGTGATGACGACGGTGGCCGAGCCGGCAATGGCACCGGCAATCATGGACTCCAACGTCGTGAGCTTCTTGTTGGCACGGCCAGCCGTGGCGGCGGCCTTCTCGAAGAAGGCCCGGGTCCATTCGTACCAGTAGTAGTAGACGAAATTGGTGACGCTGATGCCAAAGAGCGCCGAGTTGATGCCTGAATACAGTCCGGCAATGCCCTCGCGTGCGATGATCTTCCGCACGGCATCGGTGAACTTGCTCTCGGCCTTTTTGGACTCGACCTGAGCGCGGGTGGAGAGGGTGATGAGAGGATAGCTGTAGGTTTGCGGAATCATGTGAGTAGTCTGCGCGCATTCATTCAATTGGCGAATATGTGGTAGTCATACGTCAGCACCATGGACAAGATGCCGCCGCCTGCGCCAGCGAGGGCGTGAGCGACGTTGTCATTCTGAGGGACCGGAGCCTTGGCAGCCATTGTATCGTCCTCGCGAGCCGAGGGGAGGATAAGAACAATCGATAAAGGGAACACGACCAGGAGTTGTATTACAAAAAAATTGACTGAGGGAAAGTTTAACAAAAAAAGTTCTCCGTGGATCAGCAGGGAGTTCAAGTTAAAAAGATGTCCAAGCGACTCGACGCCTTTTGGTTGTGAAGCCGTCGATGTGACGAGCCGAGGTACGGTCTAGTGTCTGATGCCGAAGGGCAGGAGCGGATCGCCCATCAAGCGAGGCAGGAGCAAACCCCAGGGCCCACCGTTGCACTGCAGAGCGCCAAAGTGAAGTCATGGTTCCGTAGAGTCCCGTAGTGCTGCCATTCTTTTGATGCATGTGACCGTGTGCGTCTGTGTGTGCCTGTGACGGCCCAGAGAACCCCGGAAGAACCAAAATTGCGGGCTCGTCCTGTCGGGACGTCCCTGACCGCCGCTAGTCCCGACAGGGACTCAGGTAAACAAAATCGCCAAGGCCACCACCGCCCACGCCGCCGGACGAGACATGGCCATTCACGACTTGGCCGCGCTCGACGTCGATCGTCCATCAAGTTATTGTGCCTGCATTCCATGCGGCGCCGCTCAGCACCCACGGTTGGGAAGCTGATGCCAACGCCCGAACTTTGAATCATACACACAAGTTATATTGGCACCCCGCCTAGGCGGTCGAGAGTTCATCACACAAAGGCTGAGCGCCGCACCATGTCATCACCGGATCCTCTCAACGATTCGACCATGGCGGAGCTCGCTTCAGTTCCCCCCTCTGCCGTTACTCGCCGTGTCACGCGGAGTCAGTCGTCGCAAAGATTTTTTGCGCTGAGCAGTTCGCCTAGAAAACAGACGTTTGAGCTACAAGTCGGCGACCGAATGTCGCCACAGCGACTACTGGTCACGGTTGAGACGGATGGGCCGCAACAGGACACGAGTGTTGGGAGCAATGCCAGGCGAAAGCTTTTCCAGCCGCCCGTCTCCACGTCGTCAACACCTGGGCGGCGACTGAGAGGACGAACCACCACCACAACCGTGCCTCTGCGGGAGTCGATAGAAGAAGACGGTCACGACGGGACTACTCCGAAGCCGAAGGCACGAGGCCTGCAGCGAAAGTCGAATGGAACTCCAATGCCAACCACGGGGAAAAAAAGGCGCGCAGTCACTCCAGTTAGGAGAACGCCTAGACGCCTGCGAACATTGACGAGCGCAGATGGCGAGGAGCCGTCTTCAGAGGCCAGCGAAGAGGCCACCGTGCAGGCCACGCTCACACCGCGACGACGTAATTTGCGCCCGCGAAAGGCTTCCGCGCCGGCACCTTCGAGCGAGGTTGGCACAGTCACCACCCCGCGGCCATCTGCAACAAGAAGAGGGAGGCGGAGACGTCAGGCGTTGGCACCCGATGAACTGCTCGAACTTGCTGATGAAGTCGGAGACATCAATCTTGACACAACACAACTGCCACCCGTTACAAGCGAAGACGAGGTGGACCTAGTAAGGGCACCCTCGGAGTCCACGGATGATGCTTCTCTGGACGCGCCGGCTCCAGCTCCTCCTCCGGCCCCTGCCGTGCCATCGTCTCCATCACCAAACTTGGCGCTGGCTGCTGCAGAGTCCGAATCAGACATGTGGATAGGAAGTGCCACGCCACGCGCTTCAACCCGAACACGAAGAGATGTGGTACCCGAATCCTCGCCTCGCTTCCCGACGGAAACCTATGCAGAACCACAACTGGATCACTTTGAGACTTCTCGAGAAGGCTACTATGGTGATTATGGGTATGCAGACCAGGTAGCAGCCGCCAGTGATCGATCTTCGATTGATCAGCCGCTTGAGGCTGAAGACGCCGCCGCGAGTGCCGCTCCGGCTGGTTATGACACTATTGCACAAGGCGAAGACTTCAGCATGATATTCATGGACTCAATACCCTCCTTGCGAGCCGATTTCCACAGCTCTGTGCAACCGGTCGAGGGAGGGGAGCTAGGCGATGAGACCAATCTCATTATCAACAACACACTGGAATCCCTTCGACAGACTGATCACGATAGTCCCGCAGAAGATGATGATACGGTAGATGCCATTCAGCCAGCTGAACCGGAACTAGGAGGGAAGCAAGAGGTTATGGAGGAGCAGCCAGTGGAGGAGCAACCAGTGGAGGAGCAACCAGTTGATGAGCAAGCTGTTGACGAGCAAGCTGAGCAAGCTGTTGACGAGCAAGCTGTGGCAAGCTGTTGACGAACAAGCTGTTGACGAACAAGCTGTTGACGAGCAGCCGGTTGATGAGCAAGCTGGTAAGAGGGAGCTAGTTGAGGATGAAGTGATAGACAGAGAATCAACACCAATCCCTCAATCGTCATCACCGGGCAGGCCAAGCCCGAGATGGTCACGAAGTCCTCGAAAGTCGGCTAATTCGTCGCCACTGCGATATCGGGTTTTGATGCAGAATGCATTACACACAGGAGGGTCTCCTGCTGTACAAACGAAACAGATCGATAAATTTCATTCATCACCACGTTCGGATCGCCGACTTCGAAGTGCGGACCGTTTGGAGAAAGAGGTTTCCAACCCATATGAGGATTCCTTTTCTGAAATTCCGGAAGCAGTGCTTACTGCTGCTACTCCCCGACGACCGCGAACAAATATGGCCTACGATGGCTTGAAAGAAAAGGTGGACCAAGCACAGACTCTAGAGGAGGATCACGGTGCACTGTTGCCTAATGACGACCAGCAACATGACGACGAACCCGCCAAAGTGGTGGAAGCGGTTGTAGGGACAGAAGAACAAAATACTCGAACCAGCGAGGTACCTAAGCAGGCCATGGAACAACAAGAAGATTTCTCCCAGGAGATTGATGAGCCCGAAGGTGAAAATGTCGAAGGATCTGGAGAAGAAGACCAAGCGGAGGAAATGGTGGTTGGATCAGACCATGAGGAAGAAGCGACTTCGAGGCAAGAACCGATTCAAGATGTCGATGGTGGAGAAGAAATGGGGGAGTACGACCTAGTTCAGCAGGAAGAGTCTGGGCCAGAACTTGAATCTGCCTCAGAGCAACAGGTCCTGCCTTTCGAAGGGAATGACGAGGAATTTCAGGAAAGTGAGTTTGAATATGACGGAGATGGGTTGGACGATGCTGAACTAGCTGGCCTGGAAACGGAGCAGCCGCTAGCAATGATCCAGACGGTTGACGCTGACGAGGAAGAGGAGGCGGACGAAGAGGATATGGATGCTTCACCTCAGCTGGATGAAGATCATCAAGAGGACTCGGACGAAGAGATGTCCGATGAAGTAGATCAAGAAGAAGACTACGAAATTGTCGACGAAGCTGCTGCGGTTGCGGCCTCAACTGCCAGTGCGGGAGCTCAGTCTGAGCTTTCACGCTTGCCAACTCCAGACGATACACCACCACAGCCTCAGCTTCAAGCTACGAGTGCAGAAATGGCATACCAAGGTTCGAGGCGACTCTCGAGTCTCCAGTTCTCGCGTATGTCGCCTGCTCAATCCGGGGATACTTCTCGCGCCATAACCGAGCAACCCCGTGAAGTTGAAGTATCTGAAGAGCCAGAGGATCAAGAAATGGAGGATGAGGTGCACCTGTATGACAAAAACCCGGAGGGTGATCTCTTTGTCTCAGAGGCTCGACCAGAACCTCCTGCCATGCATGAAACTACTCGACAGTCCCCGGAAGCGACTCCTCCGCAACACAACTCGTCACCCGTTCAAGAGCCTGCATCCCTTCAGCATGAGACTTTGCTGGACAAGACGTCACGGCCTCATCTCTCTACGATTATACGAGCGGGGCGTGTCCTTCAGAGCGTCACTTCGGATCCCCCGTCTCCTGAAGGACGTGAGAAGCAACTCGGCAGCCCATTCAGACGTTCTGGCAGCAAGGATTCGTGGACAGGCTCAAGAGACAGCCAGACGAGTCGTCGAATGAGCAGAAGCCCCTTGCAGAACCGAGGTGCTGCCCCGACTGGAACGGAACCAGACAACCAGGCCCAACCAGAGACTTCCAGTTCTGCATCAAGGAACCCGATATACCCTAGTTTTCTCAGCCCAGTTCGTCTCAGCAAAGAACCGTCTGTGGAGCGGGATAGGTCAGACAGATCTCTATCGAGACAGTCATCGGCAAGCTCGATGCATATTACGCCCCCGAGCGATGGAGCCATGAGTTGGGTCGAAAGAGAGGGTCCGATCAGCCCGAATTTGCGGGGGGATAACTCTCTCCGAGAGGTAGCTGGATTGCCAAAGCTGAGAACCGGGCTCGAGAAACTCGGTTCTGTCGAGCGAGTTAATGCTCCTCCTGCTGAAGCTCCTGTGACCGAGCCGCCTCGAGAATCCACACCAAGAGTCGAGGCGCCAGAGCCGGACCAGGATACGCGAGATGATGAGACGGATATTTGGGAACTAGAGGCACAGCGAGAAACACCTCGCTCTGTCAGGCAGCAGCCCTTTGGCAAGCGTGTCCCGACAAGCAACAATCGGCGTGGAGCGATTCCAAGTCCCTGGACAAAACGAAGTGTTCATCGACCAGCAATCTCGAGGATGATTTCACAGGCGGTGCCAGATCTATCTCATGTCACAGAGGAACCAAGTGCTGTCCCCGATCGACCACCTCCGTCTAGCTCTCCGGATGAATATTCTCGTCTTGCTCAAAGTCAGAAGAAAGAAGCCGAAGCCAAGAATGCAGCCAACGCTCCTGAATCAGGCAACAGGGCTACCAAGTTCGACCTCTCCTCTTTCTTCTCTTCACCGGCAGCAATCCCGGGCATGCTAGCTCAGAAATTCATGCTAGCAAGAAAGACCCAATCCACCGCTCAATCCGCACAGCCTTCCATGTCCATGGCCGGGCAGGCTCCTCCTGTGGTGCCCACAAACTCCATGTTTCCGCAGATCCCTCAGAAGGATCTCCGGCCTGACAGCAGCAACGGAAGCGGTCTATTCTCGCCAGCTCGGCTCAGGGAGCCGTCGTCACCTTCTGAACAGCAGGAACAAACTCCCGAGCCGCAAGAGCAGCAGCCAAGCTCCGAGGCCGAAAGGTCACCGCCCCCGGCGACGCCAGAGCAAGCCTTCAGGCCAACCGTTGCCCAAAAGCAAAATTTCACCCCTCGACCGGGTCAAGCAAGCAGCTCGTTCTTTCGTTCCTCTTCCAATCCTTCTGCGGCCGTCACCCCTCCCAGGATGCAGCTCTCCCACGCGGACATCCACAGATGGACACAACAAGCGTCCAACGCCAGCGAAGCCTCGTCCGGCTTCCAGCGTCCCCTTCTCCGCCCCTTGCCACCCAAGACTGCGTTCCCCACAAAGTCCAGCCTTCGGTCCCCTCTCAAACCCCGCACGCCCGGCCGCGTGGTCGAATTCACCAGCTCCGTCCTCTCGCCGGCCGAGCAAGCTAAAGCCCGCCTGGAAGACCGCTCAACACACTCCAACTCCATACTCTCGCAGGACTTGTTTGCTCCTCCACCCCACCAGCCCATTGTTCAAGATGACAAGGAAAACGCCTCGATGGAGGACGTCTCCATGGAAGACGCCCCGTCTCCCACCAAGCTTCGCACTCGAGAACCCTTGTCCCAGACAACCTGGTCCCGCCAGCACTGGCTTCTGCTGGACGAACTGTTGCAGTATCGTCGCTCATCGCCATTTCCCGTGAATTACACCCGTGGAGCGGATCAATATCTCGGGAAAACAGTTAAGAGCTACGGCGAGGCCATGACTCTCGACAGATGGCATCTGGACGTCGTGGACGCCTTCAAGGCAGAGGTCGGCGGCTGGGACGCAGACGTCCTGGCAAAGAGGCTCTTTGCCCTGATTCTTGGCGAGGCGAGACGCATGGAAGCCAGAGGACCCGTCGAAAGGAGAGTCGTGTTTTCCTCATGATTAACGATGAGTGGTTTTCTGTTTTTTCCCTCCAAAGTTATCTTTCCACATTGTAGTCCTTGGAAAGGAAATCAAGGGGCATGGCGTTGGTGGAAAGCACCTGTTTACAGATAGATACCACTTTTGCATGGTTGATGTTTGAATTTTTTTTTTTGGTTTTCCCGCATATGGAAAGACAGCAGCTAAGATCCGTGGAGATCTGCTTGGAATACAGAGCAAGACATGGCACTTTGGTTCACAGTACAGTCGGTTGTCTTGGGACAGGAAATATTTCGTCACTTTTCCCCTGTACCAGGGTCAAGCCTCTTGGAACGCCTCGTCTACCGTGATGGTACAGTGAAAAGACAGTCTTTGCACCCTCTTTGCTTACTCTAGCATGGAAGCTTGGTTTGTATACAGGACATCCACCACGTTGCTCAACTTGTCGATTGTTGCTAGCGCTGCGTCGTACGATTCGTCGCGCTGCGTCTCGTCGTAGATGATGAGGCAGCCTGCTCCTTGATCCAACACGCCGATGATGACCTTGTCCAGGATCATCTGCGACAGCTTCCGCTCGACCTGCTGGGTGTCGAGACCGACCATCTTGGCAATGTGGTCGATTTCGACGCGGGAAAATGGCTCAATGACCTTGATGAGATTCTGCTCCAGCATGGCGTCGTACAACCGGCGGAGGTGGTTGCGGATGAAGGCGTCGCTGCCGAGTTCGTACCGGTAGGCGGAGAGAGCACGTTCGTACTCCTCCAGAGAGCGGTTCGAGTGTGCCCTGGCAATGGCCTTCATGGCTTCGAGGTTCTTGCCGGCATACTTGACTGCTTGCTTGGAGGACATGAGCTGGTTCACATCGTCGGCGAGATTGAGCATGATCTTGCACAGGAGCATGTACTGCAGGGCGGCTTGGGCCTTGGCCGCCTCGTCCAGACTGTCGTAGCCATCCAGTGCCTCGATGAAGTACGAGAATGCCGTGTTGAAGTCCTTGTCCTCGGCGTGGAGCATGCCGCTCTGCATGTCTAGATTGGCCTGCAGCAGGGGCGGGGTGTAGACGCTTGCCGCGCTTGTTCGCGCCGTGGTCAGGGCCGCACGGGCCTTGGGGATGTTTCCGAGTGCGTGATAGACTCTTGATTCGAGGAGCTGGACTTCCACCAAGCGAAGTTTGTCGTCGAGGCGCTTCAGCTCGCGCAAGAGGCTGTTGATGAGGGTGAGTGCATCGTAGTAGGATTGTTTGGTCATGTAGAGCGCGACAAGGCGGACTTCCAGGTCCTGGCGCTGGAATGCGCGGCGCTCGGCGGTGGCCCATTCAATGCAGTCCTTGGTGATGTGCACTTCGATGTCGGTGCTGTTGGGAATCTGCTTGAACAGGTCGAGCAGTTGCCGGACTAGCAACGGATGGTTAGACGAGGTTGGTTTTCGTATTACCCAGAAACATGGCTTTCACCTACCCAGCTTTGATGATTTCGCCTTGGCAAACGATGAAAATACTGAACGGCTCTCACGAACGAGATCCACGAGCTCCTGTGTCTTCCTGTATGTACGAATCAGCAGCGAATTCAAATGCTGATTCCGCAGCACCAGCACCACGGCTTTGTTGCCCGTACGTGCCGTCGCGTAATGGCCACTGACTTTTCGTCCCGATACAGCTCTCCCAGACTGATGAGCGCCGACTCATACTCGCGAGTGGCCGCGTCCGACGTAGCAGCAGGTGCTTTGGAGGTGATTTCTTTGTAAATGGCTTCAGACTTTCGCGGGTCTGTCTTGGCAAGCTTCTGGGCTTCTTGGAGCCGGCTCGAGTCGGCAACCGCCATTCTGGGGGTGGAGGCGAACGAGCGTCTGCAAAGGGGAGGTAGAGAGTTTTTCGAAGGAAGCGGGAGGAGAGTCGAGAGGGCCCGTTAGAGACGGGGATACCGACCGCTCAGATGGTCGGCACAAGCGGATGATGATGAGGTGCGGTGCGAGCTGAAGCCGTGATTGGAGTCCAGCTAGCCTTGGCCGGCCTTGTCCTTCCAGGTTGCCACAGCGCGCGTGTCGCTGCCTCGTGTCGTGCATAAGGTCGGCCCGGGGTTGATCCGCCGCCTCCTTTGCCTCCGTTTTCCGGATTGAAATTTCATCGCGGCGGTATAGACACACTTCCGACGCGCATTTACATTTGAACTTTCCGCCCCTCAGCCGCATCTTCTCCCGTAATGTTGCGTCAGGCTCTCTCTACCTCCTCCCGAGTCCTGCGCTCAGCCCCGCGCTTGACAGCCAGCCAGCCGGCGCTACGGACTCGATTCCAGCCAGCCCCTGCGGCGTGGTCATTAAGAACGACCCAGCCAGCTGTCGCGAGGTGGTATAGCGATGCCAAGGAGGCTCCCGCAGAGGGAGACGAAGCCGAGGCCAAGGACGATGCCGGGGAGCCGGATGCTGTGGCTGAGCTGAAGAAGTCTTTAGAGGCAAAGGATGCTGAAGCTCGTGACTGGAAGGTATAATTCACTCTGTCCCAGCTGCGCATTCGCCGACTACATTTTCCTCCTGGATGTCATCTTACAGCTTGAGCAGGATAAATGCATGCGCACCGTTGCCGACTTCCGCAACCTGCAAGACCGCACCCAGCGCGAGGTCAAGACGGCTCGAGAATTCGCCATTCAAAAGTTCGCCAAGGACCTCGTCGAGAGCGTCGACAACCTGGACCGCGCCTTGACCATGGTCCCGCCTGAGAAGCTCACTGCCAAGGACGAAGGCTCCCAGGACCTCGTCAACCTGTACGACGGCCTCAAGATGACTGAGAACATCCTTATGCAGACTCTTGCCAAGCACGGCCTGGAGCGGCTAGACCCTGAAGGCGACAAGTTCAACCCCAACGAGCACGAGGCCACCTTTATGGCTCCCCAGCCCGACAAGGAGAACAACCTCGTCTTCCACGTGCAGCAGAAAGGCTTCAAGCTCAACGGCCGGGTTTTGCGCGCCGCCAAGGTCGGCGTCGTCAAGAACGCTTGAGCCGATGATGATGATGATGGTCACCAACAACATATGCTCCTCCGCTCTTTCAACCCCAACCAACCAACCACCCCTCCGTCCTCGCAAGATGGATGACCACCACCTTATAAAATGTTAGAGACGTGCTGTTGTGGACTAAACGCATGTCATTGTACTAGTACGGGCGAAGCCGAAAACCATGAATCTTCCAAGGGCCGGCGTTGGGTCAAACATGTATAATGCTCCTCTCATGACTGTAGAGAACAAGAACAACTTGTTTTACCTGTATGTCCAGGTTTTTTTTTCTGCATGGCGGGCTTTGAATGTCAGATGATTTCGATGCGACTTGGACAAGAAAAATCGTCGAGTGTACGAGAGGGGTTCCGTATTCCTGTATATAGATGCATCTACAGAGCATCCGATTGTGAGACGAGGCCGCGTAATCTGTCCTTGTGTTGTGGATGTCGTACCACCTCTTGGGACAGCATCTTCACAGTCGAAGGTATATACAGGTTATCCCGCCAGTAGTTGGTGAGCAATTGAACAATAAGCTACGCTGCAAGTACTATGGGAAGCCAGCGACGTAAAGTCACGTGCGTTACTATTTACTTGAAATCAGCTTGTCCCGGCATGTGCACGTCTGTGAAGGAGAGAAAAGAAGCACTAAAAGAGAGCCTCACATGCGCCCCTGAACATGACGGCGCACAGCTCCCTACAGCACAAGGCGCATCAACCAATCATGTGCTGTTGTTGTCCCGTGCGAGTAGGGGTGAGAGTCAACCCCCACCATCGCCATCGGCCAGCACAAGCGGAAACTTTCCCCTCCCGCACCAGCGCACCAGGTCGCGCCCAAGACGAGACGAGACGACATGGCTAAGCGCCAACGTACCTCCGAGACGGACCCCGTCCGCGGAACGTCCTTCTTCGAACAACAACGCGAGGCGCTCCTCAACGACATCTCAATGGTTCGTTCCGCACCGCCTTCCCCTGCGCCGGCGTGCAAACCAGCCGCCGCCGCCGACGACAGCAAAGCTGACCGCCCAGAGTTTCGAACACGTCCTGGCAAACATCAATAAACTGAACCGGTCTCTTGAATCCGTCATAGAAGTAGGCTCGCCTTTTGCCACACCCCCCACCTCAAGCTTGGAACTTTGCTATCGCCCGCCTAACAAGAATAGGTCGGCAACGAGTTCTCCTCCGTCGAAGCGCTGTGGTCGCAATTCGAAAGCGTCATGGCAAAGGATGGGCCGAAACAGCAGGGCGACAAGGTCGACGCCGCCGGTGATGAAGCGCATGGGTGATGCCCGTCGACGTCAGTACACTGCAGATTGGAACACGCAAGAGCAGGCCTCGGTGTTGGGATAATCACAGTAACGACACGGATAATTGAATCACTTTTTTAATAATTCCCTACCCAACCTATACCCTACATTCCGCTCGTCATATGCCTCCATTCCACTCGGCTTCACCCTCACGCCTACTCTGGCGCAATATGTACCAAATCCCCGGGAGAGCGTAAGCACACTTTTGAAGCTCAGGAGACCTGTCCTGCGCTCCGTCATGTTATATCTAGCTAGCCCCGAGGCAGAGCGTCAATGTTGTTCGTAATAAGTGCAATCGTAAAAAATGAAAAAAAAAGGACAAAAAAAAGCGTGACAGGGTCCAAGAGATCTCATGCGATGGTCATTACAATACCCTTTGCGACGGGCCAGTACTCGATATGTGACTGCGCTCTTTGAAGATGGAAAAAGTGGTAATCAAGGAGCAATTAAAGAAGTTGGCATCGTCTCTTCTTCTTGGGCGGCTTCATTCCGGGAATGGGCCCAATCTTCTCATTACCAGAGCCGAGTGCCACGGCGTCATGGTTCCGCCTGTCGTTGGCAACCACGGTAAGAATGGCGCGCTCAAAAATCTCGTCGACTCCTAGCATTTCCTTGCTACTGCACTCCATGTACTGGGCACCCATCTTCTCGGAAACGGCCAGTCCCTGTTCCGTGGTGACTGGTGTCAGGCCCTGGGTTTTGAGCATGTCGATGCAAGTCTTTTTGTAGCGCAGATCCGACTTGAGGCCGACCAGGATGAGTGGGGTGTACGGGCAGAAGTGCAGGACTTCGGGATACCACTGGCCGTAGTCAGCACCATCATCATCATGCTCTTGCCCCGTCAAACCGCAGACACTTACCTTGTCCAGAACATTGTCCAGTGAGTTTGGGCAGTCGATGGCGAAGCAGACAAAAATCAGGTCCGTCTCGGGATAAGAGAGCGGGCGCAGACGGTCGTATTCCTCTTGGCCGGCGGTATCCCACAAGGCTAGCTCGACGGTCTTTCCAGTAGGACCATGCGTGGGGTATGTGATGTAGTTCTCGAAAACAGTCGGGACGTATTTCTATCGACGCTCTTGTTAGCGGGCCGAAGCCAAATGAAAAAAAAAAAAAAAAGAACAAATAAAACGCGACCCGGGAGGGTTTCATCTCACCTCTGGGAAGTACCCTTGGCTGTAGCTGATGAGCAAGCACGTCTTGCCGCAGCCGCCATCACCGACCACCACAATCTTCTTGGAGTAGGCCGGCACGTCCGTCATATTGGTTGCTGCAGACTCCCGTCCAGAGGACGAGCTCACCGTGGTGCTGACAGTTCCGTTGCTCGAGCGCGTGCGCTGCTGTCGCCGCGGTCGCTCATTACTGGCCGGCGCGTAGTACGAATTGCTGTAATGCGAAGCCATCCCTTTTGAGCGGTGCAAGACGTACGTGCGGCAGAAAACAGGGAGCCCAAAAACGTAGTCGTTTGCGCCAAGAGAAGCGTTCAGACGCGACGTGAATCCACTTTCACTCGGTGACAACCTCCGGAATGTTGTTGCTTGCCAGCTGGCGGGAATAGGCAAAACAGACGTGGTCTGTGTCGCGGGAGACGGCAATGTTGTTTTCGGTCTATGTCTGCTCTGCAAAATAGTAGGCGGAGATGGCAATGCGGACGGTGACTATGATGATGACTATACGGTTGCTGAGAATGTCGAATAGAGAGAAGAGTTGAAGGTAGAAGGGTGTGGAAGACTTGCACTTGTTGCTTTGCTCTTGTCGGGCTCGAACTGGGCGATGCGAAGAGGCGGCGGACTTTCGGCTGCAGCAGCCGTCGACCACGGCAGGGCGTCGAGCTGTTGACGGGGCAACGGAGTCTGTCTGGCCAATGGGAGGGCTGTCGTGTGGTGAAGCGGGACCAAGTGGGCAGTTTCAGCTGGCCGCAAAGCCCCCACTTTAAGACACAATCCTGGCTTCCTTCGCGCAAGCAATTTTTCCGCACACCTTCTTTCCACTTCCCATCACGTTCGCGGATTCCATCCAGTCCGCCTCCTCGCCACACACGCGCCATGGCGATGCTGCAGACGCCAAGCAAGTATGTCACGCTGGTGTCAGGTGACGGCTTCGAATTTGTAGTTTTGCGCGAGGCTGCCATGGTGAGCCCCATCATCAAGGGCATGCTGGATGAGCGAAGTGCGTGAATACCGATTTGCCGCGTATTCCCGACACGGGTCAAGCTCGATTCAGCTCACAGATAGGTGCAGGCCAGTTCGCCGAGGCTAAGAATGCACGCTGTGTCTTTCAAGAGATGAGGTAAGCTTCCGGCAGGCGGATTGAAGGCGAATGATGGTCCATCCGTGTGTGCCTTGGCCAGAAGGATGAAAACAGAGCAATCGCAATCACGATGCGACGCCACGTTGGTTTGTGCATGACAGAACGCCGCTACTTGGCTGGTCGGGCTGGTTGATCGTTCACTACACTTGAACTGATGGTCGGGGCATGCCCAACACACTGGCTCGCCTTCCCGCTATGGCTTCTGCTGCCTCCATGATGCACGAACCGGCAGCTGACATTTCTTCTCCTCCCTCGTCACAGTGGCATGGTCCTCGACAAAGTGGTCGAGTACTTCCACTACTGGTACCGTTACCGGAACAGCGATGACGTTCCTGACATGGACATTCCCGTAGAGCTGTGTCTGGAGCTCCTAGCTGCGGCTGACTACTTAGGGTTGGATCAGTAAGGCTCTCTGCACACGACGAACCTGGAACATACCTAACGCTGCACGATCAGGGGCAACACCAATATGAAATGATGGACTGAGCGAAATACCCTGATTTGGCGCAATGGCGTTGTGGGCACGGCGTTATCGGAAAGGGATGTCTTGCAAGATCTGACAGGACCAAGATTATAATGATGACGAGAAATTTGTTCGAGCTTGATTTGATGTTTTTGGCCTTGGGAACACGAGCGAAACAAGATGTTGTGACTGAGCAACAAGTATCCACTATTGACGACATGGAATCCATTTCAGCATATGCGTTCTTCTCTTCACTTCTCCGTGAGTCGAACGTCTATTAGAGATGGAAGATTGATACACTCCCTCTCACTCTGCGTTGCTTAGTTGGGCATTGAGTCTTCGCTTTTTCTGTAGGGATACATGCCAGGCTGCGTGGCTCATTCGGGCGGTGATTCGTTATCAAGACATGATGCTGAAGAAAAAAAGACGATGGCCGGGATTGAAAGAGGAGTAGTTTATGACACCGACTACCACTGTCATATTATGTGCACGATACTTCACTTGGGCGCGGTGTGGCTTGGATTTTGGGATTTTAATTCAAGTGTTTTCCGTCTGTTTCAAGAAAACTGGTCACCGTAGCCACCATGGTGAAGGCGTCACAGCTTCTCCGCCGTATGTCGTGGAATTTTTGAAGAGCAATTCGCTTGGTGTTTGTTTTTCGTAGCGCGAGCCATCTTGCCATGTGCTGAAAAGGCCCACAAGTTGATAAGACATTCACAGATCTCGCCGGCAATTGGTCACGTCGCGTCTGACTAATGCCATCGCGAGCGCTTCGACTTCATCCGATGCTCGAGATGAGATCTCAACCCAGTACGACCGCACGATACAAAGACCACAAAATGGACATGGGTTTGTCCAAGACTTCTTCTAATTCGCTCAAAGGAAAGCAACCAGAGCAAGCTTGACATGACGAAAGAATCAGGAGCCGGAACGAGGGTTCCTATATTCACCGCACTCTCAATACACCGTTATTTTCTCATCCGTGTCTCTTCCGCGAAGCGCTTACTCAAAGGGCTGGAATTATGTACCGCCCGTGATCTTGTCCGGTAGCTGCCCGGGCGCAAAGAATGCGTGTGATCTCGCGAGACTTTTCCAATTTCTCAAAGTTGAATCTCACAGGGAAGCACTCCGTCAAAGTCTGTGCTTGGGTTTGAGGCGCTCACAAACAGCAAAGTTTCGGCTGTCATCTTCCCGCAGCGCCCGGTTCATTCCCCAGACTGTGAATTCGGGCATGTCTGGTCTAGCGAGCACTCTGTTATTGTTCCGATTCGGGGAAGTCCGCAGGCCGCCGTGTGTGCTAGCTGTGAGGCTGCAGTTTTCTACGTGCTTAGATAACTAGGATGCAGGCTCGAAATGAAGCGAGCGGTATGGATTGACCGGTCACTTTACGTTTTAATCGTTGACGGCATGTTTTAATCATGCTTGAGCTGTTCTTCCCGAAACACTTTGAACTCTGAACAAGCCGAATCTCGACGTCGACTGTCTCGATGCTGAACGCACAAGGCTCGGAGGCACGAAGAAAAAGAAACAAACCTCTTCTTTTTTCTTTTTTCTTTTTCTTCTTTTCGAATTGCTCTCCCGGTGAAGCTGCGATGGATGACTTGAGTCGTTGGACGGTGTCTAATCCTGATTGTTCCCGCAGTGGAAATCACCGATTCTGCTGTAGTTTCTTTCTAGGCGCCATCACTACGCTTTGTACTCATCAGACTCGAAAATGAAGAGTCACTTTCTCTCCGAAATCACGGACAACCCCGTAACTTATCGTGCTCAACTTCTGTTCGTGTAAATGCGTCGCGCCAGTTGGAGCTCAAATAGCCCCCGACATTGCCTCTGCCTTCAGCCTCAATCTCGTTCGACAAGCTCACCACCAACCCGAGATTTTCCTGCCGACGAGCCTGATACCAACCACCTGCATCTACTTGACATCACATCTATCTACACATCATTTATATCGCCTCTTTCAACTTTGCAGCATACTCTTTGCTTCATCATGGCATCTGACTCCTCACCTGAACACAAAGATACATCCGCCCAGCCAGCTCACACGATTGCAATCTCCTCACCTGACGAAGATACATCCGCCCAGCCAGCTCACACGACTGAAATCTCCTCACCTGACGAAGATATATCCGCCCAGCCAGCTGACACGATTGAAACCTCCTCACCTAACGGAGATATATCCGCCCAGCCAGCTCACACGATTGCAATCTCCTCACCTGCCAGAGATATATCCGCCCAGCCAGCTGACACGATTGAAACCTCCTCACCTAACGGAGATACATCCGCCCAGCCAGCTCACACGATTGCAATCTCCTCACCTGCCAGAGATATATCCGTACAGCTAGCTGATTCGACTGCAATCTGCTCAGCTTATGTGATTGTCTTTCCATACGCTTGGGGTTATGTGGACAATGTCTACAGGATTCTAGATGTTTGGCAAGTTCGGTATCGCAAGGACGGATTTCGAGTTATCGTGGTGGGCCTCAGCGAGAAGGGCCTCAGCAACCTTGAGGATTGCAACGATGCTTGGACCCTTTTGCAAGTTATTCTCGCAGGTATTTACCCAAGAGTCACGGAGTAAGTAGATCCTTCTCTCATTTCTACATTATTCAAAAAACGTAACGAACAGAAGCTGATATCGAATTGCGTGTAGTGCCTTCATCCTAGATTCAAGCGGTGTTCAGATTCGACACCTCAGGCGCCAAGTGTTATAAGCAAGCCACTGGCGGCAGATGATATATCACGCCTTTTCTATGTTCGACGCCGTCTTCAAACATAAGGGCAACGTTATTCAACCAGCTATAGGAGAAAAGGGTCGGCCAACGACGGTCACACAACATGACGACCTGGCTACGAATCACCATGGAGGCCTGAGGCCGCAGGCGCAACAAAGAGGCATTGTGGTTGTCTCAGGATTCCAGGGCACACCGCTCATATACTATATTGAGAGCCCCTGGGCCCCAGGTTCTTGAAATGGGTTTATCACTCTTGAGGCCCCAAGGATGGGTATCACATTTTCATATCAATACAGCGAGTACAAGCTCTGCTTCTATGGCGCTCATCATGACAACACTTTTTCCACTGCTTTTCAGAAGGACTATGAGAGCAAGGACAGCCTTTGTTTGTCCTGGTGGGGAAGAATTGATCTAGACGATGGCTACTCGGACCTTTTTCACTTCTTGTTTTCATTACAACTTTTTTAGGAAATTCCCTCATTCATCTACAGCACACTCGTATCTAGATTGGAATAAAATGAATTTGTGCACTTGATGGCTATGATACGTCGGATCAACGGTACTTTCATGAGAACGTCACTCACTCACCTAGTTTCACCCGCCAAACACTATTAGGTAACAGAATGAACTAGTAGGGCATTCACATGCATGCCGCTGCCGTGAGAGTGCGCAGCAGGTTGGGACGTTCGTGGCCGGCAGAGTCGAGGGCGGCCTTGAACTCCTCCTGCGCAGGATGGTCGGCGAGTGGCCACACGGTTTCCATGGGTCACTTGTCCAACGTGATAGATCTGGCGTCATCGAAAGTTCGGAACCAGGGCGGGCCAAGAGGCGATATCATCTTTGTCCTGTCCTGTCCTTGTCAGGACTCGGGATACGAAGGACAGGACAGGACTCAGGATACGATACGCCGTCCGGCTCGACGCTGGAGACCCCTTGGACACCGCTTTATTTACGCGGCCAAGGGATGCCCACCATAATAACAAAGGAATGGCTTTGTTCGGCACACTACACTCCAGTACGTACGGCAAGGTAAGCCTTCATCATCCATGAGGGTTTCTCCCAAAAGGCCTTTCTTGGATGCCCGCGCACGACGAATAAAGGATACATGTCCCATTGAGCAGGCTGTGCATGTCGAGGGGCTCGAGGACTCGTCTGAACACTCTCTAAACCCAAGCATTATTCGAACGAGCCTGCATCAAATGTCTCACGATGCCTGAATGTTACACACTAGCAACGACTCGTAGCAGACAGCATGCTTTTCGCACACTAGGCCAGGTGATTTCCGGTGACGCGCAAGCACCCGCGGCATGGCCCTGGACAGCCTCGACAAGAACTACTCTTCTTCAAGGCATGTTGGATAGGGAAGAATAGTCTGGGTCAGAAGTTTACAGACTCGTGCTACATGCATACGTCGTGCCCCAGAGGCATTGTACTTGCTACCCGCCCACCTCTTGCCTGGTGCTTCATTTCCCGTCTCGCTCCTCCCACACACATCTCGTCCGTGGCAAATATGGTTCCAAGCTGTCCACAACGAGATGCATCGTATGGATCCGTGGTCGGAAACGTCCATAAATTGGCTCTCTTCTCCAGTCCTAAATTCACATGGTGTTTCCGGCTCTCGACCACATACGTACACACGCGCCGACACTCTCTATCTCTCTCTCTCTGTCGTCTTCTCCTCACGTCACAGAAATCACGACCGTCTACCGCACCTCGCCATACCATAGCGGCGGAGTCGCCAAAATGCCCCCTACAAGTCGCGTCATCTATTTGGAAACGTCGGGCGTCGAGCCTCACAACCTGCATCTCCACAGTTTGATGAGTGAGATAGGGCGGCATTCCGGGAGCAGTAGGTCGCAATCACCATTCCAAAAGCGAAGCTGGCCTCGTTGCCGATGGCTAAGTTGACCCCACAGATCCCACTGCTCATCTTCAATCCCGAAACAGTCATGGAAGCTTCACATCTGCCGTCTGGATATACTGGCAAAACTGTGACGGCATCTCTCTCGACCACGTGGTAGCAGTGGCCAAGAACGTGCTGAACATTCCCGACGTAAGGTGAGTCAGGAAGCAGTCTTTTCTCTTCTCGATTCCTGACAGGGAACGATGTTGTTTGCCCGCTTCATCTTGTTACTTGTTACTTATTACTTGGGGTGCTGATACTCCATGTTTAGCGCCCAGCACAAGACCGTCGCGGAAATCAGGGATTTCATCGACACAACGAACGGGTGTGTGATAAGCCCCCTGGAGCGAGAAATTCGACGTTTCGTCATTGAGGCCACCTGCGGCCAGGGGTAAACTTGCCCCGAGAACTCGGGGAGCAGCAGTGACGCCGTCCCACGGCGGATAGGCTGACGCTGGCGAGAATGGCGGCGGCGGCGGCGGCGGCGGCGGCGGCGTATGATGATGGACCGCGCGGGTCCGGACGAGTCGGTGAATCAGAAACAGGGGGCTCTTCAAACTCTCAAGACTAGGGGTCCAGGCATGCCTGCCTGCCCTCTTTGACATGACGCGTACTCGGAGCCCTCGGTCACAATTTCTTCGAGTTCCCCCGACTGCTGCTGCCGACTTTTTCAGGGGCTCGATTATCCGCGCTGCTTTTGGGATTCGACGGGTTGCATTTCGGCGGTGGACAATGATTAATGGGATGCGGGTGGAAGTCACACATTGGGCTTTGCTTTCTTGTGCCTCCGGAAACGGCCTCGGGCGTGGTTCCCGCAGAGTATGCTGCTTGTCCGGCTGTGTCGGTAGGCTTGTTAGCAGAGTACACAGGGAGACACCGAGCCGGATCTCGCGAAGACCTTGTAGCTAGTTAGAATAGTGGCGGCGACTGCATTAATCTCTGAACGTCCTTCTTTCTACGGCAGATGTCTCTTCTCTTGTAATATTTATGCCTCGTGAGAACTGATACGCAACTAGCCAGCTGGCCTCGTCGCACGATTGAACCTTGACAAATTGAGGAAGGCTGTGCAATTACGCCTCCGAGCGCCTGAGCTCTGACAGGTTGTTAGTAGGGACGTGATTGAGGGGATCGGTATCGATTCCTACACTTCCCTTTCTAGTGTGTGTCCAGATGGCCAACTTGAAAGTCAATCATTATACTTATTCTTTGACGCTTTACTTTGTAGATGGAGGTGGGTACGATGCCAGGGCATCCACAGAGAGAGAGAGATGCTGGCTCAACGATGCAAACAGACTAGGGAAGCCGGAGGCGAAGCTGTAGGTCTTGGTTGCAGAAGCCAGAGGATAAGAATGAAGTTGAATGTTGTGTAACCTGATTTGGCCAAGCCAAGGGAAAAATAAGCGGGCCGTTCCGAGTTGCCGCATGGATCATGTCCGGATCCACGGAAACTTGATTGGTAATTCCGGGATCGCATTCGGGATATGGAGAACGGAGAACGGATTCTTATGGCAGCACTAGTAACTACCACGGGTCCCCGTTCCGGACCCGCGCCACCGGCCGGGACGAGTTTCAGGCCTTGTCCGGCGCCGAGGCCCCGGTTGGCGCCGGCATCGCCTGTCGCCGCTGGAACTGGGGCCAGGGTCCGCGACGGCGCGAACGGATGACATGCGACACGAGCCGCTCATCCTGGATGCCGCACGCGCTGGCGTCGCTTTCGGAAAACGAATCGTGTCGGATGTTTCAAGGTTGTGGCGAGACGAGAACGACCTTGCCGGTCGGTTCGAGGCCACAAGAAAGAAGTCGAACCATTAAAGTGGGGAACCTCAAGCCACCCCCAGGACCCCCCAGGATTCTACCAACCAACCAACCAACCAACCAACACCTGCGACTTGCCTCCCGATTGTAATTTGTCACGCAACACCATGGCCGCCAGGCGGATCCTAAAATTCCCCCAAACCGACGACCCGTCATCCCACGTTCTCGTGCAGGTCTCGCCAAAGGGCTCAAAGCCCCTCGACCTGAAATTAGTCGGCACAGAAGGCCGAGCCGCCTACGTGTGTTCCCGTGAGTCACCAAGCCCGCATCCTTTTCTCAAATCACCACACGTCCCCGTGGCGTTTTCGACGCGGTAGAAAGAAAACCCCGACAAAATGCGCTAAACTCATCCCCATCCCAGTGCGGCATGACCGCGTCGCGCCCCTCCGTGTTGGAAACTGCCCCGTCTCCGAAACGGAGTGGCAGGCCATCCTGCAGTCCATCCTGGACCAGCAGCCGCTCCCTGGCATCCAGGCGTCCGCCGCGGTGCAAACCGGGTCGTCCATATCCCTCTCCGTCAGGAAGCAAGTCCAGGGAATTACTGTACGTGCTCACAGCGCCTCGAGCCTGGTGGCGAGCCTGACCCTTCCCGCTTGCAGCAACGCCTCGGCGCCGTCACGCTGAACCATGACCAAGCCGAGCGGATTGAGCTGTTTGAATGGTGCGCCACCTCTGTGGACGCGGCTGGCCGGGCTGAAGAGTCTGCGGCCGCGGCTGGATCCCGGATCCGCGACCTGCAGGCTTCTGTGGACCGGCTCGAGATGCAGCTGGATGAGCTGGTCGCCGCCAAGCAGGAGGATGACGTGGTGCTGCTGCAGAAGTTTAGGGACCTGCTGAATGAGAAGAAGGTCAAGATTCGGGAGCAGCAGAAGATCATTACGGAATTGACGGCGGACGGTGCCCGTCGGGAGGATGACGCCGAGGCCGAGGCCGACGCCGGGGAGGTACAGACGCTCAAGAAGGGGAAGAGGGCGCCCAAGAGAAAGGCACAGGCCGTTGAGAATGAGTCCCCCGAGGCGGACGTCGACATGGCGGCTGGGGACACGACTGAGGCGACGGACTCTGTGGCGAGTGACCATGGGGACGATGACGAGGGCGAGGACGAGAACATGGGCGAAGCAGCGGGAGAGCCGGCGCCGCCCCAGAAGAAGCAGAATGCGCCTCCGCCCCCGCGGGCTCTGCCGTTTCAAAAGAAGAAGCGGTCAGTCGCTGCGGATGATTCGGACGATGATGAGTTGTGAGGGCAGAGGCCGACATTGCTGGTCGTTTTGTTGTTATTTTGACTCACGTTTCAACACACACACACACACACACACACACATATATATATATATATATATATTCGTTTCTCATCACAACTCGCATTTGTACTCATTGCAAATGCCACTGCTCCTTGTAACACTCACCAACAGCCTACTGCTTACCGCCTATCATCCGGCGCAAATTTCTGGGTCCAGAACCCGCGGAAGTGATGCTGGTCGCCCACCTCGGCGATCCGCGCCACCTCGTCCTGCGTGAGCTTAAACAAAGGCAACTTGGCCAAGTAGCCCTGCATGCGAGCCTTATTCGAGCTCGTAGTGATCGCAACCAGGCCCTGGTCCAAGATCCATCTCAGTCCAACCTCGGACTCGGAGACGCCATACTTGTTGGCTAGTTCAGTCCATACCGCGTCAATGGGGCCGCCCCTTGCCCTCGTCAGCGGAAGCAGAGGCCCGTAGCACGAGACGGCAATGTTGTGCTTCTTGTGGAACGCGACCAGGTCGCCGCGCTGGAGGTACGGATGGTACTCGATCTGGTTGATGGCGGGCGGCGTCTTGGCCGTCTGGAGAATAGCCTCGAGGTGCTGCTGCAGAAAGTTGGAGACGCCGATGGATTTCGCCTTGCCCGACGCCTTGATGGCTTCGAGGTCGGCCCATTTGCGCTGCAGCTCCTCGTCCGAGCGGGCGAACCAGGGTGCGTGGATGAGGTACAAGTCGACGTAGTCGAGGCCCAGCTTCTTGAGGGACAGCTCGAAGGCTTCCTGGGTGGACTTTTGCTGCTCGCCAAAGACTTTGGTGGTGACGAAGAGCTGGTGTCGGGGTACGCCGGATTCCTTGATGGCTGCTCCTAGCTCTTCTTCGTTTCCGTAGACTTGGGTTGTCGTGAGTGCTTTGAACATCTTGGGTCTCGCCGCTCTGGCTTCTGCTTACCCTCTGCACCGTCGAGGTGGTGGTATCCGAGCTCAATGGCCGTCTTGGTGATGGCGACGACGGACTCGTCGTAGCCTTGGGTGGTTTTGTAGTGGGCGGTTCCGAGGCCGTATGCTAGCTGTGAGTTCCGTGAGTATGGTTCAATTCTCCGGCGAGGGGTGTTGGAATTTGGAGGAAGCGCAGAGTGAAGTGCGAGCATGTGGTTCTGCGTGGCTGCTCACCACTGGGATCTCATTGCCATCATTGAGCTTCAGGCTTGGTGGGAATGAGCCCTTGGAAGCTGAGTCGCTGGAAGCCATCTTCTGCCTTTTTTTATTTCTTTTGGAGAATTCGGGAGTGTATTTTCGAGGTATAGACACAAGAATATGAGCCTGTCGCGGGTGGGGGGCGCGGAGAAAATAACAGGGCAGAGGACAGTCGTCGTTGTCGTTGCGAATTTGTAATGATGGATTACGATATCAGAGCGCTCCCCGCTGCGGTGGAGGCCGCGGCCGGGTCAGTTCTTGCCGAGCGCGGATGTCGGCACCGGAATAACGGAACGGATACCTTTGTACTCCGTACATGGTACAGTACAATCTTGAGCAGACCAAGTTTGCGCTGCTTTGCCTGTCATTTCTTTTCGCTTCACTTGACGACCGAATTCAGCTTTGTTGTTGGTTTGTTGAGCGAGTCGATGGAGATGACGCATGTAGGCGCCGGAGGAAATAGTTGCGCGTTGATTTACGGAGTAATAATGGCATTTATTATTACTTCACTAGTCGGGACTCGGAAGACTGACGGGATTGGTCATGTACATGACTTCATTGCTGTGTGGTGCAAGCCTGCAGGGACGGGAAAACGCAGCGGTAATTGAAGAATATTACACCACGTGATTGCGTTTTTTTTTATCTTTTCATCTATGTAAATTTTGGTTTCCCCTCTTTTTCTTTTCTTTTTAATTCTACACGAACAGTCGGAGCGCGCGAACGTGCATGTTTCGGCGACGCCCCACACAGACGCCCGCAATCTGGATTCTGGAGTCCCGATGACGTAATCAATCTCGGGCCGTTCGTCGCATTTGACGTCAACCACGCTTCCGCATACCAGATGCCCACATGGACGCCGACGCAGCAGCAGCATCCTCTAGAATGTGATACTAAATCGAGTTTCACCTCGATCAAGCTGCCCTGAGGCCACCGCAACCGCGAAGCAACCGCGAAGACAAAACCGAACAAGTCTCCGTTGATGCTACACTGCGCGGGCCTGCGAAGAGCTGTCGTCCGACTCCGAGCTCCGTTCAACATGGCGGCGAACCACTCGACCGCTGCAGGCGCCACGCTTCAAGACCTGCCCAAATCATGGCGCTTTACCGAATCCCTACCGCCCGATCCTGTCTACCCAACACCCGCTGACTCGCATAAAACACCCCGAGATCAGATCCTGCCGAGACAAGTTCGCAACGCCCTCTTCACCTGGGTCCGACCCGAACGGCAGAGAGATCCCGAACTGTTGGCCGTCAGCCCCGCGGCCCTCCGCGACCTTGGCATCAAGGCCGGAGAGGAAAAGACGGAAGACTTTCGACAGTTTGTCGTCGGCAACAAGTTGTACGGATGGGACGAGGAGAAGCTAGAGGGCGGGTACCCGTGGGCTCAGTGCTACGGAGGCTTCCAGTTTGGCCAGTGGGCCGGCCAGCTGGGCGACGGGCGAGCCATCTCCCTGTTCGAGTCGCGGAACCCGGAGACCGGGAAGCAGTACGAGCTGCAGTTGAAGGGGGCCGGCTTGACGCCGTATTCCCGCTTCGCGGACGGCAAGGCCGTCCTGCGGTCCAGCATCCGCGAGTTCGTCGTGTCCGAGGCGCTCAACGCTCTCAAAGTACCCTCTACCCGGGCGCTCTCTCTCACTCTCCTCCCGCACTCCAAGGTTCTGCGTGAGACCATGGAGCCCGGCGCCATTGTCTTGCGCTTCGCGGAGTCTTGGCTGCGCCTGGGCAACTTTGATATCCTGCGCGCGCGGGGCGACCGGGATTTGATACGCAAGTTGGCAACGTACATTGCCGAGAATGTCTTTGGCGGTTGGGAAACTCTGCCCGCCCGGCTGGAGGATCCTGAAAAGCCCCGAGAATCGCCGGCCCCGAGTCGCGGAGTCCCAGGGGAGGCCCTCCAGGGGCCTTCTGAGACGGCGGAGAATAGGTTCACGAGATTGTACCGTGAGATTGCCCGCCGCAATGCCAAGACGGTGGCTGCCTGGCAGGCGTATGGCTTCATGAATGGTGTTTTGGTAAGTTTCGGCTGAACGATTTTGCCCTTCTTTTTCTTCAAACTATTTGGCGCATACATGGAGCTGACTATTTGGTAGAATACTGATAATACGTCCGTGTATGGGCTCTCAATAGACTTTGGCCCGTTCGCCTTCATGGATAATTTTGACCCGTCGTACACGCCAAATCATGATGATCACATGTTGCGATACAGCTATAGAAATCAACCGACCATTATTTGGTGGAACCTTGTACGACTTGGAGAAGCTGTGGGAGAATTGATGGGCGCGGCCGGTCTTGCTGATGATGCCACCTTCATATCGGAGGGTGTCAAGGAAGACCAGCAGGAGGAGGTCATATCACGGGCGGAGAAGCTCATCATGCAAACAGGCGATGAGTTCAAGGAGGTCTTCTTGGCGGAGTACAAGAGATTGATGACGCTGAGACTGGGCCTGCGGGAACTCAAACCCAACGATTTTGATGAGCTATTCAGTCCCGCTCTCGACACATTGGAAGCATTAGAACTTGACTTCAATCACTTCTTCCGTCGACTTAGCAACATCAAATTAGAAGAGGTCTCCTCGCCCCAAGGGAGAAGGGCAAAAGCTGCTGTATTTTTCCATGCCGAGGGCCCGCCAAGTACCGTGGGTGAGAATGAGGCACGGGACCGCATCGCGAATTGGTTAGAGCAGTGGCATGCTCGCTTGGTGGAGGATTGGAAAGATGGTCGACAAGTTCCCGACGAAAAAGATCAGCAGAGAATTGAAGCCATGAAGCAGGTGAACCCAAACTTCGTCCCAAGGAGCTGGGTCCTAGATGAGGTTATTCGACGGGTTGAAAAAGATGGAGAGCGAGACGTTTTGAATCACATCGTGCACATGGCTCTGAACCCGTTTGAAGATGAGTGGCATGGCAAGACATTTAATGGCGTCGCCTACAAAGGCGATGCAGACGAGGAACAAAGATGGGTTGGGGACGTTCCTCGACCGGGACGACTCATGCAGTGCAGCTGTAGCTCATAAGGGATAAGTCCATATGCATCATAGCCAGCAATGAAAAAATTACAAGCATCTTGGCCAGTGTTGCAATGGATCAAGTCAATTGAAGGAATGTAACGACCGGCGGTAAGAGGCAGCGCTCATCGAGATTGGTTCTCTCCCATGCTTCCATAATCGGCGTACTAGAATTTGCTCTGGGGCACAAGATAGAGGAAGACTCGACTGAAGACATCGCGTCCACTGGTGCAGACGCGAAGCTCAAGCTCACCTACAATAAAGTGTGCTCGTGTACAATTATGGTGAGGGAAGAGAAAAAAGCTTCCCGCTTTGCAAATTTCAGGTGAGGTTTATGGTGGAACCGGACGTTCCGGCCTCAGGCATTAACAAAGAAGAAGCAGGCCAATCAGAGCGCAGGTAAATTAATACGATGCTCGGTGGGGATCATTGCTATTGCTGCCGCTCGGCCACTTCTCTTCCAGAAGTCAACGACTGAGTCTTTATTCCGCCGCAAGCGCCCTGCATCGTCCAGTTCCTTTATTCCGTCAAGGCGACACGATGCTCCGACAGTCTCTGGCACGTTCGGCTTGGCGGACAAGTAGGCGGACCGTCAACGCCTCGCGGACCTTCAGTGCCACCCCCAGACGCCAGGCGGAGGTTGAATTGACAATTGGTGAGCAGCTTTTCCGCCTTCGTTGCCATTGATGCCTGCACCTGCGCTAACGTGATGCTAGATGGAAAGAAAGTTTCAATAGAAGGTAAGTGTCGATATTTGAGAAGGCTCGGCACCATTGTTGTTGACTCCGGAGTGTAGCTGGCTCTGCCCTGATTCAAGCATGCGAGAAAGCAGGCGTTACGATTCCCAGGTGAGCGCGTACCCAGGAAACGTCACCCCGTCCAGTCGAGCTAGATTGCTAATGATTAAATCAGATATTGCTATCATGAGTACGACTCCCCGTCCGACGACTTCATGTCGAAAATGAGCGCCTAACAATCTGCACGCAGAAAACTCATGATTGCCGGAAACTGCCGAATGTGCCTGGTCGAGGTAGAAAAAGCCCCGAAGCCTGTGGCCTCATGTGCCTGGCCAGTGCAACCCGGCATGGTTGTCAAGACCAACTCGCCCATTACCCACAAGGCCCGTGAGGGTGTAATGGAATTTTTGCTCGCCAACCACCCGCTCGACTGCCCCATTTGCGACCAGGGAGGCGAGTGCGACCTTCAGGACCAGTCCATGCGATACGGAGCCGACCGCGGCCGATTCCACGAGATTGGCGGCAAGCGTGCCGTCGAAGACAAGAATATTGGTCCGCTAATCAAAACCTCAATGAACCGATGCATCCACTGCACCCGATGCGTTCGATTTGCCAACGATATCGCCGGAGCTCCTGAGCTCGGCTCTACCGGCCGCGGCAATGACCTGCAGATTGGTACCTACCTCGAGAAGAGCCTAGACTCTGAACTTTCTGGAAACGTCATCGACCTCTGCCCTGTTGGTGCTCTGACTTCTAAACCCTACGCCTTCCGTGCCCGACCTTGGGAACTGAAGCATACCGAGTCTATTGATGTCCTCGACGGCCTTGGTTCCAACATCCGTGTCGACTCTCGGGGTCTTGAGGTCATGCGTATTACTCCACGCCTCAACGATGATGTGAACGAAGAGTGGATCAATGACAAGACCCGATTTGCCTGCGATGGCCTCAAGACCCAGCGACTGACCATGCCTTTGATCCGTCACGAGGGCAAATTTGAGCCTGCAGACTGGGAGGAAGCCCTTTCCGAGGTCGCCAACGCCTGGTCGACCAAGAAGCCTCAGGGCAACGAATTCAAGATCATCTCTGGTGCTTTGACCGATGTTGAGTCTTTGGTAGTCGCCAAGGACATGGCCAACAAGCTTGGATCCGATAATCTCGCTCTCGACACTCCCACCGGTAGCCAACCTATCGCTCACGGTGTCGACGTTCGATCTAGCTATCTGTTCAACTCACGGATCTGGGGTATTGAGGAGGCTGACTGCATACTGATTGTTGGCAGTAACCCACGGCACGAAGCCGCCGTCCTCAACGCTCGCATTCGCAAGCAGTGGCTGCGATCCGACCTTGAGATTGGTGTCGTTGGTGAGGCTTGGGACTCTACCTTTGAGTTCGAGCATCTCGGTACAGACCATGTCGCCCTGAAAAAGGCCCTCGCTGGTCCCTTCGGCAAGAAGTTGCAGGCCGCCAAGAGGCCCATGATCATTGTGGGCTCTGGTGTTACTGACCACGCTGATGCCAAGGCCTTCTACGAGACCGTCGGTGCCTTTGTCGAGAAGAACGCCGCAAACTTTATCACTCCTGAATGGGACGGCTACAATGTACTGCAGAGAGAAGCTTCAAGAGCTGGCGCCTTCGAAGTTGGCTTCACGACGCCCTCAACCGAGGTCGCTCAGACCAAGCCCAAGTTTGTCTGGTTGCTGGGCGCGGATGAATTCAACGAGGCCGACATCCCCCAGGATGCCTTTGTCGTCTATCAGGGCCACCACGGTGACCGTGGCGCTCAGATTGCCGATATAATCCTGCCGGGTGCTGCCTACACAGAAAAGGCCGGCACTTATATCAACACTGAGGGCCGTGTTCAGACCACGCGCGCTGCCACCTCACTACCAGGTGCATCCCGAACTGACTGGAAGATTCTCCGTGCTGCCAGTGAGTTCCTGGGCGTCCCTCTACCTTACGACGACCTCGCCGCTGTCCGTGACCGCATGGTTGAGATCTCTCCCGCTCTGGCCGCTTACGACATTGTCGAGCCCGTCGCACTTCGACAGCTCAGCAAGGTTCAGTTGGTGGATCAGAACAAGGGGTCAAAGGCTACCGGAGGGCCTTTGAAGAAGGTCATTGACAACTTTTATTTCACAGACGTCATCTCTAGAAGGTATAGTTCATCTCAAACGATGTACTGGCAAGGTCTAATTGCTAAACTCCCCCTTTTCAGTTCACCGACCATGGCACGCTGCTCAGCGGCCAAGGCCACGGGTGATCCTAGAACAAACTTTATGGCACCCGGGATGGAGGAAGATAAGCCCATGGGCCAGATTGCTTACGGAGTATAAGAAAGACTCTGTCGGCTGTACCAAATTTTAAGAAGAGAGATTCCATTTGTCAGCTTCGGTCATGGTTGTCCCTTGTATATATATACGGCGGCGGGCTAGAAGAAAGAGTGACGAGCAGCTGGGGGTAATTATTTACCATATTAACAGCACCTTGTATGCTACTTGTGTGTGTTTTCATGACGTCATACCGGCCGTCTCAAAAAGGCCCGCGTCTCTCGCCTCCTTGCCTTTCTTGACGCTCCTCGACAATGAACCCACGCTGTACGGATTACTTTTCCTTGCGGAGCTCCTCGGCAACTTGCTCCTGCTGACGTTGCTCGCCGCCGTCACGCTCTTCCCGCATCTCCCTCTCCAGCGCCTCCTCATACCGCGCCCTCTGGCGCGCGACGTGCTCCCGGAACCCCTTGAGGTCGGCCATGGTCCTCGCCACCGTCCGCAGCACCTCCCTGTCCCTCCACTCGCGGGGACTCGAAACAAGCCAGTCGGAAAAGTCGGGCGTCTGCGACAGCGGCCGGTCCGCGCCGGCCTCCGCGCCGGCCTGCATGTTTGCCAGCATGGCCGCCTTGTCCGCGGCGCTGACGGCCCTGCTCGGCCGCGGCTGCTGCGGCTGTCCGGCAAGCCGGGACTCTTGTATCTCTGCGTCGCGTGCGATCCGGCGGCACTCCTGCCTCGTCAGGGCGAGGATGTTGGCCCGCACGCGGGCGGCGTGTGTCTCCAGGGCGGCGACGGTCTCGCGGATCTGGGCCTCGCGCGTGGCCGGCGGCGTGTACGCGAAGAAGGAGGCGGGCACGGGGACGAAGACTGCCGGGAGGAGGGTGGTGAGCGGCGGGATGTCGTTTTCGGGGGGGCACGCCGCGGCTGATGAAGGGGGTGTTTGTGGGTTTGGGGCCATTTTCGAGCCCTGCCTCGTCTCCGGCTGGAATGCAGTTTCGAGGATGGGACAAGTTGCAAAGGCGGACAGGTGGACAGGTGAGACGAGAGACGAGAGACGAGACGAGCAAGGGGCACGTTCTGGGAAAGGAGAGGGAGACGGGTCGACGGCCGCCGGCAGGTGCTGCGACGGCTGCGAAGCCTTTCGTTGACCGGTCACGGAAGCACCGTCCGAGCAGCTGGACGGGCACGGCTTATCGTCTGAGCTTGGAAGGGTGTTGTGCTGTGGCGGCACGCGCCATGTTGCTTCTATTTGGATTATATACGGCCTCGACGACGGCCCACGCCGGAGTCATCTCCTGGTACGTACAGCTGAGCTGGAGAGACAGATGTCCCTCATGGGCTGTCTATGTAGGTTCCACGTCACGTCTTACCAATGACAGGCTCCTGGGGGCTGAGTGCTAGATAGAAGCCAGCCCAGTGTTGCTGCAGTGCTAGCTGAGCCTTTCAAAGGTGTTGCAGTGTTCCTGCACGCCGTGCGTTTTCTGCTCTAGCCGGAAGATGGACAGAAGCGTGCCTGGCGTCGATGCCACCTCCAGGGCGTGCGGTCAGGAACCTGACCAGCCGAAATGGTTGCGTATCTGCGCCCTGGGACGCGGAGTCGGTTAGGCAGAACGCGTGCCGTATGCAGCCTGGTCCGTCCCTTCATGCCATACCATCGCTCCAGGCGACGTGAATGCCAAGTCTCAGATAGGCTGGGTTTTCGCACCCCTCATTGTCGTCGGCACACGCTGCGTTGATTCACCGCGACGGTACGACGTTTCGAGCGTATTCTCGCACAATCCTCAGTGCCGACCGGACCAAGTCTTCCAGACGCCTGTCCCCGCGTTTCCGCATCCATATCAAGACAATGGCGAGGATGGCGCAATCCACCAGCAAGTGCTTGAGGAACACCCAGAGCAGCCAGCCAAACCAAGCGGGGAAGCTTCGCTCCTTCTTTGATCGCCACTCCCTGCCAGTGGTAATCTGTTCTCGCAAAGCGGCGACCTCTGCTGACAGCTTGGTCACGGCGCGCTCGACCTTTTTCTGCCACCTCGACGACTTCTGGGCTTGGTTCTCTGCGTCTCGGCCTTCCTCCACGGCATCGTCCAGGTCCATCATGCGTTGAGACCGTAATTCGGCCTCGTCTTGCTCGCTCATGGGGCTCAATATTTTCATGGGTCCGTCGCTGCCACTGAGGGGTTCTTGGAACGTGCGAGGCGCCTTGTTGGCGGACACGGGCGCCTTCGGGGACGAGTCTGTCGAGCTCGGCGAGTTGTGCTTGATTTGATTCCAAACAAACTCTAGCTCGGTGACGAGCTCGATGGCGTCGCTGCGATATACAGTGTCAGTGAGGCAACCTTGCCGGCAGCCGTGAGCTTTTGATGCACGAAAACGTACCTCGTGTTGGCATATCGGTACATGGTGTCGATAAGCGCTTCCACATATCTCCGTTTGGCTTCCGTTCGGCTCAGGCCCTTTTGCGAGTTCCAGGCATCCCACTTGTCTCTCTCCCTGCGAAGCTCTTCAGCTGTGAGGAACGGCCCGGCGGTGGGTTGCTCCATGACGCCGTCAACGTCACCCTCCATGGCTTGCTTGTAGAGTCCATAGAGGCGGAGACGGTCGGACGGCGGCGGCCGTGATGCGCCAGTCTTGGGTATCTTCTTGACCGTGTTGAGGGCATGGACGAATACACGGTCTGATGCGGTTAGCGGCCTGGTCGGGCCAAGATGTGCGCGGTGGTTGATGGTTGATGGGCAGCAAGTCGACGTACCTACCGAGTCACCCATGGTGGCACGGATGAGCGCGGGCACGGCGTCTGCCACACCTAGGTGTCTTTGCTGTATGCCTGGTTTTGCGTGTCTCGGTTTACTTAGGCGGTTGCGTGGTCTGGACGGCTCGTCAATGTGACGGTTGGATATGCCATTCGGCTGCTGTCGACGCGCAAATGAACCGGCACAGGGGGAAGAAGGATGAGGTAATCGGGCGGGCGGAACAGCAAGGCCCTGCGCGCTGCAAAGGACGATGTGTCTGGTACTGTCGCGTGTGTAATCGAGACGGAATGCGAGGAGAAGGGTGCGCTGCTCGATTTGCGTCTGTCGCGGTGATGGTGGTGGTGATGGTGGTGATGGTGATGATGATGGCGGTCACTCGATTGATTGATTGATTGATTGATTGATTGATGACGGTCAGCCGAGGCCCCTGGAGCCACCACTCCTGATTGGTCCTAGTTCGGGATGTGGCGATGCCTCATTGGTCCGTTTACAGGATTTCTGTTCAGGAGAAGCGGCCTGTGTCCGGCTCGCATCACAGCGCGGAGGAACAAAGTCTGGGGGGAAAAAAAAGGGAGAGAGAGAGACATTAAGTGGAAGAGCTACAGTACAGGGGAATGGATATTGATGGTGACACCAGCCTAGTAGGATCGCATCGGTCCGTCGGTGATAAAAGACATGTGAACGGGGCTGGGGGTTAGGGTTATACGCAAAACATATACATGGGGTGGCGTTTGCTTGCTTGCGCTCAATCATCAAAGAGAAGAGCGGCTACAGGCAACCGGCGGTCCCACACCGACGCCCCAATGCCCCCGATGATAGATGGGAGTTGGTTTGTATTGTTTGTGACTCTATGATGCCATGAACACTCCGAGTGGTGCTGTTGAAGCGAGATTTGTTATGCTTGCTGTAGACAAGCCAGCCCGTATTCATCGTAGCAGGCAACCATCTGGCAAATTGTGTCGTGGGAATAACGGGAAGGGACTTTTTAAAATTCGGACGGGGAGAAAAAAGGCATGGATAGTGGTTTCTTTTCGGCACGCTGAGTGTCTCGCACCGTATGCTCTTTCGTATGATACTCCCCTATTTGCGATTGTACAAATGACTAGTAGCAGCATGGGTATCGTGACAAGCAAATTCTACATACATCAGAGACATCGTCCCAAGATCAAGACGTCGTGTTAGCTTCTTCGGCGGCCGCGGTAGCCTCCATCAAGGCAGCCTTCTTTGCCGCGTACTTCTTGATGAGCTTTTTATTTGTCAGCGCGTTTTGCGCGGCCTTTTGCGCCGCCTCTTTTTTGCCCAGAGCCGTTCCGGTGGCGAGGAGCTTGTTGCTTTCGCCCCATCCATCCAGATACACGCCGACCGTGAAGAGAGGCAAGCCAAGGTCCCTATCTTTGCCGACCCTGGGCATGTCCTCGTACCGAATAAGAATGCCTTTAACCCCAATCTCTGACCGCAGCCTCTCTTTGGCGGTGAGATTGCTGCTGGTGGCCATGTCCTTGGTGCCGTCCTGCGCGGCGGTGGAGCTGGCATGACTGCCCAGCTTGCGATTTTTGTCATTGTCCAAGATATGCTGCTTGATGGTCCTGGCCCAAAGCGACTTGAGCCAGGATGACGTGTTGGCCATGCCGTTTTCAGGATCGGAAATGATAGCGGCGGCGACATATGCCTCAAACATGTCGGCTTGTACCTTGATGATGTCCTTGTCACTTGACTTTCCTCGACCGTGTGAAATATCCCTCTTCAGGTCGCCTGGTATCTGAGCCTTGGCGTCTAAACCGTACTCGCGAAAGTACTCCGCCAGAGTTTTGTTTCGAATCAACATTTCTCTTAGCTGCGAACATCTGCCAGACGGAGTGGAGGTGAATGTCTGATAGATCAAACTGGAGGCCATCAATTCCAGGTAGGCGTCACCCAACCATTCGAGACGTTCATAGCTGTGCAGGGGATCGCTTATACCGGGATGACGAAAAACAGTCGCTTCAAGAGCCCGATCGAAAATCTTGGGAATAGAAGGGAGATTTGAAGGTATCTCTGAAGAAACCCAGGGCGTTAAAGCAAACATGGTCGGGACGGGACCAGGTGCTGTGGTTTTTGGTGCTGCATTGTCATCGGTAGGAGGACTATATCTTGTTCTCTTGCTCTCTTGGCCGGCACTGTCTGACGCGGGTCTTTTATTCATGTTTTCCCAAAGCAAAAAAGTGGTGGTCGTGTTCTTTTGGAAGTTCATCGGGTCTGAAGCCAAACTGTGAGAGAGATATGAGGTGGCTCCACATGGAAATGCGTAGCCAATCAGTGGCCGTCAATCACGTGCGTTCTGCTTGACGTAGCGGCATGGTTATGTACACGGACGGAGTACGTATACGGGAATAAGCTGCTATTATACTCCGTGAGCATGTGTCTTTTCTTCTTTTTTGGCATTCACGCTTTTTCAGTATTGCTAGAACCCTCATTACTCACTTGCCCACATATCTGCAACATAACAGTGAATCGATTCCATCTCTGAAGGTGTCTGAAGGAAAGAAAGCCTTTGAACAAACTAAGTAATTAGTGGGTCGCAAAGACCAGGCAAAGCTCCCTGCCGACGTCTCTCACTTTTCAGACCAAAAAAGTTGCTTGATGGCATCAGCAACTACAAATATGCAACGATGAGTGTACCACGAGCCCGGATACTGGATTTAATGAAGGTTCGACAATGCTCGACCCATCTGCAATTACTTACCTATCTGACTTTCCTCAGGCACAATGCCAAATCTTCGCCACTACATACAACCCAGAAGGTATGCGCATGGGCACCAAGGTCCTGCGCCAGCGATTAAAAGGCCCAGCCCTCGCCGCCTACTATCCGAGGAAAGTTGCTACAATCAAGGACGTGAAACGCGAATTCGGACCAGTACTAGCAACGTGGGATGAGGCCGAAGAAGACCGTTTTGAATACATTGAAGAGTATGCTGAACAAACGACTCGGCCTCGGCGGCCGCAGTGAAAACGATTCTGACCCATTATGTCCAGGTTGAAGCAGCGTGGAAAGAGCGCGCCAAAGAAGAAACGCGGTGCTCCAGGTACGTACGGACTTTGGGTAACGGCTGGGCTCATGCTAACGTGTTGAGCAGCCGAGAAGCCAGGCAAGAAACGATAAAACGACCGGCTGGCGGTATCGCAGAGGAGTAACCGGGGATGGTGCAAGGGGGTGAAGAGAAGGGCTATCCTTCCGACTTGAACATCGTGTCAGCGAATACTGCGATATTCTTTAGACGGCTTGTGGAGTCCGCAAGTTTGTGTTTGGATGACTCCCTGGATGGGACGCGTACAAAACAACGGTACACAAGCGTGAAGAGGATTGGACCACCAGGCAATGCAACAAGAGATTCACTGCGTAGACTATGTTGGTGAGGGAAATGGATACCAAGGTACTTAGGTAGGTATGACGCTGACAGGCCAAAGATAGCATGTACAGCGCGAGAGATTTCGTTGCGGCATGATTGGGCCCTGAGTAAGTTAAGTAGGTATGTTTGAGCGACAAGATACGTACATTGAAGGCAATTGACACGAATCACGCTGTCGTCGCTCCTGTGTGCCGTTTGTTGGGCTCTATGACGCAGCGCAAGCGACTGGTGGGCGCGATTGCATTCAGTCTTCTTTCTGCTATAAGAGGTACCTACTTACTAAGTACTTACTTGAGTACCCAAGTAGAGTAAGTAAGTGCTCAAGTGAGTAGCTTGAGCTCCTCTTCACTGGCTCTTCTTGGAGCACCTGCCAGCATCGGTTTGCCAGGTGCCAGCAGCTGCGGCTCTTTCGAATGGTACTAGCTGGCCTGCCTGGCTCAGAGCTCCCTCGTCGGTCGTCGTCCTGCCCTTCTGCTTCTCTTCCACGCTTCTTCCGTCTCTCTCTCCCCAGCGACGACGCTCGCTAGCATCTCCTCTCCCGCCCTATATCTTGCCTTTTCCTCTTCTCATATGCGTACCGGAAATGACCCACGTCATCTCAACACTGCCCGGCACTTGCCATTTTATCTATCAGGTCGTTCTTTCACCGTCGCCTTCGATCTAAGCATATTCCTGCAGCCATCTTTCGTCACAGCATCTTCTTCCGTCTTCTCCCTCTCGTTCCTCATCTCTTCTGATTTCTTCGCACCACTGTCTTGGTTTTCCCACGTCACCTCTGTCTGCGATCTAACAGGTCTGTTTTTTTTTGAGTGAAATCTTCATAATCTTTATTGCCTGTGTCTTCCGAAAATAGGCACAGTCGGTTGTTATTTATTTCTTTTCGATACTTTCCGGCGTTGTGGCTGCACTACGTCTCCAATATGGCCTCTTCCGAATCTCGCGGTTCACCTCCTCAGCGAAGCGGCAGCATTCCAGTCATCACCTTCCAGGAAGAACCCATGAGAACATGTGGTGATCGACCGTCCCCTGTGAGCCAAACCGGTGTGAGTATCTTGTAACCCTTCTTGTTGTCTTCATCCTTGTGAGGCGTCTTCCTCCGAGCCTCGTCCTATTCACCCGAGTTTCCTTCACAGCTGTGGACACTTCTGATGTGGTCTGCAGGACAACACATCGTTCGCTACTGCTGGCCAGAAGAATATCACTGTGCTTGCCACGTCGAAGCTAGTTAACCAAGCCGTTCCCAAGGCAAGCTCATCATATTCCACTGTCATTATCTGCCAAATCACTGACGAGACAAAATATAGCAGTCGGCAATCGAAGGGTCCTCCAACATGAGCGAGGCTTATCCCATGGACAAGCTTTTGGCAAGACTGTCGGAACAGCAAGCCGTGCTCAGCCAGCAGAACGAGGCACTCAAATCCGGAGATGACGATGGAAACATGTGCCAGCGACTCCCTGGACACACATCCTCCAGCAATTCCCTCCCAATCACACCGGCCACGGAGGGTTTCTCGTCTACTGCACCAAGCACCCGCCCAGCCAGTGCTACTCTCGAGGAAGGTCGCGCCGACTCTGACGAAGTCCTTCGCTTAAAGCTTCAGTTGGCACAGGCGCAGAACAAAATATCCAAGTTGGATCAAGAATTGTCCATCCGCACAATCAAGGCTGAACCGGATCTGCAAGCGATCAACACAGCTCGAGGCATGGGCACAGCCGCTCGTGACAGTGCCTGGATGGCAATGGATGACGATCATTCAGATACCAGCGAAGCCATGTCTACCACTACCTTCGCTCGCACTAAGGGCATTTGGGGAACCACCAAAGGGTCATTTGCTGGTGGCGCTCTTCAAGGAGCCGCAGCTGAGCCACAGCCAGGAACCTGGCTGGGAGGACGAGGCTTCAACCAGAGCTTCACTGACACGAGTTCGTCCTATCCCACGATGGAAGGATATCGTGGGGATCGCCTTAGCCCCGATCCAGATCTTGTGATGCGCCAGTCCGTCACCAGGCGATCAAACCGGTACGATCATCGCGCCACCAACTCCCACCACTTCAGCAATATTGGTTACAGCCATTTGAATGGACCAATGGCTCAATTTGAAGCAATGGGAGGCCCGATGGGCTCTGCAAACATGCACCCGCCCCCTGGACTGGGTGCCATGGGCATGGGGGGTTATGCTGGGTATCAGCAACAGCCCGTCGGAACTCCGCTGTCTCCTCATGCGTCCGAATTTACATCCAAGACCCACTGGAAGAACGAAGTAAGTACAAAGCCATGTCCGTGCATTCTCTCACATCACCTGTTAATCCTGACCGAAGGGGCTTCCAACCGAGGGCCCAACCTATTTGCCCCCAACTGAACCTCTTAACTATCGTCGTCTTCTCGATCGTAATGTGACGTGCAATTGGAAATACATAGTCGATAAGATTGTGTGCAATAATGATCAGCAAGCCTCCATATTCTTACAGCAAAAGCTAAAAGTTGGCACACCGGACCAGAAATACGACATTGTTGAGGCCATTGTGGCCCAGGCTTATCCTCTGATGGTAAACAGATTTGGCAATTTCTTAGTTCAGAGATGCTTTGAGCACGGAACCCCTGAGCAGGTGATTAAGATTGCCCAGGCTATCCGTGGCAATACTCTCAACTTGTCCATGGACCCCTTTGGGTGTCATGTCGTTCAAAAGGCATTTGATTCGGTCCCCGAAGAGTACAAGGCAATCATGGTCCACGAGCTTCTCCGCCGCATCCCTGAAACAGTTATACATCGATATGCTTGTCATGTATGGCAGAAGCTCTTTGAGCTTCGATGGACTGAATCTCCACCTCAAATCATGAAATACGTTAATGAAGCTTTGCGCGGAATGTGGCACGAAGTAGCTCTGGGGGAAACTGGTAGCTTGGTTGTTCAAAATATCTTTGAGAATTGTTTGGAGGAAGACAAGGTCAGTGTCTTTGAGGAGCTCAACGAGGATCCCTCACAATCGTCTTGGCTAACTGTCTGGTAGCGTCCCTGCATCGAGGAAGTCCTTGCCAACATCGACATTGTTGCGCATGGGCAATTCGGAAACTGGTGCATCCAGCACATCTGCGAGCACGGCGCGCCACCGGACCGTGGTAGGGCTGTTGACCACGTCATTCGTTACGCTGCCGAGTATAGCACTGATCAATTTGCTTCCAAGGTGGTGGAGAAGTGCTTGAAGATTGGGAACAGTGAGTTCTTGGGTCGTTATCTGGACCGTGTCTGTGAAGGGCGCTTGGACCGGACTCGCATCCCGCTGATTGACATTGCGAGTGACCAGTATGGCAATTATCTTGTGCAATGGATTCTTAACAATGCTACACCTCAGCACCGCGAGATGGTGGCGGCCCACATTCGAAAGCATATGGTTTCTCTCCGGGGCTCCAAGTTTGGATCCCGAGTTGGCATGCTTTGCACCAATCACGCCGTCACTACGCGGCCCGGGCCTGGAGTTGGGCCTGGTATGGGTGGTCGTATGGGTCCTGGGCCACGATTTGCAGGGGCATATCGTTAGGCGAACCTTTGTGTGTGTGTAGTCGGATCTTGAAGTCATTATCGCCTTTGCATAATATAAGAATTTTGCTTTACAACCTTTGGCCTGGTGTGTCTGAGCTGCTGCAGCAGTGCAGTAGTGCGAATAATGGACGAAGCTTGAAGGATAACAAAGATGCTGGTGTTTCCCTGTAGGCACGTATTATACCCATGACAAGTGATTCTAAGTGGGATTCAAGGAAATTTGCCTCGACTTTGAACTCATGTCCATTGATGGGGGCCATTGAGACCACATGAACAAGAAAGCCGGGAGCAGTAACGCCCTATCAAGATGCAAATGAATGCTTGAACAGGAGATGGGAATAAAACAGAAGGAAATAAAGAAAAAGAAAGCGCGCAATAATGTGGAAGATTAAGATGCGACGGCATCAGCTGCCGAAGTTGCTTCGGCAGATTCGGTGTCGAGCTGGGGAAACTCTCTGTCAAGAGCTTTGGGAAGATTCACTTCTGTGGTAATATGCGTCGTGCCCCTTTCCCAAGGCTTCTTGGGAGCCGCTCGAGAACCAATGGGTTTCACCGACTGTGATGAATGATTAGACTGGTTTTCTGTACAGATAGGGAGCGCTAGATGGAGGAGGAGGAGAAGGAGAAGGAGAAGGAGAAGGAGAAGGAGAAGGAGAAAGCTAAGACTTACGGGATCCCTGACAACAGTATTGGGAATCTGCTTGATGCCGGGAATAGGTTTCCCCTCCTGCAAGAGCTTGAGCATCTCGGCAAAACCCATCGGGTAGCTCGGCTCATTTCCAGAAGCGTTCTCGGCTGCGGCCGTACGGTCCACGTACAGGTCGGCCCTGGGGGCAGCCTGTTGCCAGGGAAGCAGAGGTTCAGAGGGTGAGGCTGCTGGCGCGGAGCGGTATTCCTGTGGTAGAAGCTGGGGCGGTTTGTGGTCGGGGTGTCTGGACAGCCAGTCTTTGTACTTGGCGAAGTCGATATGGACGCCTATGCGCTGGGCGTAGTAGAAGATGCGGGCGTGGACGGCCATGTCGGGGGGGGAGCCGGATGTGTTTGGGGGCCCGAGGATGGCGGACAGACCGGACTGGCGGCGTTAGCTGGGGGAGCTGGGGGAGCTGGGGGGGAGGACGAGATCAGGACGCGTACGAGGAAGGTCGTGTCTTTTGTCCAGGGATAGGCGTCAAAGGCTTGATATATTGAGTCTTCGTTTTTGAGGGAGCGGATGCGGTCGGCCCCCGGGAGGGACGGCTCCGGCTGAGCCATTCTTTTTTTTTTCTTTTGGACTGTTGTTGATGATCCGGCAAGATTGGGCAGAGAGGGTATGGAATTGGGTCGGGGTCGGGTCGGGATGGGAACATGAGATGCGGGGGCGGCGGGATCTGATCTGATATGCGGAAGCGAGCTGCTTGCATGCGGCTCGGGACGCTTGGATTTGAGGGTGTCATTGCGCTGCGCGTGTAGCTCAGACAACACTCGGCGTGAGTACATTATTACTGTCATTATTTCTAGATACCATTGTGTTTGTCGAGATCATATTGTCGTCTGGATTGGTCGTGCTGCGGGCTGGGCTTGGACGACGCCAAATTCCAACGGCAGGTAGTTGAGATTTGGGGTTTGGAGCTGCGTATACTGTAAGTACTACGTAGTTACATAGATACTTTAGTGGAGAGTGCGGAGTACCTAAGTACCTACCTACCTACTTAAGGTACCTAGGTACCTACCTACTTAAGCAAGTATGCTGGCACGCTGCTCCGCCAATTCCGTGCCGGCATTCCCTGTGTACAGTGTACGTGAATGATCTCTCGTCAACTCCCGCCGCCACCTCCTGCGCCCCCATCTGCTCTGTCTGCCCTCTCTCATCATCCCCCATCAATCGATCCATCGAGGAGCCGTGCCTTCATCATTTTGTCGGCCAGCCACCGTCGCAGCCTGCACCGTTCGCACGACTGGGTGGTCTCGACATTCGATTCTCGCAGCCAGCTTGCGACACCGGACGTCTCTCCATCGCCCCATCTCCATCACCGCCGCCCCGATGCACCGGGCAGCCCTGAGAGCGTTCCGGACGACATTCACTTGCTCCAGTGCCGTCCGCAACCTCTCCCGTGCCTCACGAACATCCCGCCGAGCCCTCTTCGCCGCCAGCCAAGCCGCTCATCGCCAGCCCGCTGCTAATGAGCCTCTGAGATCCTCCATGTACTTCCGCCGCTTGCCCGCCGCCTTAATCTCCGGTATTGTCGTTGGATACGGCGCCTGGTACTCGTACAACTCGACAGGCAGCGTTCCCGGGAGCCCCTTCGTCGCGCGAAGCTTTACTTCCACCCAGGGCGCGAGCGATGCCCTGCCGACCAGGACTGTTCTCGTTGTCGGCGCAGACGAGCTCCGACAAGGCACCATTGTGGGGGAAGGGCCTATCCTAAAGCCCACGGTCGACGGCCGTCGGATTGTCGAGATGTTGACCCCGGAGCAGGCTACCGAGAAGTTGAGGGCGCTGGAGCAGTCATTCTCTGTGAGCAGGGGACGGGGTGTGACGAGGTACGATCTCGTCCAGTTGCCGAGTAATGATCCTATCGAGGACGACCATGCCGAGAAGATTGTCCAGGTTCCCAGCCGGTCTGCTGGTGTCGACGGAACGAGCAGCGACTGGATGTTCTGGGGTGTCTTTGACGGTCATTCGTGAGTCTGCCCATTAGCCTGTTAATCCTGCCCGGAATATATACCCAATTTTCATGGTCATTCTCACTATTGCTGTTATTGTTATTATTTTGTCCCCTTGATCCATGTACTGATGCTTCCCCAGCGGCTGGACAACGTCAGCAACTCTTCGCGAAAGTCTCATCAACTACGTCGCCCGCGAACTCAACGAGACGTACAAATCCTCCAAAAGCGGCCCCCCTACCAACGAAGCCATCGACTCGGCCATCAAAACGGGCTTCAACCGCCTCGACGACGAAATCGTCCACAAGAGCGTAGAAAAGGTCTTCAAGGCCAGCTCCAAGGCCGTGGCCGCCGAGCTCCTCCAGCCCGCCCTCTCGGGCTCCTGCGCCCTCCTCTCCTTCTACGACAGCCGCAGCAACCTCCTACGCGTAGCCTGCACCGGCGACTCGCGCGCCGTCCTTGGCCGCCGCTCAGAGTCCGGCAAATGGACCGCCACCGCACTCTCCGAGGACCAGACGGGTGGCAATCCCGGCGAGGCCGCACGCATCCGCAAGGAGCACCCCGGCGAGGACGGCGTCGTCCGCAACGGCCGCGTCCTCGGCGGCCTCGAGCCGACCCGGGCCTTTGGCGACGCCGTCTACAAGTGGTCCCGCGACGTGGCCGGCAAGCTGCGCACGTCCTTCTTCGGCCGCAGCCCCTCCGCCATGCTCAAAACGCCGCCCTACGTCACCGCCGAGCCCGTCGTCACCACCACCAAAGTCAGCCCCGAAAAGGGCGACTTCCTTGTCCTCGCCACCGACGGCCTCTGGGAGATGCTCACCAACGAAGAAGTCGTCGGCCTCGTGGGCCAATGGATAGAAAACCAGGCCGCCTCGTCATCCGGCCCGTCGTCACGGTCCCAGTTCGAAGCGGCGTGGTCCAAGATCTTTGGGTCGCAGAGCAAGCCGCTCCCCGTGGAGCAGTCCAAGACGGAAGGAAGCGACGGCCAGCGGGCGCCCATCCGTCTCCAGCAGTGGGGCATCAACCCCGACGCCAAAGACCGCTTCATCGTCAAGGACAAAAACGTGGCTACGCACCTGGTCAGGAATGCGTTGGGCGGCAACAACGACGAGCAGGTGAGGGCTCTGCTCACTCTTCCGTCTCCCTTTTCCAGAAGATACCGGTACGTTTCTCCTCCTCTCTCTCCGTGGCAAAACATTTCCATCACGCGCCATCAGTAGTACTAACTCAGCCAAGGGACGACTTGACAGTCCAGGTGATTTTCTTTGGAGACGGCCCCAAAACAGGCGAGGTTACGATAAATCTCGATGCTACTGCCGAGACAGCCAAGCCCCGGCCCAAGCTGTAATTGACTCGGGCAGCTTCTTTGCTTTTTGCATGACACAAGTGTTCACGGCTTGTCCGGCGCATGTGACGCGGGGTCAGCGTGTGTATTGCAGCGAATTAAAACAGAACTAGAGCGGAAGAGCTTTGTGATTTTTAGCTCTACGGATGGACTAGGACGCAGGTAAACCGAGGATCGGTCATCCTTGTAACAGTTTCCCAATAATGAAATTTCGAAAATCCTAGCCACTCGATTGAATTCATATTACGCCAAATTTCCTGGGTACCCCTTGTCCGACCTAAACGCCAGATATGGGCCCAGAACGTGACAGTGATGTATCAGGGCGGGGGAAGCCGCTGGCTCTGCGAGTTGGCGGACTAGACATCGTCCTCTGGCCAGAGCAGCTTGCTGTCCCTTGAACTGTGCAGTATTTTCACAAATACGCCTAGCCAAATTATGATGAGGATTATTGCCGCAATGGCACCGAATAGATGCAAGCCATTGCTTTTGAACTTGTCGCCCATGACCTCTGTGGCCACGACCTGTGCAACATGTGAGGCGGGTAATGCACAAGGATGGCTGACGCGTGAATTTCCACAGAGACCCGAAAGACACTAGGAGAAACCACATGGACAGTCCCCAGTGACTCCCCACAGCCAAAGGGCTACAAGTAGGGACGCACAATTAAATGTACTGATCGGGCATCGACGTACCAACACTGGTAGCGGTGAGTCCAAACGGTCCAATGAATATAAACTGAGCAGTTAGCGTACGTCTTTGATGACCCGAGTTGTTGACCTATACCTCCTGACCGTTGCATGTTTTGTGGTAGCTTCTGGGTCATGAGACAAGGCCGCAGAGATCATAAAAGCAATCACACACCTTGTTCCTTGTGTTGTTGTTTCGCAAAGGGCAACAGCGGCGATCTCTATAAACGGGTGGTGTCCCGACGTTTCCCCTGCAGCAATGAGGTTTGCGCCGAAAGGGCCGGTCGAAAGAAGCGGATACACAGGAAACACCCATGCAGGCGTCATGGCGTGAACGGAAGGTTCCCTGTCTTCGTATTAGAAACTATCGTTCTATGTGCTGACGTTGGAATCGTACAAGGTTGTCCACAGGATGAGGTACAGACTAGTGCTGGCTACCGCACCGAAGCCAGTGTAGATTCAAACAAGACGTCCATAGCTCGCAGTAGCCAAGCTCCACAATGGAGAACGCCGAATTGGCATATATTTATGAAAATTATGGCGGCTATGCTCTCGTAAGTTCGAGCCAAGCTACGGAGGTCGGGCAAGCTCACGAGACAAACTTTCGTGTGTCAGTGTGGCTTTGATACTGAGGGATATAGAAGTTGAAAGTCCAAGCATACAATCGCCGTTCGACTTGGTCGGTGGACGAGCAGCTTCCAGTGCGCATATAGACACGTAAAGAGATGAAAATATAATTCAAAAGGAAAAGAAGGATATTCTGGGCACAAACGAGACGCCGACAACGACGACCCAGTCCGCTTGATGGTATGCTGTGGCCAGCTTAGCGCTTGTTTCATTCTGGGGCCTCCTCCTGGAATTTCTCACCATAATGAAGTACATTGGCTATGCCAACCGCAGCCATTGTCTACAGGCGTGATTAGCGAGACGACAGATGTGGGTGTTTCCTTATATCATACCATTGCAAAGTAGGTCCATTGATAGCATGCTATCCGGTTTTGAGAGATACTTTACCACGTGGATGGAACGCATCTCCCAAAGCTGAATGGGTGTGAGACAACCGACTGGGCCGTCGGCGCCGAACACGTTGTTGGAGCCACCGACTGGGGCTGGGGCTGTCCAAGGCGAATTACACAGGCCAAGCTGGCCCCCATCATCGGGGGTCTCGTGCCCGCACCCATGGGAGTTGCCGGGCGTATTGGTATCGCTCACCACTTGGGCGTGGTTGGAGGCCATGTTGGCGGATCCAGATCCTCGGGTCTTCGAGCCAAAAGCTTGGAGATGAAATAGAAGATGACAAGGAGGCTCGGCTCGGCATGGGAGAAGGCGAGGTTAATATAAACCAGGTGTGTGAGAAAGACGATATGGTGCAAGACAATGGAGCCGACATTGGCCAAGGGCATGGTGCCTGGTTTTGAGGCGGGCACGAAAAGGCCCTGACGATGCCCGTGTCCTGTTTTTTATCATGGACTGGGCCAATTCATGGGCTACACTTTTCACGCCCCAGACCAAAGGGCAGTCGAATCCGTAGATGGATGGCTATCTGGATGGGAAGTCCCAAGATGTACACGGCAGCCGGCAAGCAAACTGGTGTTGCCTGGCGGTAGGTCGGTCGCTTCGAGAGGTGTTGGAAATGTATCAATGTACCGCTCGTGGTGGAGCAACAGTTTGCCGGTGCGAGTCGCAAGACGAATCAGCTGGAGAATTGCTCAAGATGCAGAGAATGGCCTAGTCATTTCGTGACTGAGCTAGCCGGCTTGTTGATTGAGGATGTGACGGTCGGATGTGGGCTCGGTTTATTGGCCAAGGAAGACGGTGGGATATGGGGGACAAGGTTGAATCAAGTCTTGGCTTCCCGAAGCATCAATGGGGATGTATGCATATCAAGGTAGAATAGTCACGAGGAGAAGAGGCGTGCTCCGCAGGTCCAAATGTGATGTGTGATGGTGGATTCGTCAATTTGTTGGTGTGAACTGTGCACCGAGCCCCAGGCAGGTCGCGGCTTGACAATGGCCAGTACTACCGTACCGACTACCTGCCCGGTGCCCAAGTACTTCAGTGCTTGAAGGTATAGCTACTTCAAGGTAAGCCAAGTACTCCGTACGTACTTCCAGCCTCGTCAGCTATTAGTTAGTTACAAGACAGCTGATCAGACTTTTGACCAGCTCATGACAATTTCTGGCCTGTCTTGCGATAGTTCTGCTGTCCTCAGAAACAGGGACCGCGCGCGTGCCTAGGTACCAGGTAAGTAGGTAGGTTAGGTACCTACGTAGCAGGTAGCTAAGAAGTTCTTGGGCAGTACGGAGAATCCAGCAGTCACATGGACTTCATCGTTGTAAATAACAAACAAGATGCTACCTGCACCACCACCAATCGTCAATGCTCAACAGACACACAGCCATGCGATAACATGCTTCCTGCAAATGCCAATCGGTCCAGCTCATTAACCATTGTCCTGTCTATTTTTTTGTACAAGAATACAATCCACACATGCACCAAATCGCTTCTCGGATTCCATGGTTGTCCGCTTTCGCGTGGCACGTGACGGTCACATCCCACGTGTCTCGGCCTGTCCAATGTCAATGTTCGCTTGCCAGCAAACAACTTCCACCCCAAGCCATCACTGAGAGTCCGTGACGGTGACGGCATGCGCGCAGAGTCGTGCGACGGGCCTTGTCTCCCACCATTGCACCCTCGGCTTAAACGGGTCACCGCCTCACAATCTCGATTGCGACCGCCGACAACTGAGTCGCTCGGCGCCCTCGTCTCGTCTGGTCTCGTCTCGTCTCGTCACGTCACGTCGAGCAGAGCAGAGAGCTCCTGTTGCAACAAACATCACACGGCCACGGCCAAACGTTACTTACAATGACCTTCACAAACGCCCCCGTCACCAGACTGCTGGTCCTCGGACTCGTCGCCACCTCCATCGGCGCCAGCATGCTCGACGTCAAGCACTACTTCTACATCTCCATCGACACACACTTGTGGAAGTATAGACAATTTTGGAGGTTGCTCGCCTATCAACTGTGCTATACCAACTCGACCGAGGTGCTGTTTGCAGCCATGTCGCTGTATAACCTACGAGTCGTTGAGCGCATGTGGGGGTCGAGGAAATACGCCGTGAGTAGTTATACGTAGCGCCAGTCACCAAAAGCACCATGTCGTTGCATCAAGTCTAGTCTAACAGCGTCATCAGTCATTCGTCGTCGTCTGTTCCCTCTTCACCGCCATCATTCCTCCCCTCCTCATGGGCGTCTTGCGGCCACTTTCAGCAGGCTTCTTCAACTACATGCCTGCCGGCCCAACCCCAATCGTCTTTGCCCTACTGGCCCAGTACCACTCCATGGTTCCCCATGTGTACAAATACCGAGTGGCAACGTCACAAAACATCCAATCGAGCGACTCGTCTGGTCTTACCTTGTCTGACAAATCGTACCAGTACGCTATTGCTCTTCATTTGTCCTTGCTAGAATGGCCCGGCTCGGTGCTCGGTGCCTTTGTTGGCTGGGCGGTGGGAAACGCTTGGCGGGGAGGCCTGATACCTGCCTCCCTGGTGACGTGGCGACTGCCAGGGTGGATGGTGGGACTTCGCTCTCACAGACGTGGTGCCGAGTTTGAGGGTTTGCGCCGACGTCTGGAAGGAGAAAACGGCTCGGCCACTGGCGTGTCTTCTAGTCTTCCGGCCTCTGACGGCCAGCACGCAGAACGAAGACGAACCATGGGGCAGCAGATTGTAGACCAGTTTCGGGAGGCTTTATAGAATAGAATGCGACGATGATGACATGTAGATCGAATTTCGTGTTTTACTGCAAAAGTTGGCAAGCCACTTTGCATCCTCAATCAAACATAACTCTGCCATGGGCCACGCATCTTACTCGAGCGCCATTCCCTCGTAACAGCAAGCCACGCCCGGCAATGGACCCTTTGAGCAGACACAGGCTGATTCCACAATGATGCTCGTGGCATTTTATCAACGCGTCAGTAGACGACTGCAAGGCGGCAATGCGCAAAACACTTCAGCCGGTACTCCGCGTGGCTGGGCACAAATCAGTCACCTAGCAATTGTGGCTGCCGGACCATTGGACAAACATAAAATGTACGGAGTACGGGTATGAAGTAACGTTGCTTGGAGCAGTAATTACGCGGCTGTAGATTCGGGATTCTGGGAAAACAACAGGGAATTTTTTCACGCTCCAAAGCAGACTTCTGTGCCAAATCGAGCATCGATGCCGAGAGTCATTGAATCTTGCTGATGACGCGACGGAGCGACGTTGCAACGGACAGAGACGTGTAGCATTACAGGCGTTTGAGCCCGGCATTTGTCCACGGCGTCACCAAGCTTATCTTCCGTGCCTTGGCAAGGCAAACAGCATGGCGGCAAAAAACACAGGACCAGGCTGGGGAGCGGGAGAGCGTGGCCCGAATTGTAAATGACTGGATGCGGCGCAGAGTAAGCGACAGGGGAGAATTTGCGCATTCCTTTGCACAGCTGGTTGATGGCCAGAGAGGGGAATGTGCTCGTCTCGGGTAGAAACACCGTCGATTGACCTTTTTTTTTGGTTTGCCCACCGGGTCAAGGTCTTGGGCCGGCGAGACGCAGGGTTCATTCTCTCCATATCGTAGCGAGAGGCGTCTGAGAGAGAAGGCCATCAGTGTCTCGAATAGCTTGGTTGTCGAGGGTCTGGAGTCTGGACATGGAGGGGAGTGAAAATGTAGATCTGGAAAAGGAAAGCAGCAACTGGCATGGTCGGCTGGGCTGCTTACGTCAATTGGCCCGTCTGGTCAGCCCGTCATCAGCCATCATCAGCTGCTGTGCTGTTTCCGGCCGGCCCCTGCAGGTCCCCAGGTCCCCAGGTCTCCGTCCCCAGGGCCCCCTCTTCCAGCCGCACGCCCGCCTATCGTGTGGCTCCTGGCCCAATCTGGACACCACCTTTTTGCTTCGCTTTTGACACCCTCCTTTTCCAAATGCCAACCCCAACTTCCCCGAGGCTCGAGTCCAACCTCCCAGCCCCGAATCATCGTGCCACGGCCCTTTCCTGCCATCCTGCGCTTCTCTCCTTGCTTACCTGTACGTACCATCACCACCTTTGTCGGCCCTTTAATTTGTTTTTTTTTTCTTTAAAAAATTCAACTCTTTCGGTTCCCCTTCTCTCCCTGTCTCTCTCTCTGGATCATCCTGCACCTGTGCTTAGTTAGACCTTGCATTGCTGCTGACAAGGAAGGTATTTAGCGTCTTGCCTCCCATCTCTGTGCCTCGACCTGTCTCTGGTTTTCCCATAACACAGCTACGGAGTACCGCGACTTGCTATCAACAGAACACACCAGAGCTCTTCCCCTGTCTACCTCGCAGCAACCGAAAAACATCGAACTCCATGGCGATTTAGCGCGGCTTCTCTTGTTCCCGCAACCCGACCTCCTCTCATCTTTTCTTTGTCCTCCTCTCCCAATGTGCTCATGAATCAATTATCCGCGGACTGGTGTATTAAAACAAACCGGTTGATACTATGAACGGCTACTACCCGACGGGTAGAACCCCATATGACTACGGTGCCGCAAGCCTGTCATCACAGAATTCGAATCCTGCCAACAAACCCCAAGCATATGCACAGGATGGCAATCCGACTGAATTCGCGCAGGTTGTGCCGCAGTACAAAGTAAGAAGTCGGGAGAGGGCCCGAGACTTGTGCCCGTATCCATGACTTCCCTGGGGAAACACTCGTGAGGACATGGTGCTAACGCACTGTAGGCACCGGACCCGAATTCAACACCGCGGTCAGCACGCGTCGACTTGAAAGATCCAATCCAAGTCCACTTGCTCACCGAGACGGCTCTTTCGGATAGCAGGGGATACGAGATCTTGTCACAGGAAGAAGTGGACGAACTGAAAAAGCAAGCTGCGCTCCTCGCCCAGCGTGTAGAGACCACGAGATCCAACCTCGCCATACAATCCAAATATCGAGATGCCACGGCGTCCATGGCTCGACTCAACGCCCTCAGTCAAAATGACGAGCCGCACAACCGAGAAGCTGAACGCGAGAGAATTGAGAATGAGCGCAAGTGCGACGAGCTAGCTGCGGAATTGCTCAATCTGGAAAAGCGACTGTTGATTCCCCATCGGAAAATCGTCGAGCATACCGCTGCCATCCTCCAACTAACTCACAAGGCCAGCAGAAAAAAGAATGCACCTCAAAATGGACAGCCTTTGAACGGTATCCCCGGAAGCCCCGAAAGCCTATATACCTACTCGCACGGCAGAAATAGTCTCGATCAGGCTGGCGATGACACATACTTCGATGACCCGAGCGCTTACCATCTCGATGGAGTTGATCGACCAAGAAAGAATGCTATTGAGATTCCTCTCAAGTCTCCAGTTCGTGAGCAGAATCAGCTTAGGGTGGAACTGGATCGTATGCGCGAGGAGAATTCATACTTACGGTCTCAAACTGATGGCCTGTTGAAACGGCTTCGAAGGCTCAATGTGTCCATGCGAGACACCATTGTCCGATTTAATCCAGAGATCAACCAAGGATATGATGAGCCGCCTCAGGTATCTACAACCCCAGACTTCAAAATCGCAGACTTGCTCAATGCTCAGCTTGAGTATCTCGAGAGTGGTCTAGTTGCCGTTCAGGCCGAGCAAGACACATTCGCGGGTGGAATTGGAATGGGAGAGCGTCTCGAGGCCATGAATCTTCAGTTACGAGATCTCCTTATGACGTCTGATCCTCATTACACGCCAACACAGCTACCACTCGACTCGGATGTCAACGGTCAAATGTCATACCTGGAAGATTCAATTCGATCTGTCGACTCCCACGTCGCACGCGCCAACTCTCCATCCAAGGCACACGATGATGCCGGCCCCATGTTAGCTAATTTGTGGGTTTCGATGCAGACGGGCTTCGCGGAAGCCAAAGAACGCATGGATGACCGCAAGAGAAGCCAGATCGAGAAAGGCATCACAGAGGACGATATGTCTGATGATGAAGACTTTGACACTGTGGAGTCGTATTCTTTGGGGTCGTTCGTTGACAGGGTGCAGCGCATCCATGCGCAAGCCATTACTCTGAGAGACCAGAAGTATGTCCTCAAGCGACAGATTAGGCAGCAGCGGGAGCTCAACAAGTCGGACGGCGAAAAAGACAAGGAGCTGGAGCGCAAACAGAGGGATCTCGAGGAAGCCAGACAGCAGTTCAACGTCGCTGAAAAGAGCCGCAAGGACGCTGAAGAAAAGCTCTCCACCATGATGTCCGACTTTGAGAAGGCCAGGGAGGCCGCAGACCGCTCTGAAGCTGTCACGCTAGAACTTGAAGCGTGCAAGGCTCAAATCACCCAACTCGAGCAGGGCCTCGAGGCTACTCAAACCAGCTTAGCAGCTGCAGAGTCCGGAAACCAAGGGTCCGAAAGCAAACTCGCCACAGTCAATGCTCAGATCGAAGAGCTTACCCAAGGAAAGATTGCGGCAGAGACAGCCGTCCAAAGCCTGCGGGTTGAACTGTCGGCCAAGAAACAGGAAATTAGTGACACAAAAAGAAAGGTGGACGACCTGGAATCAGAAATGGTTGATCTGAAACTCGATTTAACTGTTGCCAAAGCCGAACTAGACGGTGCTTATGGGTCCCGTGCAGAGCGTGCAGCGGATGTCGCAGCCTTGAGGGAGGACGGCAAGATGGACAAACTCAAGGAGGAGATCAAGAGGCTTCAAGGAGACATCGACGAACTCAGAAGAAAGGACCAAGAACTCAGGAAGGAGCTTCAGGGCATGACAGACGAGTGTCAGAGGATCACCAGCGAATCTGTTGGATTAACAGGCGAGTTGGACGACGCTCTAAGAGTCAAGGACAAGCTCAAAGAGGAGCTGCATAATATGCAAGAGAAGATGGCAAAACTACAGGAGGACCTGGACAACGAGCGACTCAGGACTCCAAGCGATGGGTCCAGGCCAGGAGCTGGCGCATCAGTGCTGAGCGAGCGGTTCCGGGCGACGATGAGGGAAGAACGAAAGAGGTTCCAGGATGACCTAAAGGTGCGTACAAACCACACTCGTAGTCGGCAGGGGGGGGGGGTGTTCGCATACTAACAGTTGTACAGGAGGAACGCCTCAAGTACCGCAAGTTGGAAGAAGAGCTCAGCAAACTAAAGCGCAATTTGGGGCCTGGCAAGAGTTCTCTTACTCCACGCTAGAACAGGTCACAGTGCATAGCCCGACTCTACAGCTTCTACCATGTCATTCACCCCTTGTTTTGTATATTTTCTTTGCGCCACCATTATTGACATTGGATTTGATCTTGTGGGCTTTTTGCATATTGGGCCATTGACGTTGTTTCAAAATGTCGCTCTTGGATATAAAAGAAACAGAAGCAGACAAGGAGCATGGATATTTTGCAGTGTTTGTCCACAATCTTGTGTCTGGATTCATACATTTCTCTTTGTACGCATGTCAAGGCACTAGAGCCTGCTTTCACTTCCCTCTTTTTGTTTCTTTTTTCCTTTTTTTTTTTTTATGCCTGTGTCGGAAACATAGATAAAGGACATTTGGGTTGTTAGATTATTTTCATTCCCTAGTCTGGGTCACGTATAAAGTTATGACGAGAAGAAGAGAAAAATGAAGAGGAGGGCCGCGACTGGGAAAACAGGGGGCAGGTGTCGTTGCCTTGGGTGTCTTTTCTTTTCATGTCTTTGGCTTTTTTTCTTTCTTTCTTTCTTTCTTCTTAGATATATATTCGGAGGCTAGAGAGGTTGCAGTAGGAATAGATGCGTTGACAGTGCTGCATAGTCCGTCCCATCCTTTTGTGTGGCCTGCATGGTTTGGTCCTTTGTTGGACGGCATTGTGAGTTGAGTTAATGGACTGATCTTGTGCGGCATTTGTCCGTCTGGGCGGAATATTTTGGATACCACTGGGTTTGCCACTGCGGCGAGTCATGTCCCGCGAAGCTTGACGGCAAAGTGTCTTGATATTGCATCTTGTCATGCGTCATGTAGTCAACCCAACGGGACCTCCGCTTGGGGATTCTAGTTACAGGGCGTCTCTGTCGTAAAATTGAAATCGCTCGACTCTACAATATAGAATACAATGCGTACAAACATGACAGGCTGCCGCACGCAGGGGCGATGACACATGTGCAAAACACAAACGTCTCCGGCGCATCGGAGCTCGGATAGTCACATGGTATATACAAGTACAACAGAAAAAGGGGGTACACGGGATGACCTGGCACGCCACGCAGGTCTTTCAGCCGAATGCCGTCTGCGCCATCTGGACTAGACGGCAATCCTGCTGCTCTGTAGTGCCTCCCATTCCCGGGACCCCACGACTTGGACGTCACGGCCAAGCGCGGGCGCAGTCTTCATCTTGCCGTCCGGCCCGGGGAGTCGTATTTGCAGCTGCGCGGCTGGATTCCGAGGACGGGCCGTGCCGGCATCGGGCGCGCGCAACATGGATGACTTCCTCAGAACAGAGCGGTGCCAGGTGTCCCAGGCGGCAAAGTCTTCCATCTGTTTGGCGGCGAGGTACTGAGGCGTCGACTTGGCAGGCTTCCACGCGAGCTTGTCCTTGGGCAGTGCGCCAAAGTCAAAGACGGTGGACGTCGTGGCCATCCTCACGAGTTCGCCTAGGACGTCCTTGCCCTCGGCGACGACGAGTGCTTTGCGCTGCTCGCGTCTACTTGTCGGTTTCCTGAGCGGCTCTGCCAACCAGTCGTAACTGTGCTGTTCCGTCACTCGCGCCCGGCGGCTGTCCTCTCGCAGGAACCGCACAGCCGATTGCAGGCCTTCAATGTCCTTCTTCAGGGCGTCCATCTCGCGGGCAGTCGCCACGGCCCTCTCTTGGCCGGCCCTCGTGCCAGCCGCGTCCGCGCCGTCCGCGTAGGCCCGGCTGTCGCTTGCAATCTTTTCCCACTTGTCGCGCTCGGATTCTAGGCCCTTGAGCTCTCGGTCTTGTTTCTCAATGTCCTCCTTGAGAATGGTGACCTGTTCACCGGACGCCTCGAGTTGCTTCTGGAGACTGTCGATGCGCTCAATATTGGTCTGGGCATCGCGCATGCGTGACTCGAGCGTGTCAATCTTGAGAACGGCCGTGCTGAGGTGTTCGTCCCGTTGAGCAATTGTTCTCCGGGCTTCGTGGTACTCCTCCCTAAGGCGCCGCAGCTCCTCCTCAGCGTCGGCAGGCACCGTCTTGAGCGTCTTGAGTTCCTGGGATCGCAATTCCCACGGCGCTAGATGGACGTCAAACTCTTCAGTCTGGTCAAGGTCCGTTGCTAGGGCGGCTATGTCGCTGATCTGACCAGTGACTTTGCGCAGCTTGGCAAGATACGCGGAAAAGGTTTCCGATTCAGAGGCAGAGGTGGCATCCAATACGGATTGGTGAATGGCATTCTGAATCTCCCCGTGAGTGAACGGCTCCGCACGTCCCTCGTCTTGGGTGAGCAGCAAGTGAACACGGTTGCCAATAACCCGGGCCATGTGTGCCAGCTCTCGGCTGTCGTGCTCGCACTGCTCAAAAACCGGTTTCGTATCCGGGAGTGGTGAGAGCGAACGCGTCTTCAAATCCTCCAAGGCACGGACCGCTTTACCGGCAATGACCTTGGCGCTTCTTGTTTGTGTGATGACCGTGTCAAACTTCTTCGCCCAAAGCTGGCTCATCTCATCGCCTTCAGTTTCAGGGGGGATTGCTCGCTGAACCATGGCTCTTGTTGTGTTGAAGGCTACGACGGCCGAGTCGAGGTGGCTTTGCACAACTAAAGAAGACATGTACACGTGGTTTGCAAAGCTGGCAAGGCCATCAGAGATGTGCACTTCTGCCAAGTGTGACATGAGGGAAATCGTTCGTTGCAGCTCTTCGGCGCACTTCTTTTCCTTGAGATCATCACGACGGAGACTGTCGATCCAGCTATTTAACGCTCGTTCAACCGGTTCAAGCTCGAGCAACGACTTTTGGTATGCCGAGAACTGCTCAGTGGTGCAGTGACTAATGTCGTTGATGAAGCGATCACACGCCGTCGCCACCCACACCAGCTTGTCAACAGCGTCACACCCAGCGAGCACGTCATCTTCGTGGCCCGGTTGAGGCTTCCCGTTGATGCGCTCCTTGATGAGTCCGTTTACAAGGTTTGCCTTGAATGCCAACCTTCGGAAGCGGAGCAGTGCGAGAACCGAGTCCCGATCTTCCTGGTACGTGTCGGGGAGGAATAGCTTGACAATCTCGAGGTGTTGCTCTGCTTCCTGAGCATCAAGATGGCGAAGCTCCAAATCAATTGTCTTGACCTGTGCCTTTGCGACAGAAATTTGAAGCTTCATGTTCAAATCCATCATGGCCCTTGAGCCATCATTCAATTTTTCCGATTCGCCCTCGGTCACAGCCTGTGAGGCTCGCATGTCATCCAGATCAGCTTGCAAGCTTTCCACCAGTTCTCGGAATCGTAATATCGTGTGAGCCCGATCATCGAGCTCCGATTGTTGTCTTGCAGCCCGTGACGTCTGCTCTAAAATGACAGCGTCTCTCATGTCCAACTCTTCCTGCATCTGCTTCTCCAGCTGAACATGATTCGCTTCCAGTTCGTCATCGATCTCCTTGAGGGTCTCAAGCTCTGTAATCTCCAGTCTGAGCTTTTCAATTACAGCAGACATATCCATGTTTTGTTCAGACAATTCCTCAATCATGCTCTGGGCTCCAAGAGCGTCATTGAGTTGTTCCTTGAGCTGCTCAACGGCCTCTTCGGATCGGGCTAGTTTCTCTTTGGTAGAATCGTATTGTAGCTTGACTGGCCCAAGTTCTTTGACATCTTCCTCAAGCCCAGCGATCTGGTCTCGCAGTTCTTTCTCTTGATCTTGGGTTATGTCGCGCAACCTTATCAAGGCCTCACGTAGCCGCTCATTTGCGCTCTCCATCTGCATCCAGCCGGCACTGGCGCGTTCTTCCGGTGACATTCCTTTGCAATAGTCAGAGTTCTCGGCTTCGAGAAGTTCAATCTTGAGCTCCAACTCTTCTGTTTTCAGTTTCAGCGCCTCTACCTGCGACTGCGAATCTTCAAGATCCAACTCGGCAATCTGCCGGTTGACTACCGACAGTTCAAGCTCAGCCTCGAGATCCGCCTGCTCCTTTTCGATGGATATAAATCTGGCTTCGGCTTCCTTCATCTGTTTTCGCAGCTCAGCATACTCTTGTTGCTGAGGTTGGTACTTTTGTTGAAGTTTCTGGATAATGCCTTCAAATTTGTCTCGTTCACTCTGAACCCTGTCCAATTGGCTCAGTTTGTCTCTGTCCTCGAGGCGCTTCCGTTCAAGCACTTTGAGCTTCGCTTTCAAGTCTTCATTTTCGCGACTCAAAGCGGGATTCGGGGAAGACCTTTGTGCCGTGACGGGTGCAGTTGTTCGATTTGAAGATGCTGGAGTAGAACAAGTCCCGGGAGACGTAGCAGCTGCAATCCTTTCCAGGGCCTTTGCCCTCCCTGTTACGGGACTCGTGGGCTGCGGCGACAGAATTTCTCCATCGCTCTTCATAGGAGAACCTAGACTCGCATCATCGGCTGAGCCACTATCACGACCCGCTTGTGAATCGGCGGATGGTCGACGTCCGGAGTCCGGTCGTGGGACGACGCGCATAGACTGAGGCCCGCGAGCTCCACTGGCAGACCTGGTATGAGCTCCGCTGGCGCGGGCTGTCGCGGAGGATATTGACGACAGTCGTGTTGTTCGCAAAGCAGGGGCAGCTGGCGGTCCCATTGAGGTTCGTTGTCCACCGACGGATGTTCTGGCTCTAGCGGCTCCAACCGCGGATGCTGACGGAACTCGTGCATTTGATGGGGTAACCGTTCGAGAAGCGGAAGCGCTGGATGCGGTTCCGAGCTGCTTGGTTGGCGATTTTATGGGAGACTGCATCATGGCTGTTAGCGAGCTCCAAGGCTGGGGTGTGACTCCTGGCCGTACCCTCACAAGACTGGTAGGACGAGACTTGGGAACTGGACTGGGACTGGGCGCGTTCAAACTCCTCCTCTTGGCTAGCGCAACGTCCCCGCTGGGAGCAGCCTTTACTGATGCCGGGTGAAAGCTGCTTGGACGGGCTGGCTTGCGGACGACTGGCTTGGTACTTGGAGCCTGCGCAATGATCGTGGCCATCATGGGCTTGACAAACATGCCATAGCCCGCGGGGCAATCGAAATACCTGACTCCCTGAACACTGCCGTCATTCTTTCCAGTCTTGTCCTCAAGCTCGACGCCGATCCATTCGCCAACCTGGAAGCTTGTCTGGCCGGCGAATCGAACTGTGGCCTTGCGGCCGTCACCGAGCTGGACTATCTGGCCAGGCTTAAAGTCCGGCATGGTGAATGAGAGAAGATGTACGTCGGAGCATTTTTGGAGCCGAAGCCTGCCGAGTTAGATAGATGGGTGCTGGTGGTGGTGGTCACTGGTGACGACTCGACGCTGTGAATATCGAAGACGAATATTAGTTATTATGTTACAAGAAGTGTCGGCGCCAGGGGTCGAAGGCCACACACTTGCGTGCACGTGTGTGGGCATGTGGGCATGTGGGCATGTGGGACATCCATTCAGTGCTCTTAGTTAGACGCGCCGCGCCACAATCTGAGGTCCGGCCTCACATTTGAGGCTGCCATTCATTGTTGTTCCTGGCCTGGTCCCCGCCAGTGTGAAACCACATCTAGAGCACTTGGGCGTCCTCAATCGCGCCTCGACCGACCAACAAGATTGCCAAATCACGCACCCAGCCCAAGCCAATTTGCTGTACGGAGTACATTAAGTACATTACGACACATTAGCCTTCACGGTTTGACAGATGGCACAATAACCGGTTAACGCTACCCCAAAATGAGTCGTCAATTTCAAAACTGTCTGGTGCATGCCAACCAAGTGTCCGTCAGACTCTGGCAAAATCAATTTTCCTTCTTCTCAGCATGCCTATGGCACGACGAGATCGAGTTGCCCTCATGTCACCTTCTTCCTCGGCATACGCGGCTTTTCTCCCCGTCATATCACCACATGGAGCGTCGTTTCTCTCCATAATGTCATGGGCGCTCCTTCAGACGACAACACCAACGGAGCAAGCTGAATCATGTCTCCAGCTCTCACAGACTTAGTCTCGGAAGGATGCCTCCCTCATCCATTCCATCACCTCGAACGCCATCCTGCGCTCCGTTGCTTCGTCCAGGCCTTGCCCTGCCAATACTCTTACAGAAAGCAGCCCCATGCTTCTCGAGATGTCCGCAACGCCTGCTTTGTTGGCATCGTCCCGGCTTTCCTGTACATGAACAACCAGGTCAGGACTCGCGATTCCGCGCCAAAAACTGGCTGTCCATTGCCAGTGATCCACCGCGCTGTATCTGTCCGCCATGGCCATGGCGGAAGCATACTTGTCTGAAATGGTCAGACTGAAACCACCCTTTACCAAAGCAACCGGCATTTTTGACGCCTTCGTTGAGCATCTCCCATCATCTCTCGGGGTGCATGCCTCGGTCGATTGGGCTTGCACCACCTTCGAGTCCTTGTCCTGGTCTTGGTATTGCACATTCCCGCCAGCACGTCCGCCTGTGACGTAACGGGTAATCTGCTTCGACTTCCGCCGCCAAGATAAAATGGTCTCAAAGTATTCTGTCAGCAGGCCATCCACCGCATTGCCATCATTTCCTCCGTCGGTTTCACCAGAGGCCTTGCCCCGTCCCGTTTCCAGCACATCAGATTCGCTTGCCCACACTTTGACGGCAACGTCGCCACTTGCCGCCAAGGCTTTTTCTATGGATAGGCCGGTCTCTTCGAGGAGTTCTTTGCTGACATTGCCTTCAACAGCGATGAATACCCCTCGCTTGTCACAATGGGGCCCGTGCCGACCCTCTGGAGGCAACAGCCGTGTGATGGTGGACAAAATGCCAAGCTTCTGACTCAAAAGTGGTTCCTCCATCGTCATTGTCTCTTGGCTGATTGAGTGTGGCTTCCTCCTTGGTGAGACATTTAATCTTGTTGACGGGATGCCTACATGCCTACCCTCCGACGCCGGCGACCTCGAAGGCGAGGGGGGGATTGACGTCTGGAGCGGTGGCAACCGAAGGGATTCGTCAAAACCACTGTGTCGACGATTTAGAGGCTCCTTGTCCAGTGACCACGCGGAGGAAGCTGGAGGACGCAGAGGCGGCGGCATAGGACCGCTTTGTGACCTCGGGAGGCTGGCCAAGTCTGGCAGTGTCGTCCCCACGTAATGCCTCATCAGACCAGCAGTGCTCTCCGGCAGCGTGCGGCCCAAATCCGGAGGTGGAGGCGGCCTAGTTGTGTATGCTCCCGTTGATCCGGCGATGGCATGGTATCCGCCCGCACCGTTCGCACGTCGCCGCTTGCTCTCAGGGGAACTCGGTTCGCTCGGTTCAACGTCCCGGACGGGCGGCAACTGGCGAGGGAAAGGCATTCCACTGGTCGGGGATTGCTCAAAGCTTGATCGACGAGACAAGGCAGCCGTGTCGAGCCGCCTTAACCGTGGCTGAGATTGAGAGTGCAGCGTGAAATTTCCAGCCGGTGAGGTGGAATACGGCGTTGAGGGGGTCCTTGGAGTTGAAATCGAACGGCCATGGCACTTCGGGCATCGTCCGTGCTCATCCGTGGGTGATGTGCTCGTCCATGTGCTCTGACTCTTCGTACTCCTCCGAGGCTGGTACCGGTAGTTTGGATACTGATGTTGGTGTCGCTGCTTCTCCTCTTCGGCCAACTTCTTCCAGTTGTCCTTGACATCATCACTTTCGTGTTTCCACTTGTCACCAATAATTTTGGATATTTCTGGATTTGAAAGCTTGGGATTTTCGGCAGTGACTTGTGACTGATGATGCTGGCGATACAAAATGAATGCTAGGACGGAACAAGTCAGTTAGCCATGACACACACGCACTCAACTTTCCGCGCGGGGGTAGAAGTCAACAAACACACACAAGTCTTTATGTGATCCATCTCGGGATAGTACGGCTTTGCAGAAATACTCCGTAGCAAGCCTCCCGAAACACTGGACAAGTGCTAAGAAATTTGTGGCAAAATTTGACGGCTGGCACGTTCACTCACCATTTCTTGGTCTGGGTATCTTGGGTGCCGGCGTACACAGACATATTATATCGCGAGAGCAATCCTGACTAGAAGCACCAACATTGAGTGGCTCAAACATGCCGCGGCCGGCATCTGCAGTACCGACGGTCGACGCTCTCTTCCTCCCAGAGCCCGGCGTATAGGGGCTGGGGGATAGTCTCCCGTCTGATGCCAGGGTGAAGCCTCCGTTGTTTCCGAAGGGCTTCTGGAGACTAATGTGAGAACGAAGAGAAGCACTCACGGTTTCCATGTCTCGAGTTGCGAAGGATAGTACTTCGGTCATGGTGCGGCGAATGGGGGCAAACGACAGAGAGAGGGGGGGTGGGCAAGGATGCTTACCCAGTTGCGCCCCGGCTTACACCAGGCCCCGACCTCTGAGGTTATTTCGGGGTCGTGATGTAATCCACGGTAAGGGGAGAGAACATGAGAAAACGGCCAAGACGCACAGCCAGGACACCTTGGGGGTAATAAGAGAATGGGGAAGGCGCACCCTCGAAATTCGGAATGGCGGGAAAGACTGTTGCCAGAGGGAATATTCGCTGGTATTCTACGACGTTGGGCGAGTGTCAGGCCTACCACGGTTGACAATGAGAACTGGCTCGCCGACAACCCGCCTTTGGATAAGCTCAAGGCATGCTGGCTTTGGTCGCCATTATCTGGCTCGACTGCTTCGCATTCTGAGCCAGTGGGAGCTCGTACATGTCTCGGGAGACCGCCAGTGTGGACTTGGCGGGCTGCCCCAGCTCTGCGAGAAGGTTTCGATCACCTGTCAGATCGGATCCAGGCAGAGCTTATTCCTTTGTCCGGCGAGAACCCCTACAGACGTCAACGAATCCCCTCCTGGAGCACCGGCACTTGATCATTCTTACTTTTCATTTTAGAATTCCTCCCAAGAAACTGGTAACGGAAAGGGACCAGGGACTCCCAACGGTCATGATGCACTTGCCAGCACGGCGGATAATCAACAGCAAACCGCACCCACATACTCTCGTCCGGTCACTCTGGTTTCCACGGGCGAAGCACTGGCATCCTCGGCATCCCAGCAAGGGCTTGCCCATGACATGCCTCACACCACCTCGCTCTCTCTCTCTCTCTTTCCTTTCTCTCTCTCTCTCTCTCTCTCGCTCTCTCGCTCTCTCGGTCTGCCCTGTATGCGTGCTTGAACCGGCGGATTTTAGAACGCCATCCAAAGCTGCCGCTATGTGGCTTTCTGGACATGAAGACCTCGTCCGCCCCGTACCCGCCCCAGCCTCGTCCTAGGGCGACAATGGCCAAAACGCAGTACCCCCCACAGGAATGTAAGTTGGATGGCGTTTGGAATGCCCAATGCCTGAGACAAAGACGACGGGCCATCTGAACTCGGCTCAACAGACTCCTGCACGTGATACTGGATCTGCGCCAATTCTCGACGATCCAACTCTGCGAGTGTGCACCCCCCCTGGTCACTCGTGGAAGATTGGAACATTGGGGCTGCGTGGAGATGGTGTGATTATGAGGTACTGGGTGTTTGGGCGTGTCTGTTGGTTGGGGGAGACGGCTAGGCAGCCAACAGCGAGGCACTTTGACGCTCAAAGCTGGTGGCGGCCCATCTGACAGAGTCCCCTGGATGTCTCGGCCGCGCAGTCAACGTCGTAGACGATGCCTCGCAGAAGAATGGTCCTGCAATGCCATTACTCGGGGAGGAAGCTGGGAGCCAATGAATCCCCTATTCGACAAGATGGGCGTCAAAAAGTCTCGTAGCCTTCTTGATTGTGTCTTGCATGTCTCGTACCTGGGTCACTTGTCGCCTGCACAACTGTATCGAGACGCGTATTCCTGGATCTCACAATCCCCTCGGCCATGCTCCCTCGCTTCTTTGACGCGTAGAATTGATTTTGGCAGTCGCTGCTTGCTGCCTCTGGGAAACCCGGCAGCGGCAAGGACGCAGAAAGTACAAAGCGTGATGTGAAGGGGTGATGGGGGAACAAAAAGCCAAAATCAAGCCCTATCCCGACGCCATCTCTCCATCTCCAGTCATAAAGCACCAAAAGTATAATCCAGCTCGTTTTGACTTTCCCCTCCAAAATACTAGGCAACACGGCAACGAGCAGCTTCTATTGGATGCAGCTCGAACTGGATTTTTTTTAAAAAAAAATAAAAATAATAAAAAAACCACCTCAACAAAATTTACACTACGAGATGTATCCACGTCCGGCCTCGCTGTTCAATAGCGAAGCGCTTCGGCGAGCGTCGAGGAACAGGTCCTCGCACTCGCCAACGTCCTCGACGTCAATCTGGGAACGGCCGTTGGCTTTTGCAAGAATGCTGTTGTGTTGTTTGTCAGCGACAATGTCTCAGACACGAGTCCACGCCCACCAAGGAAATCCTCCCAATGGACCACTCGCGGAGGCCCATGGACCACTTGACACTGGAGCGCTCGGCAGGAAGAGGGAAGCAACAGGGAAGAAGGGTGCGGCCGCCTAAGCAGGGGTTCTCGAAAAACAAAAAAAAAAGACAAGACAGACAGACAGACAGACAGACAGAGAGGGGGGGAGAAAGAGAGAGAGAGGGAGGGAACAAGGCGCAGAATGCAGAAAGGAAGATCCCCAAGCCCATGCCCATGCCCGTACATACCTTGCCGGGGTCAGTAGCTGCAAGCAATACCGGAGGCTGATGCGCACGCCATGATCCGAAATCTTGTCAATAGCCGCATCCGTGATAGCGACGCCCTCGGTGGAGGCTCGTATCCGCACAATCTGCTTGATCTCGTCGGCTTGATAAGGGGCAGTAGGGATAATGAGCAGCCGGGCGAGAAAGTCTGTTGGAATGCCGTGGGCGGCGACAATGTCGTCGGTGCCTCTTATTGTGCACATTCCGCGATTTGACGCCAGCACCACAATGGGTGCAATCGGCGATTCCAAAGCCCGGTTGAGGTAAGTGAAGCATTCTACGTCGAGCATGTGTGCCTAGGCATAATGTGGTTAATGAGTACTTGTCAATGGCGCCGTCGTGGGGGGGGGGTTTATTATTCTCCTCCTCTTCGTCCTCTTCCTCTCCCCTCCCCCCGTGATCGCCCTTGACGTTGTTCCAGAAAAGTGAAACATGGAAACCAAAGACAGAGTGTCAAGGCGCCATGGAACGAGAATGGATTGTGACTTACTTCATCAATGAACAGCACTCCCGGGACGAGTTCAGCCACGCCTTGGTCAATGTACTTGGAGACGACCTTGTTGATTTCGGCGCGCAGTTTCTCCGTAATCTCCGTCATTTTGGGCTTCATGAGCTGGCCCATCATGCTCATGATGTCCTGACCGCCTTGTGGTCTGGCGTTGGCCACATCCAGGTCATGTAGCGTCACGTCCTGCACGATTTCCTTCTTCTTGTGCACCTCGCCTTTGGGGATGGGCACGTACTCCTCGGCCTCGAGGTCAAACTCGGTCGCGTAGGCGTCCGACCTGCCCACCCGCTTGCAGGCGCCCGTGTTGGCCTCGATGTAGATGACGTCGCCGACGGTGACTCTCTCCTTCTGGATGGCCTCGTAGATGCTGGGGTCCAGGCGAAGCTTCTTCTGGCCCTTGGCGCTCTTGAGCCCGATGAGAAGCGTGCTAATGGTCTTGCCGTAGCCGCCCAGCGGGTTCTCGGCCTCCTCTGGCGTAAGCTCCGTGACCTCGCCCTCGTAGACCTCCTTCGTCTCCCTGACCTTGAGGCCGATTGCCCTCCGAAAGTTCTCCATCAGCACCTCCGTCTTCTTTACCTCGGTCGAGTAGATTTCGCTGCCGACAATGGGGCAGAAGGGGATCTTGGTTCCGAGCTCCTGGCTGATCGCGAGCGCGAGCGCCGTCTTTCCCGTCCCAGGACCTCCCGCGAGAAGGACTCCTCTACCGGCCATCTTGTGACTTCGAATCAGATCGACAACAACACCGCACGACTAGTCGCAAGGCCGCCGAGGGAAAAGCAGCGAGAAGGCGAGGGTCAGCAAGCCCATCACCACCAACTTCAACGAAAGCTTGTAACAGGGGCTCAATCAGTTACCTCTCGGGCTGGAACTTGGCCCACGAAGCCGGCCGCATTCTTCTCCGCGAATCCATCAGACCTCAGCCCAAGTCCCCTGATGTGTGTGTGAGCTGCTGTGCGGTTGTCCCGCTTGTTGCCCTTGACTTCGCTAATCTGCACCATGTTGGCGCTCTGGCGACGATGCCGATGCCGATGCCTGGAGCAAGCAGTCCTTTGTCGTTGGTCAAGAAAATTTGCCCTCCTTCTCGTATTCGCTGCTGGGGGAGCCTCGATACAGCTCGGGACAGCGCGTAAATCGACAGAGGACCTTGTCAATTCGTTGATGCTGCTGCAAGGTTTCGATGTCGAGTCTTTTCCGTACACGCGCGGCGCAGCCTTCTCACAGCTGCCGGTTTTCCTTGGGGGCGTCGCGACGAGGCTGGAGCGCGCTGTCGTCACGTGATGCCGTTCCTGCGAGCCACCTACCCTGTACGACGAACGAACGTGCGCAATTCGCCGCGCGGGTTCCAATATCAACTAACTACCTAGGTGCTGCTACGATGTAGTTCGAACATGAAATCTTCCGAGGGTGTTTTGGAAGTTTAAGAATTGCTGACGCTCAAATTGGCACGACTTTCTCATGGTTATACGCCGTGGTGGTTGGTAGACTCGGGGAGGGGTGGGAGACACAAGTTTCTCTATATTTCGGTATCCAAGCGCGGCTCGGGGGCGACACGATACCCCTTGGTCTATCTGATCCTTGCCGGATTCACACTCCCGACGTGCCCAGCAACAACACCAAGCAGCATGGGCGACCCCTCAGCCTCGCCAGCCAAGTTGCCCTGCCTTTCCGCGTCGTCGGCCCCTGGCAGCGGCGGCGGGGGGCTCTTGACGAAAACCACGGCGAGGGCACCGCCCAAGATGAGGGCGCAGCCTGCAAAGCTCACCAGGCCCATGCGGTGGCCGAATACCCAGCGGTCAAAGCTCGCGGCGAACAGCATGTGCGTGTAGACCATGGCATTTGCCCGGTTCGACTTGTCGGCGGCCAGGCCCGCCGTCAACAGACACTGCATGACGAAGCCCAGGGCGCTGAGAGACAGCAGAAGCAGCCACTGCCTCGGGCTCGCGGGCGCAACCCACCGCAGAGACGGCTGCGCGACGTCCAGGACGGGGCCGAGCCCCAGGGCCGCGACGCACACGACGGTGCAAACCATGGCAAAGGCGTTTACGGATATCAGGGGGTGCGCGCGCTTCCCAATGGCTCGGAGGGCCGTGAAGGCCCCCGCGGCGCCGAGCACGCCGAGCAGGGCCACGCCCACGGCCAGCAGCCGCTCCTCGGGCGAGGGCGAGGGCGAGGGCGAGGGCGTCGCAAACAGAGCCCCCGGCTGGGCGATGAGCACGACACGAGGGCCACGAGCGTGGCGAGCCGCTCGAGCCGCGAAAAGGGCTCCCGGAGGACGAAGCAGCACACGAAGCCCGCGACGCCGGGGGCCAGGAACGTCATGACGGTGGCGTCCGCCAGCGGGAGGTACATCATCGACCACCACATGCCCAGGATGCCCAGGAAGCCCGTACATCCGCGCGCCACGAGGAGCCACCGGATCTCCTTGCAGCCAAACGGGGCGTCGGCCGTCCTCGCCCACCGCATGTACGCCAGGCAGCAGGCGCACGTCACGCCCTGCCGGACGAGGAGCATCTGCACGGGGTGCATGCCCTGGCCCTCCAGCTCGAGGAGCCTGGCGCTCAGGTTCATCGTGGCGCCAAACAGCTGCGACGTCGCCACAAGCACAGCCGGCTTGTTTGCCCTCCAAAACCTGCGGCGACGCTGCTCTTTCCGCTGCGACGTGTGTTCCGCCCCGCGCGCCGTGTCGTCCCAGTGGAATCGGTGATGATGGGCCGCTGAGGGCCGCATCTGGGGACAGGCCCCCAAGGCTCCTTGGCATCTCAGCGGCTTGCGGCTTGTCGCCTCCTTGTCCGCGAGGTACCCGAGTATCTCGGAAGCTGTTTCGCGACGCTGTGTCGCTGGAGACGTTGCCCGCTTCCCCGCGCGCGGGCGTCATCGGCGGTCGTCGATCCATGGCTCATTTACGCGAGAGCCGCCGGGAGGATGTTGTTTGGATCAAGTTGTCAATGGGAAGGGAGCTCGTTGTCCGCAGCGAGGGCTCCCATTACCCGACTGTAGGAACTTGGCCGGTGCAAGTTGAAGACGCTCCTCGAAACAAGACTCCCTTTGACGATATCGAACCACAAGAGCCGTGGCAGAAGAAGAGGAGAAAAATACGGTAGCTTGCACATGCGGGCCGCAAGTCGAGTGGCCGGCCTGCACCGGCACCGGCACCGGCTCTGGTCCTAAGCAACCAGTTCCGCCATCGCCTCCGCGTAACCTAGTCCAGATTACCACGAGTCCCAATGAGGCAGTTTCAACGTCGGGCGGCCTTCAACCCAGCATGTGGAGTTGAAGGCAACCATACGGAAGTGCCCTGGCAGCCGATGCATATGATCAGGGCCTTGGCGGCACCGCAGCATCGAGTCGGAGGCGAGAGCGCTCGGTTGCTTGGGTATAATCAGGCTTGGGAATAGTTCGGAGAAGGACGGGCAGTTGGTCACCGCCGACCTGGCGTTGGTGGCATCTGGTTGGGCATGCCCGATTTCGCATCGGCAAGGTTGGTTGACATGCAAGTTGGAGTCGGATCGGAGGCGGGGCTCCGGGTGAATGAACAGGGGTCTCTGGCGATTGCGATTTCGAATCGTATCGAGGATGGGCATCGTGACTGATGGTAGAGACTCTCATACCCCATATCAGGTCCATAGGTATATGTATAATGCCATGCAAGCCTGCGTAAAAGGCGCCAGTCCTTCACTCCGCAGCTCGTCACGAACGAGTGCCTGCCCTGCCCTGATGAAATACAGGTTCAAATCCAGTAACGCCACGATGCCGCTAACCGTTGATGCCGAGGATGCCAGACTTCCAACATCCCGCCCCCCAGAAGCAAATTCACTTCTTCTTCCCCAGAGCATCCATCTCGGCTTCAGCATCATCGTCCGCCTCGCCCAACTCCTCCTCGGCTCTGTTCGTCTTCCCTGCGGCGGCAGCTCCCTCCTTCTCCCTCCTCTTCTCCTCCTCGGCCGCGTCCTTCATGATCTCATCCTCGCCATCCCTCAGGATCTCGCGCGCCTTCTTGATCTCCTTCTGCTTCTCAAACACCTCCTGCACCTTGCCCAGGAAAGCAGGGTTCTTGCGGAACGCGAATTCAAAGTCCTCGTACTTGATTTTTTGGCGGCCCGAGTAGTGCGCTGCGCGGGTGGCTTCAAAGGCGATGGACTGCATGAAGTCTGTGAGGATTTCGTCAAGCACGCGAATTGTTTCAGGAAGAGGGTTCTTGACGTCGCCGTGGGCGTAGAGGAGCTGGGCGACTGCGAGCGGGTTAGTTGCTGGGCAAACCGAAACCCGCGGGGGGTGAAGGGAGCGTCGGTGCAAAGAAAACACGCACGCTCGTTGTGGGAAAAATTCATCTTGCCGACATTTTTGCCGGCTCGTGCTCGTGGTTCCATCTTGATGGTGTTTGTGCCGTTTCGCGGGCACGCGAGCACCGAGTGAGTGGTATGATGAGGAAGGGGAGGACGAGGACGAGGAGGATGATGACGATGATGATGACGGGACGGGCACGGCACGGGTGCGACCGAGTTTGTGTTTGATGTCGGCAGAAACGTACACAGCACAGCCAGCAGGTAGATGTTCTGTCAACGTTCTCACCAGTCACCACACTCACTCCGCAGACGCAGCCTGCTTAAACGCAAGCGCGAGCGAGTATGTCGGCAACAAGATGTGGCATGGATGGGCCGCCACCTCGCGGGTCGGCGAATCTTTGCTCCTCCCCACAGATGTGGTCGACGTCCGGAAGCTACGTAACGTAACTACCACTGGTACGTACCCGTGGTGCCTCACCCAGGCTGAAAGGCCAAACAACATTGTCGCAGCCTCGCCAACACTGCGCCTGCTCGTCCTCTTCATCGCCAATTTCGTCTCTGTCGCCCAAGCGCCAGCAGCCATGGCAAGTCCTGCTCTCCCCCGCGCTGCCTGTCATCACGCTGTCAAACCCTAACAGACCACCACAGTCGGCCCTCTTCAACTTTCGATCGCTCCTCCTCGTCCTCCTGCTCCTGATTTGCACGAGCGCATACGTCCACCACTTCACGCCGGGCATCATGGACAGAAATAAAAATGGGTACGGCACAATGATGCCCCGGAACCTCAAGATTGACGCGCCCTTGCGTCGACAATGGGACGACGAACAGGACCAGCTAACACCAGCAGTGTCATGGGCATCTTCTGGAAATGCGCGAGAATAGGCGAGCGACTAAGTCCGTACATAAGCATATGCTGTGTTCTCATGGCTGTGAGTAGCACTAGAGAGCCTCGACGATGCTTCACTCCTGTGGCCGGGTCTCTCGTGACTGAAGTGCCGCGAGCATCGCTGACAGATTGCCCAGGCCTCCATCCTGATGAACTAGATTGCTCGTTTACGACGATACATGGACTTTGTAGTCGGCGGAGGCCTGTTCACTGCTCGGGAGTGTGGCGAATGCGGAAGTTTTTTCACACGAACGAGGAGGGGTTACTGCACGTAAACGAACAAGCTCCAGCGACGGGCGGACCGTCTGTCAAATATCAAATCAAACTGGTCCGGATGCGAACATGGCCATGGCTGGGCTGTCCGGCCTGACCAGAGCTTGAGGTGGTTTGGCGACTTCCACCCCCGCCGAAGCCTCCACTTTGCACAATGGATCTCAGAGCGCCGGCTTCGGGCGACCCTTGTGGTTAAAGAAACTGACCAAGACGATAATTCGTGACGAGTTAGGTTTATAATTCGAAATGGTTCGGACACCCGGGTTAGATGCGAGCCTGTCGCGAATTTCGGATTATTCTATCGAAGAAAACGGCGAATAAAGAAAAAAAAAATTCAAAAGAAAAATCCGCAAGTAGCTTCCAACGGGGGATGGTCTCGTCAAGAACCCAAACGCTCTCTCGTGCATCAACATACCCAGCTGACCTGGCGTCAATGTGCCGTCAGCGTCGCCCGCTGCCGTCAACGAGGCGTGACGGCTCCGAAAACGTGAGCCCAATACTAAGCGGTCAATCTCAGTCAGGCGTTGGCCGCCGTTGACCATTGCCCAAAGACGGTCGGCTTGCCCGATGGCCCAAAGGATCATGTATCCTGGGTCAGCCCTTGAAAGGCGCCGAGAGGCATGCGTGAATTGATAGCAAGACTCGCAAACGCACCAAAGTACTACGTGAATACGTCACCTTCCCGAGCCTTTTGTCCCAGCTCAACTCAGAGTACATTCTGCACGTACCACTCCTACTCCGTATTTATTGTCGAAAAGGATCTTTCCGTGCAACCTCCAGCCACGTACTCCGTATCTGGTCTATGTAGTAACTAGTACTACGGCGTACCAGTCTCGATTTGCGTCATGCTCCAGATCCGAGATCCAACCTGCAGGGATTTGTCTGGCTTCCAGAATCCCATCCGAATGTGACTCAGGCCCAGTTGACCTGCGACAGCGCAGCAACGTCGCAGCACCGAGGGGCCTCGCGGTATATTGGTTAAATTGGCTGCCCCGTCGCATTTTCTTGGGAAGCGAACCGCTCTCTGGGAACAACAATGGCCGACCGAGGCGTGGAGGAACGACTATTGTCCTCCACCGCCCGCCGCGAGCGCGAGACCGGAAGATTGCCATACTGGGCAAACAGCGCCGACGCACACCGCCGCTGGGGCATGACGTGAGATGGATAATTCGAATATACAATGGCAATTCACAATATCCATTCCATAGCAGGGGAAAACTCCACGCGCCGTCGACGAATGCGGATTGCCGCCGGCGATCCTGGCGGGCAGGCCGAGTGGCTCACGGTGGGAAAGGGTAAAATGTTGGTTTCTGTTAGGCGAATGGTCTTGCCAACCCACAAAGAGCAAACGCCAGTCATCCTGGAGCCAAATCGACGATGCCGGGCGCTCCGGGGTTCCGATTTGGGAATCCAGTCTCTATCTCTACCCACTGGCGCTGGATGGAGCCTGGCACCATCACATGCGCACGTGAGTTGCCGGCCCGGACCCATGGGATCAGCAGCCAGTGACGAGGCTCATGTGGCAGGACAAAATGACCAGTCCTATTTCCAGCATCTCCAGTACCACAGTCCTCGGGACCGGACCGCTGGTCGAAGCAGCGTCCTACGCGTGTTACATGGTTCGTATGCCTGCAGAGGAATGAAGCCCCCCCGGGCGATTCGGCTTCTGTTCAACTCGTCGGTCCTTTCCTGACAGTGAATGCCCTGACGGCTGCGTGGAGTCGTAGACTACTGAAGAACAGAGTTGTGGGTGAGCAAAGGAAGCCCGGCTGAAACAAGTACCACGATGCCGCTGCGGAAGGGACCTTGGCCAGCCGCCTCACCTTGTGCGACAAAGCAATACCTACATAGGCACGGACTACAGAGTAACGTTATTTAACAACTCGCATACTTGCTTGACAGAGCATCCCTTGCAAAGTGAAGGAAGGGGGTCGTCTCAATAATCTCAGCGACTATTCATCAAAGGGTAACCGAGGCCGACAGCTTGACAAGGCCAGTGTCAGCAGCCTATCGCAACATCCATACGTTTAAACGGATGCACCTATTATGCACACTACTGACCGACCGCCGGAGTATTTGCCCGGGACCAACAGGCTTGACAGGCCATGGGTAGTAATAATTACCTAGGTAGGTAGTTAGTTTATTACTCCATGCTCCGTCCTCAGGACTCCAATCTTGCTGGATGGGCCGTGGCGTCCTCCCCCCTCTTGCGAGAGGCCCGGGCTTGTTGGGAGAGTGGGATTGTCTTGCTGGGCATTTCCGCCCAGTACGTGTCAAATCTGTCCACAGTCCATACTGCGAATAGGCAGCCGTCTAACTCAACAGCTCTGCGTTTTCTCTTCATTTGCAGATCGATTTCCGTCATTCCTCCCTCCACCCACAAGCCAAGCCCAGATGGCATGCCTGGCGCGACCCGGGTGGATGCTCCTCGTACGTACTCTATACCCGTGAACCGTGAACCTGGCGGAAAGGAAAAAAAAAACCCTCACCATGGCAATCCCCGGAATGGGTACGCCTGATGCTCCGTAGCTTCGTAGAGTCCGATAGCTGATGAAACATCGTCGACTGCAACACTAATCAGCGTGCATGTTTTCGGCTTCGGCTCACCCGCGCACGGCTTCAAGCTAGCCATTGTCCATGGCTTCAGACTAGCCGTGAAGGGCCGACCAACAACGTAAGCTCGACTGCGGGAGGTTCCTCAAAGGCTCGCGGGCAGTGGTGGCCACTGAGATTGTAGTCACTCAAGCATCTTCATCACCATCTTGTGAGTGAGCGAGTGAGCGAGTGAGTGAGTGAGAGTGAGTGAGCGAGTGTGTGTGTGTGTGTGTGTGTGTGTGTGTGTGTGTGTGTGACGGGTTTCTGCCAGCCAAGCAAGGGCCAGCACAGTTATTTCCCTTCGCTCCCAGGTTGCTCAACCGGACACTGCTTGATGAGCGAAGCCAGACTGTGTGTAGTACTAATCCATTGCCGTACGCCGGTAGTGTCTCCACATTCTCAAGGGGTGTCAACGCCTTAAAAACGAGTCCCACAAACGCGAAATTTGCTGTAATTCTTATTCATACCAGGTCCAACCGCTGGTAACCCAGCCACGGTCCGTGTCCATGTTGGCTCAGTAAAAACACCGTGTTGCAGGTCAGCCAACTGAATTGTGCAGGCTCAAACTGTCAAGTGGGAATCCGCTTCTGCGATGCGTTAACCACCAGTGTGTGATGGAAGATGATTGGCTTGTTTGATGTGACTTGGCTTTCTCGCGAGACAAAGAAGCCTTGGCGATCCAAGTAGTACATCCATGGACCATTTGCCCTGTTACGGCTTTGCCACCTGAACAACTCATGGGACGTTCCTCTCCACATACGATAATGCCCCATGGCTTCATCGGTCAAGCTGTAACTATTTGGTGGGCTCAGAACGGAAACGTTGACCCATGCAGCTGTTGTCAACGCGGACCTGTATCTGCGTAGTTGTGGCTTCCATTGAACGGTACCCCGTCCTTTGCGCTGGGCCAAAATTTCTCATCACGTTGGAAATCCAATCTCCTGTTGACAAATGTGCCTCATTTCCTTTTGATTGACGCCACCTCGCGCAAGGGCACACAACACATCTATTCAGGGACACCAACACAATGTGCGCAGGCTTCTCATTACTCATGAAGCCCCCACGCTTCAGGCCGCCACATTGAACGAGAGCATCCCCGCCTCTGTAAACAGGTTGCGGCCCTCGCTAACAAGTCTCAGCGCGTAAGTTGTGACTGTTGAAATGAGAGCTTGGTCCAGTATTGCTGAGCAGCATTTCTAAATAGTAAAGTACACCTGTAAGTGGAAATTCAGGTTATGGATCCATACCCTGTATACGCATAGGTCATGACAACTAACTGTTGATACGTACCTGGCGGCCCATTGTCTGGAAACCAAACCATGTGCTTGCA